AACATCTAAAACCTCAAATACAACCCATCTGTGCAATAATGTGCCAACTACTAGTTTGATAACATAACCTTCATACACAGTACATTCATACATAGTACATATACAGTAAATTAAAGAAAAAAATAGCCCTCCCCCTAGCTAATACCTGTTGACCACATACAAGTGCTAATTAGTCTGCTCCAGCAAAGTTGATCTGATACAATAGTGTCACCGTTACAGGTTTTTAACAAAAAACAAAAACTTGCCAGATTGGTCCAAAGTGACTTTTACTTCAACTTTACACTGGCACACATCTTCAAATAGCTGTGCTTCCTACTTCAAGAAGACACTGCTCACTGTACGCTACAGTGAACAGTGGCACCTAATCATGACGACAGCTCAGAATATGTTTTTGGTACTACAAAGTGAAGAAAGAAATTATATTAATAAATAATCTACTAATGATGAGTGTCTAAAGTATCATGCAAAAAATTGTATTTCTGAAATGTAATTCTTACTGGTTTTTGTATATATATTTTTTAATAAAATGCATATTTTTTATATTTTATGTAAACTAATGATCCCTATATCAATGCAGCTGTGTTACATACACTTACCTGTTCCATTGAAGATGTTGCTTGATAATGAGTTGTTCATTCCAAAAGCCTGATTGCGATTCATACCAAATCCTGACATGCTGCACAGAGAAAAAAACAAAACAAAAAGATAAGCTGCCAAACATTAACTTTCCTTCCATTAATATCAAATGTGCAGGGGACACAAAGGACAGCAGTGTACCTGTTGATGGTGAAGGGCTGGCGTGCTTGCTGCTGTTTGGGCATACAAATGATACTGGGTGAGCTGCGGTTTGGGCTGCCCAGCCCCGAGCTGCTCATACTATTGGTCCTGCCACTCATCCCAATGCTTTGACCAACCTGAGAGTGGTTCAGCATGTTCCTCGAGTTCATCGCCAGTGTCCCCCTATTAACACGCGATCAGGTCAGAATTTGTTTTTGTGCATTTCAGGCTGACTGACATTTCCAGGTATTATTTACTGTTTTAACATACCTGCTTGGTGATGGAGGGGTATGGAGAGACATGGTGGGGACCCCTGTTGTAGGGGTGATATGACTTGGTAGCTGCGTCCCTTGGGTTAGATTTCTGTTTAACTGAGGAGTATTGTTCCCCAAGCCCCTTACCGAGAAGCCAAGTGTACCTACAGAAAGACACCGTTGAAAAACGGGAAGAAGAACAAATACTATCAGGCAAAATTCTTCTGCAAAAATATGCAGAAAATGTCACACATTGAAACTTTTAGTAACTCTGGTATAAGCTAAAGAGTAACGAGTAAAAAGAAAAAAAGAACAGGTAAACATAAACAGGTAAACTTCAGATACAACAAACATAAGATTTCCTCCCACTCCAACTATGTTACATGTAAAACAACAACTGTGATTGACTGCAAGAAAAAACCAAAACTTACTTTGTGGACCATACAAACTTGCACCCAGCTGTGACAACTGACTTGACGATGATGGTGAGGGAGAAGACAGCAACTAAAGGAAAACATTTGAGGCAGGACAGAGTAAGAAAACTGGAAAACATCTCCTCTGGTGTTAAATCAAGTACTGTGCAGAGAGGGAGACAAAACTCACATCTTTGTCCGATCGATGTGGGAACATCGATGGCTGGCTGTAGTACATGTTTTCATCTGTGAAGTCGTTATCGACTACCTCCACAAACTCAAATTTCTTTCTAGCACCAAACATGCCTTTAGTCACCTGAAGAGAGAGGGCAGAGCTGTTGTTGAAGACGTACAGGGCAAAAAGCCAAGTAAGAGATCAATAAATGGACAATCACAAATACAACTTCACAATAATTTCTAACCTAAATACACAATTCCTCCTTGGACCTCAGTGCTGCTGATGTCATACACAAACAATACAAGTTTCACTTAGTTTCAGTGGTGTACAACCATTATAGTACACCACTTTTTGGCAGCACTGAATTGTATTTAATTTAACACTTAACTAACACTACAAACCTGACGTAGTATTTAAATAATCACACAGGATTACACACGGGACAAAGTAATTTCTATGAATGCACCCTGAAAACAAATCGAGAATTCTGGATACCTCATTTATTTTTATTGCCTTTCACTGTGATATAGTTGGTATCTTCGGGCTGTTAAAATAAAATGCGTGTCTACCTTATTATTATTATAATCACTCATATGGGATGAAGATGTTGAACTTCAATAACAAAGTAAACTAATGCTATTTATTGTATCCATAATATGTATTACATTAATCAACAGAGCGCAGATCTAACCTGTAACTTGTTTCTTATTAATCTTGTACAGGAATTAGTATATTTTAACTGTTGGACCTAATTTGGCACTATTGAGAAAATCAACAACAGCAATGCTAACAGGCTACTTAGCCAACAGTAGTGTAGCTAGCGTTTGCAGGCTAAGTGTAATCACTCTATTAGCTTAGCTTAACGTCAGTTTGCAAGCCGAACAAGAAGCTTAAGTACCACAACATACAGTTACCTTTCAACTTTGAAACACCGTGACTTAACTAACAAGCAACTAGGCAGTTACACGGGCCCTCTCTCTATATCCACAGCTGTCTTTTCTCAGCTCAGTTTACGCTCCGTTTGCAGCCAGCAGCAGCCAAACCGGCAGCGACAATCTGCTGGAGCTAAAGGCTAACGACCAGCTCCGTATCGAAACAGAGGACAATGGCTAACTTAAACGCATAGCTCATGCTGAAAGGTCAAGTTATACCGAGCCATTTTAATATGACGACAAATAAGTCAAATTCCCTCACCGCATCAATTTCGCTTCTCTTCGTTAGATCCAAGATGGCTGTGTGTACTCTCAGTGAGAGGGATAGCCGTTACCCTCTGACCTTACAACTTGCTGACCACTTCCGTACACAAAACTGAACGCGCCTGAAAGTCTTCAAGAAACAGATCAAGAAATAAAAGCGTTAGTAAAAATGTGTAGACTATATTGCGCGGAGAATGTACATAAGTACGTGACACTCAAGCCTATTCTGTGAACTTCTGTTGTTATGCAAACATTATAGAAGCTTTTTTAAATACTAGTGCCAGCTATTTAAAAAATATACACTTATTTAACTGAGTTTCCCGATACTGTGACATTGTCATGAGCCTAATGTCGGGTCAGTTTCCTAGGAAACTCAAACAAACTCGTGTCATTGAATTACCATAGCAGGTAATTTCCCCCAGGGCCCCAGAACTCTAGGGGCCTCTATAGGTCTATGTTCACTCTGTGTAAATGCTTTATGTAAATGAAGTTGAATATTTGTTTGGTAGTATGCACAAAGGTTTGGACACCGTTTCATGTGTGTCCAAACATTGGACTTTAGCCTACTTAAAGTGTTTGTTTGCATATTGCATTGCCCTGTATTTATTTGTGTTTAATCAAATTACCACACAGAAGATCTAAGGGACCAAATGATCTCCTAGAATAGAAAATTGCACACCCTACAGAAATTGGATGACTAGGGTGGGGGCCAGCAGCTAATTTTTGCCTTTGGAAACCACAACTTAGACCTTGTGTTTAGAAACTTTCATCAAGAAATAATTAACCTTTATAGACTATTTTCACCACATGAGTTTTGACTTGTCATAGCAGGAAAAGCACAGGTGCTACTAATTACATTAATCACAGCTCCATTAGATTAGGTGTTCCAGTCATTACCCAGTGGGACATTTTATTACACCTGTGCTCTTCCTGCTATGACAAATCAAAATGTCTGCCATGAACAGGGTCTCTAATGGCATTCACAGGGTTCAGTTTGTCTGAACTGTACTGTTGCCCCCTTACCCACACACACACCTCCATGGGGTAAGTGGATACGGAGAAGGACAAGTGCTAAAAACAGTCTGTCAGTGAGCGAAAACAGACAAGGGGCAACCATGCCGATAAGGAAAATGAAATTCCTTCCCAGTTTTATCTAGCTGGAAAATAGCCCTAATGAAGGTATGCAAGATAGCATGGGTAAATGACACCTCGGGCAGGCAGGGATGACGTGCCACCTCTTACAGTTCAGCCTGACCTGCCACCACACTTCACAACACTTCTTAGTTTTCTGGAACTTCTTCTCCCTTCTCTGCAGAAACATTTTACAACATGTAATGATGAACTATAATCTAAGTCAGAGCAAAACACACACATTCTCCCTCTTTTTCCCTGTAAATACTGTTGAAATTATTCCACAGGCCTTCTTTGTCTGTCCCGGTGGCACAGACCCATAAACTGTGTCCGGACAGATTAAAACAAAATATAAATGACCTTCAGTGCTCTTTCATCACAAAGTACTTCTTATGCTTGTCCATGGCACCCTGCCCCTCCCTGTCTCTTTCTCTCTCCCACCTCTGTCATCTCAGAGAAGAAGGGGGGAAGTCATTAGGCACAAATGGGGAGGAGAGAGCAGCTAGTGGTTGCTATCACCATGAAAGTCAGAGCAAGGCTCAGAGCCACTGGGATGGGTGAGAGAACTGCACAGGGGAATATCTGCCCAGAGAATACAATACATTTTCAGCTCATTAAGTTGAATAAACAAATGGCTTGCTGTAGCAGATACTGAGAGTCATGGACATCATCAGGAAAACACTGGAAAGTAGGTGTTCTAAATTCTTATATGATCATCTTTATGCTTATTATGTTTCCTGTTTCCTTTGTGGAAACACCTTATGTGCATTTTCTTTGTAAATAAAACACCATCATGGCTTTATTATACAGGAAGTAATTCGACAACATAATCATGTGATTCCTGACACTTGAACCTTCATATGCTGATGCAGTATTACAAAGCTGTATTACATTGTAACAAACTTGTTTGTTTTTACATGCTATGAAGATCAGTAACTCCAGAGGGGTGATAGAGGAGCATTAATGGGACACCATGAAATTCACTGCTTGAGTGTATCCCTTGCTTAGAACTAAATTGATGTGGAGGACCAGTGGTGTGACAGTCACAAAGATGGGTAATGCCATGCGAGGCGTCATTGCCTTCATTCCCTCAGAACGATGTCAACGCTTCTTAGTGGGGGACCTAAAGGAGATGCCACTTGATCGAACCCTGGACCTAAGCAGCCGGCAGTTGAGGCAGGTACCTGCTGCTGCCTGTGTCTTCAATGAGCTGGTGAAGCTCTACCTGAGTGACAACAATCTCAGCAGCTTACCAGCTGAGCTGCAGGACCTGAGGAAGCTGCAACTGCTGGCCCTTGACTTTAACTGCTTTGAAGAGCTCCCTGCAGCTGTTTGCAGATTGTCCCAGCTTAGCATCCTTTACTTGGGTAACAACAGGCTTTACCGCCTCCCCAGAGAACTGGGGGAGCTCAAGGAACTTACTACTCTGTGGCTGGAGACTAACTGCTTCACTGTTTTTCCTAAGGTCATTTGCGAGCTCCCTAATCTCAAGACCCTGCACCTCGGTTATAATCAGATACGGTGTTTACCGAAAGAACTTAGACGGCTGGAAGAGCTAAGAAGTATCTGGCTTGCTGGAAACCACCTGACAGAGTTCCCTCCAGTATTGCTCGAAATGCACTTTCTAGCTGTCATTGATGTGGATCGGAACAGAATACATTACTTCCCTGGCCTGTCTCACATGCAGGGGTTGAAACTTGTCATTTATGACAATAACCCCTGTGTTAACGCCCCAGTGGTGGGCGAAGGAGTCAGGAGGGTTGGGCGATGGGCTGACAGCTCAGAGGATGAGCAGGAAGATGACGAGTCAAAAGTAGTGGATGAGACTACAGCGGAGGTCACAGAAGTACACCCTGAGGAGGGGCACAGTGAGGTCAAGGAACAAAAGGACCTTTAGCTGTGGCAACGCCTGCCAGTACAGGATGCCACTCAAGTGGAACAATTACAGTGGGGAGGTGTGTGGTACATCAGGCCGGTGGTATTTGGTCTATATATGGTGAAGCCAATCACAGGAGCTTTAATATAAGGCATTAAGTAAAGAGTAGTCCAAAAATGTGGCCTGTGTAAAAAAGGAAAATTGAATCTTGAAAAAATAAAATGTTTAATAACTTTTGGAACTGATATGCACAAAATATCAGTCTTATTGCAGGTTGTAAAATTCTATATATGCCTTCAAATTGATTAGCTGCAACAGCAGTGGTATTGTAAATTGTTATTCATCTTTATCTACAGTACATTCTTCTGTTGGTTATAAAGATTTTAGCTATTTTATCTTCTGGTACAAGCCATATACTGTATCTTGGAATTGTACACAATTTTTCAGGTAGTAGGGTTAGTATAGGATCAAATGGCAAGCATGTATTTAAAACATAAACAAAAGTGGTGTGTTTGCAAGACAGTATTACAGAAAAACATTCATACTTTTCTATTAAATTGAATATGCAGTAAGTTGTCGGGAGTGGTTATCTACGTATTTATTCAGTTTTGATGTCAACCGATGCACAATTTAATAATTAGAGCAAAGACAGTCATGAGATGGTACCACATAAACTCAAATGTAAGGTGCAAGATCATACTTTACACTGCAGAGACCAAGAAAAAGAAAAGGGCAGTATACTTGTTGGAACAATCTGAAATAATATCTGTACCTGCTGAGGCTAAATACAGTGAGGCTTTTAATACAAGTGATGGATAGTTTAAGTCAATTAGTGTACTCCTTATCCAGCCCAATGCATAATTCATCTGATAGACTGGGGCTGTGGCTTTGAATAAAGGCTGCTAATGGGCCTTAATATTGCCACCACGAGATTCTTATTTGAAACAGATCATAAATGCATCTTTCCAATTCCTCGGTGTACCAGGCACATGTCCCGTAAACAAGATTAAATCAGTCCACAATACACCCTCTGGGCAGTTTGAATCCTTTTAACCAACATTTATAAGAGAAGGGTTTAAATGGGCTGCATACCAGCCATTTTTACTGGAAATGTTCTAATGGCATGAACTCACAGAACCACTGCATTTTCGGCTTTCATTCCGCTTCGTATTAAAAACAACTTTGCTGTCTGTGTGATTTTAGATTCAAGAAGACCCTTCTAGATTTTCATTTATAAGTACAGTGCAAGTCAAACATAAACACCTTGATGTTGTCGTAATGCTTTGTCCCATACCCAAATCTAAAAATGTCCTTGCATATCATTCCTATATTTTAACTCATGGATCAGCAGTGGGCACAGTGAGAACAAAGAGTGTGTCTTTATTTTCCACAAAGTTCTCATATATATTATGAGGACAAATCTACACTGACAAAAAATGTTTATTTTAGCCTAGATGTTCTTATGATTATATTTAATTATTTTCCCTATACAATATAAATTATACTAAAAGTGAATATCCTCATTCTAGTAGATAAAAGCCGTAATGTCTTAATCTAAAATATAAGCATGGTGTTTATAAAAAGAAATCTGTTTAATATCCTGTATTATAAACATTTTTTGAAGGAATTGACATCATTCAGACAATTCAGTAGAAAGTACCATTTACAACATTCATTCATTTTCTACCGCTTAGTCCCTGAACGGGGTCATGAGGGGGGGGCGGAGCCAATCCCGGCCGGCAATCGGGCGAAGGCAGGGTACACCCTGGACAGGTCGCCAATCCATCGCAGGGATAACACATAGACAAACAACCACACGCACTCCTATGGGCAATTTAGAGACACCAATCAACCTAAGCTGCACGTCTTTGGACTGTGGGAGGAAGCTGGAGTACCCGGAGAGAACCCACGCAAGCACGGGGAGAACATGCAAACTCCACACAGAAAGGTCCCAGGTGGGGCCCGAACCCTTCAATAATCAGGTGTAAAGATGAGCATCACTGCTGGTTTTTAAAAATGTTTTCTGATACTACTCATAACCATTTTTTAAATATAAAATGAGTAAAACATTTGCAAGTACATTCTATTTTTAAATGAGTAGAATTCAAAACGATTTTTGATGTGAAAAACTGCATGTTTTCACATATTAGTTGTACAGTAAGGCTACTTTTTTTCTATGTATATGACCAAACATTTTGATAAAACAATCTCAGATTTGCTGTTGACAATTTGAACTGCTTTATTTATTTTTTTAGAGGGATGAAGGCATTTAAAAAAAAAGATGTGCACCAATATATGTTTTTGTTTAATTCAGTATCAGTGCATACTTAAAGCTACAAAATAACCCACTTATGTAGCTTTAAAGGCATTTATGAAGATATTCCGACAGACAGAATTCAAAATGACCACGTGCATCATGCTGAGTAATATCTTTGGTACAAAATCCTATGTCAACACAAACTGGACAGATGCTTAAATATACTTGTTTAGACCTCAATCTCCCTTTAACACAGATCATGGAGACTGAGACTCATCAAAAGAACCCAGTGCATTACCTTGTCTTTATTAGTATTACCAGCTAGCATTAACTTCAAACAGCAACTTCACTTATTCCTCTTACATTGTATGTATAATTTTAAATACAGACATGTTTAGCAAGATGCAAACATACTTAAAAACCCATTTAAAACATCTTGGTGTTTTGTTATAGGAAAACACAATAAATATTATTTTCACAACATCAAATTGCAAAGTGTAAACTGCAGTGTAACAGATGCTGACTACAAAGATCTAATGGAATGAACACCAGCTCTGAAAAAGTGCTGAAGCTTTAAACTAATGTGCCGTATCAGTAGAACTGTCCTTTACACTGAAACCAAATGTCTTTATTTATAATATTAAAACAAAACAAATGCAACACATTCCTTGTATCCCTGTGGCTGGTCCCACTGCAAATTTTATTCTAGGAAGTTACTAAAAACAAAGATGCTTTTTGGCAAATGTTCCAAATCTATTTGCTCTGAGAAAGCTTCTGAGAAAAAGTATCACATAACATCCATCCATCCATTTTCCAAACCGCTTAGTCCCAAACGGGGTCACGGGGGGCTGGAGCCAATCCCAGCCAGCCGCGGGCGAAAGGCGGGGCACACCCTGGACAGGTTGCCAGCCCATCGCAGATCACATAACATGTTTGTGCATATCTATATAAAGGGTGTGGGAATTCAAAATCCAACTTTTAACTTTTGATTCAAGTGCAGGGCAGCTACATTCAAAAACAATCAAGCCTACTAATGTTTGAACTGGTAACTTGCCTATTTGTATTATTATGGGAAGATTGTTAGAATATGTTAGTTATTATAAGCTGGCTTCAAGTGAGAAAATGCCACTTAAGAGACATTAGAGTAGTAAAACACAAGCAGACGTAAGAAAAAATAGGTATAATAAATTATTGGATATCATATGATGCTAATGCATGACAAGTTGACCAAGCAACAGTTTGAACATAGAACCTCCTGCTATGGGACAACCAAAACACAAATGGCATATAGGACTGTAGGAAGGCTGTCTTTATGAGCAGACAATAAGCAGAAAGACATGAGCAGAGGCCAAAGACATCAGGCTGTAGGTAATCTGTTCTCATGCATCTATCAGGTGAATGTGTGTATTTGCATGAATCTATCCAAATCTGCCAAATCACATTCCATCTGCTGAAGAGCGATGGCACATTTTCTGAGCATATACTGTATTATTGGTACTCTAATAGTGTGCAGCGGCATGCTTCACAGGCTCATCCAGGGTCCAGGTCTCTGTCGGAGTGTTGTTTCACCCTGGTTAGGTAGCAGCAGGCACCCATCTAACATGTGTAAACCGTCTATCTCCTCAAGCTCCTTAGAGTCATGAGACCCTTCCTCCTTGGTATCTGGTGTATCAGGCCCAGAGGCATGTGAGAGAACTGAGGGCCTCTCTGATGACAGCTCTGCCACCATGTAATTTCCCTGAAAATCTGACTGCACAGATTCAATCACTTTAGAACCATCAAGTTCCTTCTGAGAATTTTCCTTCTCCATGCGCTTTCGAGCCTCCTCTGTCCTCTGCTGAATGCGGGTGTTGTCTCCCATCATAACTCTAACTCTTACTTGGTCCGGAGGCCAGAGCCCACCCCATATGAACTGCAGGTAGCTAAACAGCACAATGACACTGAGGAAGGCAAAGTTGGTAGTGACACCGATCACTGCAGATGTTAGGGGGAAGTTATACAGAACATATCGTATACCAGTGAAGTAGGCATGGATCCGAAGCTGAGATGAGTAGATCTGCACTCGCTTAGAATGGATCTCAATGACTGCACCAGCAGTAGGTTCATAAGCATTTGTCTTGTAGTCTGAGAAAAGCTCAACTTCTATGAGCTGCTTCTGCTCAGTCATCCCAGTCAGAAGGAGAGGAGAGAACATGAAAGTACTCAGGGTCTGCAGGAGACTGGAACGGTAATGCAGCATAGTAGATCGTCCCACTGATGACACAGTCTTCCCACCTTTGGTATATGAAGACATCTTGACCATGAACATACCCAGCTTTTCATTCACTGGAGACTCAGGCATCTCTAACTCCAAAGATATTCTATAAGGCTGGCCATTAGCCATCACGTGGTCTCTCTCATTCTTCATGAAGGAGATGTTCGCGGTGGGGAATGAACAAAGTGCTGCTTCTGAGTCATGGCAATCAGACGTGTAGTAGAAGTGCACAGGGGTGGAGAAGCTCACAGTGGGCATGTATGAGTAATAGAAACTTCCATAGAGAAAGATGGACACCCAGAGCAGCAGAACCAGGACACAGAAGAGGACGGCAGCCTGAAATAAAGTTCGCCGTACTTTGAGGATAGATACAGCTGCCACATCCTGCAGCCATTGAAGAACGGGTCCCATCGCACTCCCCATCGTATCTGATCCGAAACTCGCCGACCTTCTTCTAGCCGCGGTTTGGACAGTTGCTCCTCCTTCCAGTCCTGCTGACTGCTGCCTCGGTAGTGGGTCGTTATGTGTATGCATTAGCGGGTGGCTCCCCTTTCGAAACTGTGTAGCTAATTGCTTACGTTCCACCTCCCATGTCAAAAGTCCGAGTGTTAGCTTGTTAGGCTAGTTGCTCCTAGTTGGATTCATACGCTAAACAGGCTACTCCACAAAAATAGAAATATCCTTGACTTCTAAAGGTTTAACATCTGTGTTTTTCAACGTGGAAATTCGTTAGCAATTTAACAAGTACTCAAACATCACTGCTACATACAAACATGACCCTATAACCCGGAAGTTGACACCCTCTTTTGTGCTTAGTGGTGCTAGCTCGAAGCAGCAGAGGATTAACAACGACGCCAGGAAAGGGAGCAGGCCTTTAGACCGACAGATAGACACACCGTGATGGGGAAGAAAAGTCGCCTCACAGGAGGAGCGGTCGGTAGAAGAACGATCCTACAGCTTTCACCTCCTGGGCTCCGCGGTGGGAATGCAGGAGAGAGGGAAGAAGCACTTTCTGGATCCGATGGTAATTTTTTAAACATGTCGTTAAATCAGGTTAGCTTAATGCTAAATGGTCGAGGTGTGAAGAATGGGCCCATGTGGTAAAAAAAAGAACAGTAACTTAAAATATTTAGCTATTGAATTCGTAAACACTGAGTGCAACGATAAATTGTCGACAAGAAATAGCAAAGGAGCTCACAGGATCGATGTTTTTTCATTCAACGGACCGACCAGAAGCTATCGGATGACACGCTAGGCTAGCGGTGATAAAACTAGCTAGTATTTTTGTCAGTTTGCCTTATAACAAGCGATTGGGCAAGTTAATCCATACGTAGTTAAGCAGTATTATCTAACACCAATACTGTTAAATTTTACTTGCTTAATCTAGTAGTGTGAGTATGGTGAATAATATTAGCTAATTTGTGTCCGTTATCCAGTCTGTGAACAACTAACGTGAGCTTGCTGTAGGTAGCTAACGCTAACTTAACCTCTTGGCTGGCATGGTTTGCAGACGAACAGGATGGTGATGGAGAGAGATTCGTGAAAAAGGGACACACAAACATGAAGGCTCCCGCAGTAAAGGCCACAGGTAAAGTAGCTGTGCTTTTATCCATTAGGAGAAATGCGAAAGGATTCACAATAGATTGAACAAATTGTATTGCTCTCCACCTGTAGAGGGTTTATCCCTGCTTGGAGCCTATGAAGATAGTGATGAAGATGATGCTGGAGAGACTCAGCGCTCAGTTGCGAATTCTCAACGCAACCAATCAGCTGACATCGACAAAACATTGGCCAGCTTCATGGCTGTAAGTATAATTTGCTGCCCATTTCTGTCTATCATCTGTTCTGGTCACTGATTCCTGAAACGTAGTTCATACTGGATTTATCTTGTAAAATTTATACATTTAAAACAAGTAAGTTACTGCTTTTAAGTTATGCTTAATGGTGCAGATGAGGCTATAGGTGCCAAGTAATATTCATGTATGGGGCTCAGTATGGTGTACAGCAGTAACAAATACAGTGCCAGTCTACTTATTTTAGTTCTGTGTGACGGATATGAAGTTAACATCTTATGATAGTGGCTAGATCAGATAACCTCAGCTAAACAAATGGTAGGGTGAATAGCCTGAGTTGTGATAGCATGTAGTTGTGCACTGAAAGGAGACATTGTAATTAGATCTGTGGCAATCAATTTGGAGTTCAAAGTAGACTTCGGGTTTTTTTTCACATTTAGATTAGTTTTTTTTTTTTCACAGGTTCTAACTTGGGACCATTGTTTCATAAAGAAATCCCATCATTTGTATGAAGAGTGGGACTGAAAATGTGCTTTTGTCAAGGAATTTAAATTCCTGTTGCCATTTTTCTCACAACAGGAAATTGATGCAATCACCACTCAGCCAAGTTCAGAGGATACAACATCTCATCCTTCTGTCCCAACAACCACCCCACCCAGACCTGAGGTTAATACTCAGCAGTCAGCTACCGGTGAAGGACAGAATCAGCAAAGCACAGAGTTTGAGTACAATACTCAGTACTCTTTAGCTGGAGGTAATTGTCTGTGAGTTATTTAAGATCAGGTGTGCACATTGTGACGTTTCCCTCTCTGTAACAGACTGTGTATGCTAATAATTATAGTTGTCTTCATAAGAAGTTGTTTTGCTGTATGTTGAAATAATTCAGGTTATTGCCTAAAATAACAGGTTCTTTTGAGTGAGATTTTATGCATATCAACTTAAGTTTTTTTTTTTTCTTTTTTGAAGCATCTCATGTATATGCTTTTTTGCAGTGGGCGTAGAGATGGGAGACTGGCAGGAGGTATGGGACGAGAACTCTGGCTGCTACTACTACTGGAACACTCTGACCAATGAGGTGTCTTGGGAGCTGCCACACTATCTAGCTGATCAGGTGCAAAGCCTGGAACAGTATGCCAACAGGTGAGAGTAACTGACCGAGTGAAAAGCCTAAGTGTTATCACATATTTGTGAATAGCTTCCTCTTCTCTGTGGCTACATTAAAAGAACATACCTATTTGAAGGACACTTCTTTTCAATGTTCTTTGTTTTTGCTTTAGTACAGAAATGCAGTGTATGATGTTTTTTTTTTTTTTGCTTTCTTTGTAGTGCCAACGGCAATGACACAGCCCATGCTGGTTATTACTTGGAGGAAAACGCTGCATCTGTTGCAGTCCTGACATCAGTGAAAGAGACCAAAGTGAAGGCAGGTTTTATTGAAGTCCAGAACTAATGTGAATCAACATTATTTTTTGGTATTTAAGAGTTTTTATTCAGAGTTTAAATGTATCACTGCCATGTTTTGTCTCAAAGGATGTGATCGAGAGTGTTGTAGGCCTCACAAGTGAGGAGGAGGAACATCGTGGAGTGGCTGCATCTCTTCTTGGTCCTCTGATTCCCTCTGAAGTGAAAGAAGCAGAAGAAAAGTGGAGAAAAAGACTGCTGAAAGGTTTGGACGAGACTGAAAACTGTTTGGATTCTGAAGGAGAAGGTGTTTGCCCGGCAGGGTCCCCCTCGACCCCTCTTCAGGACTCGGACTCAGTCCCAACTGATCTTTGCACCAAGAAGCAGTCAAGAGACAACTCGGATGCTGAGGAGGAGACAGAGGAAGACACAGTGGAACTGGAACTGGCTCTGGAGAGGAAAAAGGTGTGTTTTTTTTATACTTTTTGGGGGGCCCAAATTTGACTATTGACAAGATTTCCTTTCAAGCTAAATGTTGGTATGACCCAGCTCATATGACCCATAATATATTATGTTTTCTGGCCTTTAGGCTGAGCTCCGGGCACTGGAGGAAGGTGATGTGAGTGGAGGGGGCTCCAGTCCTTGTTCTGAGGCAAGTCAAGAAACCTCTGGTTCTCGTGGCCTTGTACTGAAGAAAAAACGTTGGAAGACTGCTTTCCCCTCTGCTGCCAGCCCTGACTCGAACAGCAGAGGATCAGACCAACAGGACAGCACAGAGACAAGTGAGTCTAAATGTTTACATGTGCTACTGGAGGGTGGAATGCATGACGGGTGGGTGTGTGAGTGGGATTACATAAATAACTTGTTGGTGTTTTCATACAAAAAAATCCCACATACTCAAATTCCTCTCTTGGGTCCTGTAGCTCTTTCCAAAGTCCTCGAGAGTGTTGCAGAAGGAGAAGACAAGGAAATGGACGATTCTGAGGAGAAAACAGTTTTGAAACGAGAAGATGTGGAAACACCTGAACTCAAAGTGGAAACGCCTGAGCTTAAGGTAATGATGTCATTACTAACATAATAATTGCTGTAATCTCTTAAAACATGTTCTGATGCTGATAAGTAATAGTTTCAGATTGGAGAATTGGCTAACACCTTAACCAGCAAGATGGAGTTCCTAGGGATAAACAAAAAGGCGATCTCAAACTTCCAGTTGCTTCTGCTACAAACTGAGGTGAGAAGATAATGGCTCAGCTTCTATGCAATATTACCCTAGCTTCCAGTTGTAGTTATCCCTGTACCACTTCTAAAATATTTAGTGCTTAATTTCATATCATTTTGTACAAAGTCGTGGTACTACTTAATATTTAAAAATCTCATAATAATCCATCACAAGGTGTCATTTTGGAAACTTGCTGTAATTACTCTTCTGTCTTATTCCATTTTTTTTTACCTCCTAGACTCGCATTGCTGACTGGAGGGAGGGTGCTTTGAATGGGGTCTATCTTCGCCGCAGGCTGCAGGAAGCTGCCGAGCACATAAAATATTACGAACTTAACGCCACCCCAAAAGGCTGGTCCTGCCACTGGGACAGGTACGCGCTCCTTACCTTTCACATCTCTAAACTCCCTCGCCCCCCAGAAATCTTACCGTGTGACAACATCCCCCTCAGTGCCGAGGTTGCAGACTTTGTAACATGACTTGGGGAGAAGCTTAACCAGTTCAAGTGGATCAAAATGCTTACCAGAAACAGACTCTTCAGGTTTCTATGATGTGATCCTGGCATTCTGCCTTGCATGTACTGATAAAGGCCACCCTGCTTGCTGTTAAATATAAAACTGCCACAGAGAGGACTCCCTGTCCCTATAACAGACTTTTAAGCCCTTGTTTGTGAGGGCATTTGTAGACTGACGATGAGTCCAGTCAGTGGAAAAATTGGGAGGGGGTGGGGTATGGTAGGAAGGTTGGTTGCGTGGGAAAGCTTTGCATTTTGCAGGACTACAACTCCCAGAATACATTGCAGACAGAGTGATGCCCTGGAAGAGCCGAGTGTCACACATCAAATAAAAGGTGAAGATGGAGCAATGACGGGATTCCAGCAGGTCAGACCAAGTCTATTTCATATGTCTTACTGTTTTTTTTTCTTTTTAAAATTTTCTTCTTTCTGATGTAAAACAAGTTGACTATGTGCTTATTCTTTTCTGACCTATGGTTGATAATGATGATGATGATGATGATGATGGTTCTTCCTCCCTGGCGTCTTCCTGTGTCTGGGAGGGAATGGTTGTCTAAAACTGAACAAATATGACAACCATGGTGTGAGCTGCTGAATGGTACTTTCAGGACCTAGAGATGATTTGTTTTGCTTTATTTGTTTTTGAGAGCAAGGTGGGTTCCCTGTCCACATCATAACCACACTTTAATTGGGCCCTTCTTCTGGACAGATAAAGTTGCTGTCCATACAACACTCCTGTCCCCTACTGTACTGTACCCATTATGACCACTCCCTTGCCCCACTGCCCCAGGGAATCATGCCACTCATCCAGTTGCTGGCCAGTCATTGAGAGTCTTGTCTTCTATTTCTGTTGTCCCACTTTTTAGAGAACACAGGCGGTATTTCTATGTGAGGGACCGGACCGGTGCCTCCCAGTGGGATTTCCCAACAGAGGAGGACAAAGAGGAGGACCTGAAAGGCAGCCAGGGTACTGAGACAGAGACTTCTAGCCAAGAGGATACCAAAACATCTGCATCTGCTGGTGGGATGATAGGTCAGTCACTGTTCCTTAGACTGGGTGTAAAATCTGCCCTCTTAAGTTTCTTCTTTAATGACTTTAGAACATTGTTATGTCTGTGTTTTAAAAACAGGATCTTCTGCTTACGATGCTGTTACCCCACCAGCACCACCTCAGCCTGGTGCGTTCTGGCCACCATCCCAACCTCCTCTTCCTGACAGCCCACCTCCACCTTCCCACTGTCCCTCGCCTCCCCCTCTCCCCCCAGGCTCGCCACCTCCACCTCCTCCTCCTCCTGACAGTGATGGAGAAATCATGGAAGTGGAGATGGAGATGGATGATGATAATGAGGAGCCTCCAGCCCCTGGAACTGAGGAAGATGGCAATGGGAGGCCTCCTTTACCTCCTGGAGATACTGGTGCAAAAGTATGGGAGTAATAAAGCTTATCTTTGATTGGTGTCCTCCTATTCATATTTTTCTTGACAGTGATACATTTGTCAATTGTGAATGGAAGAGCACTGCAGCCTTTAACTTTGTTTTTCTCAAACAGACTGTGGATTCATCGGGCCCCTTGGGGAAGGGGCAGAAACGTAAATCCAGCCAGCTGAATAAAGCCATTACCATTGGCAGCAGTCCCATTCTCTACACCCAGTCTGCTGCCACTGCAGGTATAAATAAAACTATACAACATCCACAGTTGCAGTATATACTCACTGGCCATCTTATTATGTACACCTGTACAATTGTATACAATTCAATGCAACACTTCTGCCTTAACATCTGTGTTTATGAGTCTCAGAATGTTTCAGTTTTTGGTGAATTGTCATAAATGTATAAATTCAATGATATGCTCATTATTGAGGTCATAATTAAAAGTGGTGTTGTATTGGACTACCTTATATTTTTAGGTGTCCTAATATTCTGATTCTCATGTATGTACCTGCAGAGGACCAAAATATACGCCTCTAAATATAATGTAGCCCAGTACAGCACCAGCTTTAACGATGACTTCAATAATAAACATATAATTGAATTTATACAGTTGTAACAATTTTACCAAACTCTGAAACAGCCTCATAGGTACAGGTGTACCTATTAAAGTGACCATGGAGTGTATATTAAACATGCTGGGAGCAAAAATGCATTTCTGTTAATAGCATTATTACACATCTTTGAACCAAGGCTAGAGTCCAGTCTTAATGTCTACCCTAAGCACTAAGCCTTCACAGAGCAACACTGTGCAAGCGCTCACGATCACACAGTAAAGCAGCATAAAACTTACCAGAAGTGTATATACTGAGTAAAGCCACACCAGTGTACGAGGTAATTCATGCTTTGTGCATCTGCATGTCCACTAAGGTCAAGTGACCTAATTTTCATCATCTTTCCATGCCAACAAGGGTCCGTGTGGACTCTGTGCAGACATCTGCATGTAGGCCAAAAGTATGTCTGCACAGCAAAAGCCCCAACTGCGTATGTTCTACAATGGTCGGAAACCTTTTGGCATATGCAGAGCCTCGATTTGAAGTATGAATAGGGACGTGCACACCCCCTTGTGTTCACGAGGGTATGCACAAAGCATCAATTCCCCTTTACACGTCATTAATACAAGTGTCAGGAATGGCAAGAGTGGCATTTCAAGTAAGTAATTTGAGTATTTTTAACATTGAGCTGTTTACCCAATAACTGTGAGGTTTCTTTGACTCTGCAGCTCCTCTCATGTCAGCAACTGCCTACTGGGGTGTGTCAGCTGTCACTGCTCCTTTGATCCCCTGTGAACCTCCTGTCCCACCTGTCCCAGCACTACCTCCTCAACCACCGCTGCCACCATCCCAGCCGCCCTTTGAACCTCTAGGAGCCAAAGTTTTGCCCACAGACAAGACCAAAAAGGCAAAAAAGGATAAGGTTAATATTGCAGTTAACCTTTTACATCAAGGGGCAAAGGAGAGCAGTAAAGGCAGTTTAATACCTGTAATGTTAATTGTCTTTTTCCAACATAAACCTTGAATAACTTTTTCCCCTTTGTTTAGATTCAAGCATTCAAGCCATCCTTGTAACCCACTGCTTAAATATCACATAAAAAGACCCTACAGTTTAATTTTTCCTCTTGATACAAACTTTGTAGTCAAAGAAGAGTAAGACCAAAATGCCTTCACTGGTGAAGAAGTGGCAGAGCATCCAGAAGGAGCTGGATGAAGAAGAGAAGAGCAGCTCCAGTGACGAGGACAGAGAGCAGCTTAACAAGAAGAGTATCGAGGAGTGGAAGCAACAGCAGTTTATGACGTATGTTTCCGCAAAAACTTCCAGTCATTTTTTTTTTTTTGAATGAATTATAAAAAATGCAGATGGTGAACAACTGAAATTATACAAATATAGCTACAGTGTTCCATAGAGTTGGTCCCCATTTTCTTCTGTCTTTCCTTCTAGTAACTCTTGACTAACTGTTAACCTGTTTTATTTTTTCCAGAGGAAAAGCTTCAAAGAATGCCAACTTTGAGGCACTTCCTGAAGACTGGCGGGAGCGACTGAAGAAACGGAAGATAATGAATAGCACATAACGTCTAGCTTAACTTAAGTTGTATATTACCCATTTAACATTTTTAACTACACTCCAACCACTAACATGATGTCATCCTTCCCACCTTAAGTTTTGTTCAGTGATCTATGGACTTTTTCTTCAGCTTCACTTGTCCATGATGGAGACATTTAGAGGCCCTTATATGGCAGGCCATTCACCAGAAGGGTTTGAATGTCCTGTTTTTGTGTTGTTGTAGCCACAATTGTAAATGTGCCAAATGTCATTAAGTTCATCCGAACTACTTCCACATCATCTTGTATAGACCCCATATAGATGACAACCCAGTTTGTTTGGAGGAATTGTCTATTTTAATGAGCATTTTTACAACTGTGTACATAAAATGTATAATGTAATAAGCCATGTTTTTGGAAGGGGAGGTAATGTCACAGAAGTTGTATATTTTGTAAAAACGTATTAAACTGTTTTTCAAAGCTCTTTATTTTTTGCCTTTTAATACTATTTTTATGCTGTAAAACATTTAACAGAAACGTTTTAAGAAACGAATAGCTTTGTAATATTATCCCTGGCTGGTACAATTGTGAGAAATGTTAATATTAACGACGAATTAATCACAGCATAGCCCTGTTTTTAGTTACAGTACGTCAATCCAATAATCTCTAACGCCACTTCCCGACATTTTACGACAAATTAATACTTTTGTGAAGCATTTACTGACGTGGGAACATCTCCTCAGCAACCTCACTGTTACAATCGGTTGCTCAGCAACATCAACACTGTACTATTCAACTTGTAACCGCAAAGTCTGCTTCACGGCCATTCGCGTACAAATTAATATTTCAAGTAAAATGGTGTAATTAACATGCAAGCGAGGTAAGTGGCAGTCACACATTGATACTTGTTATCGATACAAACTATCGTAAACGTCACACGCGTTGAGAGCTAACTAGAATGTTAGCATCACAAGGAAAGTCACTCATTCGTTCATGTGGAAGTGGCGTCCGAGTGCTTCCAAGAAGTGATAAACTTGGCAAATTCATCCAGAAATACCTAGAAGCATGTCTTGTACTGAAGACGGGCATTAGACGGCTCTATGTTTTGAGCCAACTTAGGCTAACTAGTTGACTAACTTACACCAGCTAACGCGGCATTTCCCTTATAATAAAGAGCTGGAGAATGCTGTGAGAGAGTTTACCCTCAGCACCACACATCTGAGTTTTGTCTTTTATTCAATTTCCCTTTTAAATGAATATTATTTCAGACGCGTAACCAAGTTATATAATTAGAAATGTTTTTGGATAACAAAAGACGTATAGACATGTCATATCCGTATATATCTATTATCAGCTTACACTGACCTAAAAAGGCTGCCTTTATTGTTTCATAAAATATCCTGCAATATCAGCTAAAAACTTAACCTAGTTTAAGTTCATTGATAGTCTCCATAATATGTTTCTTTTTGTTTGAGTCTGCTTTGTGCAAGTTTGGTGTATAATTTCTATTCTCTAGTTTATTTGTGTATTTTGCCTTCTCATGTGATTTCAACAGTGCTTTGGTTTGTTCACTATGTGGTATTTTACCTCCATTTACTTGCAATAGATTATTAAGGATTTATTCCATAAGATAGATACAGTATATCTGTTCTTTTACATGCATTTGTAAAAAAAGACTCAAATTGCGACTTGTTTATATTCTGCGGGAAATACCAGACACTGGAATTGGCTTGAAATACTCATATTGATTCATGATGATAACAGTTCTTTGTATTGTCTTGCAAGTCTTAGTTGATACAGGGTAAAAGCCAGTACATTTCTGACTCACTTTGGTAAATGGGAAACAACACTCACCTCTTACATTTTCCCAATCAGGCTGACCACACATCGACCATGGCTGTCTCTGCTCTCAGGAATTGGTGGAATACCTACCAGCTGGACACATCAGATACCAGTGACTCCAACACAGAGAAAGAGAGGGAGGAATCAGCAAGGAGGAGGCAGTGTATGTTATTTACACATAGACTGTATTTAGATAACATACGTTATGTTCTTATATTGTATGTGGACTAACTGCAGCTGAAATGTGTGTTAAAATAACAACTGTGTGTAGCTAATAGTTGATATCTGGGAAGGAGATGTGGCCACCACTGAATGGACATGTGGCACCTCATGCCTAATTCTAGATTATTATTTATTGAACAAAAGCTCTTTTGGATGCAGCATGTTATCTTGTTTGTTCTAGGTGAGGCAAGGGGGAAGACCTGATCAAAAATATAAATCTATAATCTAATATTGGAAAAAGAGGAGCATGAAAAAACTTACTGAAAGTATGATCCATGTTCCCTCTCAGTATCCATGAGCCTAAGTCAGACACTGCGCACCAGGCAGCTGCTCATAGACTTTGATGGTGGCAGGCCTGTTTTGAGTCTCAGGGCACCACTGGACCTGGTTAACTTCCCATCTGTCTCCTGTCCCCGTTGGCCCATAGAGTGTGAAGTCATCAGCGACATTATACATCACATAGGTAATTAAAATCTTTATTTAAACTGTTATGTTATTAGGCACGTTAATGATATGCACAAGGTCTAAAAATAGGCACTGAGTTGTATTTCTGGTGAAATACAGCATATTCAACCTTAAGTAAAAAACAAGCAAACAAAAAACACTGTTAAATAGCATCTAAAGCTTGGCATGTTTTCTGTTAAATAACATGTCATAATACTGAGAGAGTGTGTGTTGCAGAGTGGGACCCCCCAGAGCCAGAGCCTTTTTATCAGCCCACAGGACATGAGAAGATAGTGATGCCAGCTGGAGAGGAGCAACGGAAAGTGGTATACTGTATTGACCATGGTAACTTTAGCTTTTTTAAAATACTCGAGTTACTTCATGCCACAGCTATCTAATAGAGAGCAAATAATATATGTTTTAATCTAAGGGCGTACGTTTGTATGTTAGTGAGGAGAAACCCAATTTAATTTAATGCTTCCTCATGTGGAATTCATATTGATAACACCATTCCAGTCCAATGATAAGTGCTGCTAAATCATGTACAAGTTTTACACTCAGTTTGATATACAATATTATGGGAACTGTTCTGGGCCATGAGGCAGCTGAAATGTCTTCCCTCACCCAGATATTAACAAGTGATCATTTTCAAGATAAACATGATATTCCCAGCTGCTGCTCCCTAAAGCGTTTGATATTTATTTTTCTTGTTCTCACTCTTTCAAGCCACTAAGCGTCCTTATTTCTCCTGCTCTCGTGCTGGAGGAAGCAGGGGGCCTGTTAAGAGCGCCACTTGTGACATCAGTCAGACAGACTCGACCCTTGAGTTTGAGTCACGCTTTGAAAGTGGAAACCTTCAGAAGGCAGTGCAAGTGTGAGTCTCTGCAGCATAATCTAGTGATGAGTTGTTTTGACTTTTCAGCCATTACATGTTCATCCTGGTGGCTCTTGATGAAATTACTTTCTTTTTGTCTGTCCCCATGAATATTTCTTTTCTATTCAGGGGTGTCTATGACTATGAGCTCAGTTTGCACACAGACATGTACACCAGAAAGTACACGCAGTGGTTCTACTTCAGGGTCAGAAATATGAAGGCTGGAGTGAACTATCGCTTCACCATCATCAATTTGATGAAGAGCAACAGCCTGTATTCTCAGGGCATGAGACCATTGCTCTACTCTGAGAGGGCTGCCAGTGAGAAACGAGTCGGATGGCAGCGCTCCGGTTCTAATATCAAATACTCTCGGAACTGCAGTCAGGTAGGTAAACGTTCTGACATAAGCTGGAAAATTAAAAATTGGCATCTGGACTACACTGTAAACTACTAGCCAATTTCTTACTTTCACTGCAGCATTTATTTTCAAACTTGTGAATACAGATTAAAATTATGCTTGCAGAGGTTTTAAAACTTGTTTTAAACTAGATAATCCATCACAGTCAAGATTTAATCATCTTTGTCTCTTATCAAAAAGTTCTAAGTGCTTAAGAGTGTAGGAAATTTACACTGGAGGGGAGGAGCAGCAAAGGAACAGGGGGGTATTACTGGCCCTGTTTAAAGACGCCATGTTGAAGTTAACATTGCTAATTGATTTTCATACTTTTGTACCAGGAACTGAAATAAATCAAACATTTGTGGTGTACTTTGGAAAATGGTCAGCAGTAAAATTAAGTATCTGTAGTTTGTCAGTTATAACATGCAGGTCCATCATTTTACCAGAATTACAAAAACACGCCACAGCAATATCACTTCACAGAATTGAAATCATAATTGTAAAAGCAGGATCTCACTCATAAAGCGTTTATCTGTCTCTAGAGTACAAAGGACAACAGCAGTGAGCCCATCGCCCTGTTCTCACTCACCTGGACTCTCCAGTTCCCCTATGACTCAGACACTTGCTACCTGGCCCACTGCTACCCCTACACCTATTCACACCTGCAGCACTACCTTAGATGCATTTCTGCCAACCGAACAGTTGCATCATACTGTAAACTGCGGGTGCTGTGCTACAGCCTTGCTGGAAATGCTGTGTACGTGATGACAGTAACGTCCCAGGGGACTGGCAGGGTGGAGGGCAGGACCAAGAAAGCTGTGGTTGTGACAGCCCGAGTGCACCCTGGAGAAACCAACAGTTCCTGGATGATGGAGGGGTTCCTGGACTTCCTGCTCGGGGACTCGGAAGATGCCCAGCTACTCCGGGATACTTTTGTTTTTAAGGTGACAGGGTCTTATTATCATGATCATTGCTTTAGCGCATTAGTTTCTTGTATGTCTGAAGAGTAATTTAAAGAGCAGATAGTGAGTGACTAGAAGTTTGTGTTTTGATTTATTGTATGTTGTAATGCTGTATACTGCTATCACATGTAGTTTTTTTCTAATTTGGAATTTTGGTGCTACAGGTGGTGCCAATGCTGAACCCAGACGGTGTGGTGGTAGGCAATTACCGCTGCTCTCTAGCAGGCAGAGATCTCAACAGAAATTACAACACATTGCTTAAGGATTCCTTTCCCTGTGTGTGGCACACCCGAAGCATGGTGGAAAAGTAAGACAGGTCACACGAATGAACAAACAGACAAACACTTTTCGCTGTTTGAAAGAGGTTTCACATTAAAGCACTGTATTTGTATATATTTTGCAAGTTCGTGACAATTTACATTTCTTACACAGCTTCTCATGATGAACACAGTTTTTTTTGTTTTGTATTTACTCCCAGACTGTACCGTATGGCAGAAAACAGTTCAACTTTATTTGACGACATTTTTCTGAACATTATCTGTCTGAAAATACACCAGATGGTATTTTTAAACATGGTTTTTTATATATTTTGTGTATTATACCAGTAGGATTCTACTATTCCTAGCAGGAAAACAAATTAAAATGACAGGTTGGATAAATTCCAAATGCCAGATACATTACATTATAATGATGCCATCACTTATCACAAAGTCAGCTGACATTGTAACAGAACTTCTTTTGCTTTTCCTCTATATTAATCAGTAGAAACAGAAAGGAAAGCTGAAAAAGAAAGGTAGAGATGCAAGAAATCTCCGAGCTGCTGACTGAACCTGGGTCATACAGACTTCTAATGAGCTTCTAATAATGTAGCTTTGTGTAACTATTTACTTTTTCAGCTGTGTCAGAAACTGTGTAAAAGTTAGCTTTCAAGGTAACCTTCTGAACTTGGCACATTCTGTACTTACATGCTCTCTCATTCTCTTGCATTCTTCCATTGGGAACATTGCCTTTTATAAACAGATTTTCTGTTCGTTACACCATGTTTTTCCTAGGCTGAAGGCTGAGACGGATGTAGTTCTGTACTGTGACTTTCATGGCCACAACCGCAAAAACAATGTCTTTATGTATGGCTGTAACAGCCGAGGTGATGGATCAAAGAAGCTTCACGAGAGAGTTTTCCCACTAATGATGAGCAAGAATGCCAGTAATAAGGTAAAGTAACCTTTCAGTTTTATATTTTATCTTAGAAATGTAGAGCACCCAAAGGTTTTTGATGAATTTTAAGAAGAACAACTTATACACTCATTATTTTTTTCCTTTCATGGAACTCTTCTTAAGATGGCATAGGTCTAGTGTACTGTTTGGCACGGTCACCAATCTGCACCCTGTCATGGCTTGGCTCACCAAAAGCTCCTTAATCTCATGGGGGCACCTAAAGAAATACCTGACTTATCCTAGAAAAGGACATCTTATTCTGTTGTTAAAGAGAAATATTGTAGGCTACATTTTGGACCCATTATTCTCAACACAAATTAGGAATTAGGAATTTCAGAGTTGTAGAGAAAAGTTTTGGGGAACCAAAAATGGCACTATGACTCCCCCTTGTGGCATAACTTGAATATCCTAATTGCAGACAGACCTCTGGAATTCAAGCTGTGGGTCTCCAAAGCTATCTATAAGATTGGTGATCTGTATAAGGACAAAACTATGCTTGCTACTTCTCAATGATGACTCCTGGTTAGAATTTAATGAATAACACCGCAAACTGTTATTGGGAGGTCTTAAACTGAAATTATTAAAATGAAATGAAAATTGTTGAAAAAAAAAAAGCTACACACATCCACCAGTCTCTTAAACATCATTCTTTAAACTACTTCATATTTACCATTGTTTTTAGTATTGATTTGTGTTTATTTAACATTTCAAGAACAACATCTAAATCATCATCTTCTTTAGTTCTCTTTCAAAAGCTGCAGGTTTCGGGTACAGAAGTGTAGAGAGGGAACAGGACGAATTGCCATGTGGAGACTTGGCATCAGAAACAGCTACACTATGGAGGCAACCTTCGGAGGCTCCACACTGGGTAGGTTTAGACTTTTCAGATGTGTTTGTGTGTGTATGTTTCTGTGTCTCTTGTATAAGGATCTGTGATCTGTTTGACTGGTAGGCAACAGGAGAGGAACGCATTTCACTACTCGAGACTTGAAGTCCCTGGGCTTTCACTTTTGTGACACCCTGCTGGACTACTGTGACCCTGATCAAACAAAGGTGAAAGATAAAGCAGCATGTCAGATTACAGTTTATATAGAAATGTAGACTCCTTCCAACACTGGAACGCTATCTCGAGCAAAAGGAAAAATGTATATCCCAAAATGTACCTGGAAGCTGATTTTAAAGCTTTTTTGTAACTCTGGTGTCATCCATCTCTCTGTGTGATTTATCATTTTAATCCAGATTACTTACTGTCTGACAGAGCTGACAGCGATGTTGACAAAAAAAATCAGGCAGAAGCTGGGCAAAGATTTGGGCACTGACTGCTACTTCTCTGTTTCTGAACTGGAAACCAGGTGATACCATTTTATTTATCTTTTAAGCATCAAATGCCAATGCAACAGTCTTTGGTAATATGTGACGGGGATAAATTAGGTATTGTAATTATGTAATTTATATCCATTATGTTGTACTGCATTGTAGTTGGAAGTCAATCTGTTGTTTGGCAGTTGGCATTTGCAAGTATTCCGAAATCATTCTGGGGATTATTTAAAGGACTAAACATACTAGATAGCAAAATAAAAGTGCTCTAATTCTTGCACATTAAGATCAATGAGATGGAAAGATATGATTTGTAATAGCACTCCTTCATTCAGTTTGAATGTGCACATTTCTTTTTTGCCCCCACAGCACCAGTGGTTCAGATAGTTCAGATTCAAATGGACTCCCAGTTCATTTACTGAACCAACCACCAACTGTGCATCCAGAGGTAAATTGATATCAGTCTACCCTCCCACAAAATTTGTACTTTATGTCATGTTAAGGATAACATCACATTTCACTCCTGTGGTCTTGGAGCTCCTTTGTGAAAATCAGTTTCAAATCACATCTTCTCTTGCATCAGTTGGTCACATGCTCCTGTTTTCCTTCACAGCAAACTCCAGTGAAGAAGAAAAAGAAACGCTTGAGGAGTCGTAAAGAGAGGAACGGGCTGCGACCAGAGAAAGTGAAGAATAATGTACAGCAGAAGGTCCAGCAAAGCAGCATCAAAAATGTGGTAAGAAACTAAGAGACTAACAGGCCATAATTACTTCTGACTTTAAACAAGACTGATCAGTGAATGGTCTTTGCAGGAATTCAGTCTGCCCCAAGAGAATACAGTTAAAGAGAGTCTCCCAGAGAGGCCTGTTGGAAGACACAGGAGAAAATGGCAGGTATGAAGAAGAGAGTGTGAATAGGTTTAGGCAAGACAAAAAAGCACGAAGAGTGTTTTCCTTTAATATTTTTTGTTTGTGAAGGTAAATGGTCTGATAAAAAAGGTTGTGAGCCCTTCTTCTACCACCCACCCTGAGGAGGTCAGTCAGGTGACTCTGTGGCAGGGGGGCCCGATGACTCACATGATCCACCCACTCCTTTGATTATTGGCGCATTATTGGTTGGTCATAAAATACATTCATTCACATAGCCACTTCAATTTTTATTAGTATAATGAAAATCTGCAAATTCCCAACTACTATTTGCAGTACTTAAAGCAGCTGAACACAATCTGTAATTTGGATTTTGATTTTTGGATGTTTTCTTTGCAATATTTTCTGTTTTAGGATAACGGTCTGGAAAACATGAGAGCTGTGTGCCTGCATGGCAGGGCAAAAGCATGTCCACATCTCAGCACCTACAGAGCTGTGTCATCTCGCACAGGTAATGTTTACTTTGGAAGTTCAGAATTTCTAAAAATTGTCCTCAAAGCCTTAGTGTATACTTCACCGCTACCATCACTTTTGTAGGTTGTCGTCAGTCATGTTGTCTTTTGACTTCCAAACAGGAAGGAGATTTGGTAGAGAATCATATTAATTGGTATTTTGTTGTTCAAAGTATAGACAGTCTCTTGAACATGAGGGCAGAAGTATTTAGAATCATCCGTGCATTAGGAAACGTCTTAGCAGTGAACAGTGTGTTTGGCTTGTTTTCCCAGATGTTCCAGGGATGGATACAGGACAGTGGAGATGCTCCTCTCAGCTGCTGCACCTAAGTGTTCTCATTCCACCGTCATCAGATTACATACATTCCAGCCGGCAACAGTATCACTGCCCCCGACAATCTCATGTCCCCTTTAAAGTCTACAGAGGTTTGTCAGCATGTATAGATAGAACTGAGTTAAACTTTCAAGCCTGTCTCAAACTGTAGCTCTCTTTTAGTAAATCCTGTCTCCCTCTTTCAGGGCACCCACTTTCTCTGACAGTGCCCCACAGGTAAGCCTCTCAGTAAGATTTGTATCCTTACCATTAGACGGCAGATAACTATATGTCTAGGTAAAGTCAGGTTCACTAAATGTCATGTCTCTTCTGTAGCAGGTCTTCCTCATCCTTGTGCATCAAGACGGGTCCAGACATTGTTCCTACAAAGCGAGTGGTGCCAGGTTTCACCACAAGGTTCACTGGCGGGAATCTGTTTAAAGAAAGACGGTTTTTACAGGTCTCAGAAGGCTACTTGGTCCCCGAGGATCCCCCCACCTCACACATAGATACAACCAAGATCAAACAACAGAATGAGGAACAGAAAGAAGGTTCCATATGCACACATATGAAATAAAATGTATTATTTTGTTGCATGAGAAAGTGTTTAATTTTTTTAATTTGCATAGAAAAAACTTTTTTATTTTTTTTATTTTTCAGATATCTAACCACACTTGTTCCTCTTTATGTCCCGATCTTTTCATTATTCAGTGGGACTGTCACTGTTGAGATGTATACCATTTGGAGAGCAGAACCAGAGAGAACTCGCTCCAGACATCCCCCTGAGACAAAACGAAGCCCGCAACAGTTCATCTGGGCTTGTGGTGAGCAGCACAGACCCAAGAGGAAAACGGTAAATTCACTTTTAATCTTGAGTCTTGTCATCTCTCATTCTGTCTTTGTTAAATGCTTGGGATGCCATTGCAGTATAAGTTCCAATATGTATATTAAGCCGATTTAGCCGTCTTTCCACTTCCACCAAAACCATCCCATACACACTGCAGCTGGCCAGCTATTGGCCCAGAATGCCTGGCCTTAATATGTGTTTGTATTTCGATTGCACATCATGAGCGTTGCTTTTGCAGAGTACATAATGGAAGACAACACCATGGTGAACGGACATCAACAGTAGGTGCACAACAGAGTAATATCTCTTCATTATGCGCTGCCATCTCCTTCTCCTTTTTCTTTTTTTAAAGAGGGCGGGTCTCTTTCTTCTGCTGAGACATTTCCTGTTGCTCAGATTTTCTTTCTGCCAGTCAGAATGTAGTGCCATAGATGCCTGGGATGGGGGTAGAGTGGCACGCTTTGAGGCTAGCTTGTAAGGTAGGCCATATATCACACTTTTCATCCCGGTTTCAGCCCAGGTGAGGTTTGTTTCTGAGAAAATCGAAACGCGTTAATCGTACTATGGTATAGGTTTGGAGCGGATCCTGGTGGCAGTGGAAAGACAGCATTTTTGTGCAGTGATGATAAGGATTAAACACTTTACTGAGGTCTTCTGTGCTCCTATCCTTTTTTAATTTCCTCAGACTATGCAAAGACACTTTGGGGAACAAAAAGCAAATGGGTGTTTTACCCTCTGTGACAAAACCTTCAGGTATCATGAAGTTGGAACTCCCACGTTCACAGAGTGACATGCTCCGTAAGCTTCAGGTTAAAGACATCAGGCAGTGTGACTTTGGAAGAGAAATCCAAAAAAGTACTGCTACAAAAGATGCAATATGTACAAGACTGTCACAGTCTGCCCCACTGTAGTGTACAATGTTTATTAAAGATGGATTCGTACTCTGTTCTCTGACCAATTGTGTGAACTTCTACAGGTGGATGAAGAGGAATGTAAATTTTTGCTAGAATTTCAACAGGTGTGTTAAACAATAGCTATACTGGGATAAAATTACTCTATTACCTCATTTACACAGATTGTACAACACAGGTCAAACTTATGTTATGTATATAGAAAATGAGTGAAACTGTAGTCATAGTCTTAACTTAGTGTTAAATGGCAATGTTTATTTGATATAAAATTGTATATCCCCTTGAAATTTTGCTACAATTATAAAATCTGTAAAAACTGGGGTTTTTTTGCCTGCTAATATGTGTTCTGCAATGTTGACTTTGATAAGGACCAGATTTACTAATGGCAAACCAGTAAGCGTACACCGACACAAGTCCATGATGCATTACATGCCATATAGATGATACACAGGCTGCCTGTTTATCATCAATTACAAAAACAATACAATTCCATGATCTTATAATGTGAATAAAATACAAAAATAAAGATGCGCATACATTTTTATCTTTAGTGGTCAGTCATGGATAGGAAATATCCCATATACTGTGCTTAATACACAAAGTCGCTGGCAGTACTGATGTATCCTGGTGTGTCCGGATGCGGCAGGGTAGTCAGAGCTTCAGATTTCAGTCAAACTGTCTGAGATGAAATTGGCTTTCTGTGTGTCTGACCATGTCCCGGAGTGCCACAAAACCAAAGACAGCCTGGTTCATTTGGGAAATTAAAACACAGAATAAAATAAATAAAAAATATTCAATAATATAAGCTGTATTTATATGAATGCATTGCTGAGACTGTATATGTAGTCTGTTTTAAGAGAAATGTAATCCTACCTGTGTGAGTATAAATATGGCAAGAACTATGTGAACGCCCCTCTCCAGGGGCTGTATGAGAATGGCTTCGTTGAAGAGCTGAAACAGGATTAGTGGAAACTGCAGAATGATGCTCAACAGCCAGAATCCTGCCAACTCGGGGACCTTCCACAAACACAGGTGAATTAGAATCTCTGCTCCATAGTCCCTGCCCTAATCTTTAGGTTTGTGTGAGTGATTTACCACCTTTTCTTGGAGGTTCCCAGCATAGCCAAGATAAAGCCTAATGGCCTCAATGAGAGTCATCACGATGAGAATAGTGACAAGGATGAACTTGTAGTAATCGGGCAAGGCAGGGTACTGGTATAAATGACAATCACAATAATGCAGTTAAATTGATGTGACTCATTCAAAAAGCCTTTTTTTGGCATGTAATTTGTTTCCAGGTCAAACCCTGACAATTAAAAGATAAGGCTGGTTAAATGTATACTTGCCCTTTCAGGAACTGTTTGTTCACTTTGCCAATAACTTTTTTTTTTTGTAACTGTTGATTCCTCTTGGGTAGTATTGTACTAAGGTTTGCACTTAAAGGTACTATATCTCCTAAAGTCATACATATTCTATAGTTTCCTTCCGATATACACTTTAATTGTAGTTATAATTAAGGGGACCCTTATGTTCATGTATATACAGTCCAATGATTTTTAAGACTTTAACATCATCAATGTGTAATATTAGCCCCGCTTTACTTTCCTCCTAACACAGTCATTTGCCTTACCTTGAGTTGCAGCATTACAATTTCACTGATCCACCACAAGGGGAAGAACCACATGTTAAAGTACAGAGACATCTGGAGGTGGAGACTTGACAGAACCCGCTTATCTGAAAACAAAAGCAACAGAATATACGTTGCCTAGATAAATAACCCACACTCCGCAGAGGCTACTGCAAGACTGTGATAGAGCTGAACAGCCCAATTCTGCCACTCCGGTCGTTAGTTAGCTACGTTAACATCAATGCTAATTCATTCCCAATGTTAGCGGCGCTCTTGAGTTTACCATGTGGCAAAAACGTGTCATTCTCTTTTGTGTGAGGCTGAATCCGGCTCTGGTCAAATAACACGTTTCGTGAAAAGTCTTCTAAACGTCTTCTGATAGTTTCCGGCAGGTCCATTGTGTAAAATGGTCTCTGCTAAACATAAACATAACTAGGAGCAAAACACACCGCCATGTTTCCCTATCTGTAGAGCTACTGAACGTTGCCTTCGTCTCCATGGATACCACAGAAATCTCGCGTTCCGTTCAAATCTCGCTTGAAAAGTCTTCTTTTCTCTGTTGATTCTTATTCATATAAACATTTTGAAGGTGTATAGTAATGTATGCATCTGCATTACTGTTTTTGTATTTTTTAAATACTTCTTACAGATGGAAAAAGTTTGCATAAAGTACATTAACCAAAACCCTTTGTGAAGAAGACTTTCCATGATGTGTTTCCTTCGTGTCCCCTCATTATTCAACAAGACAACACAATGACAAGAACTGAAAATTAAAGAAAATTTATTGAATACATTTTGGTTTACAGTACCTCTCTTAAATTGTTCAACAGTAAAATGCCAATGCGGGCATGGTGACTGAACGAAGACGGATGGCATTTATGGATGAGATGGCAAAGAATCGGAGAAATGATCAGTTAATGAGACAAGCATTCATTACCCCCTTCTTAGCAATTGCTGAAGCGATGAGCACGCGCGCGTCATCGCGTACGTTCGCGGGTTCAGCCGAGTTTGGCTTTCCCAAAGCGGATAACGACCATTGTCGATTGAAGGGTCATTTGTCCCAGTAGTTGCATCCCACAACCTTCAAAAGCCGAGGTGTGGCGAGTGTACATGGGTTTTCTGTTGAGAATAAACTTCTATGCTCCAGTGCTTCTGTTAAGTGTTTGTTAAGTGCTTTGTTTTTGACGCTCACACGGTGCCCTCCCACGAGAACGGTGTTCCAACAAACCACTCCTTCTTCAGAGAAACTGAAACTTAACTCGAGAAAATGGCTTACAATAGGGAACTGTTCGACTGCGCCATTTGTTTACAGTTACTGGAAGATCCAGTAACGACAGCCTGTGGACACAGTTACTGTATGAAATGCATCAATGCCTTCTGGGATACAAATACGGCGAGAGGAGATTCCACTGCGTGCCCTCATTGTAGGCAGACCTTCAGCCCAAGGCCTGTTCTGAAGAAGAACGCACTTCTGGCTGAACTGGTGGATCAACAGAGAGAGAAAACCAGTCGAAATGCTAATGCTGATGCTGATGATGATGATGGTGATGATGATGGTGACTCCTATGCTGCGCCTGGTGATGTGCAGTGTGATGTTTGCACAGGGAGAAAACGAAAAGCATGCAAGTTCTGTTGTGTGTGTTTGGCCTCTTACTGCAAGACTCATCTGCAGCCCCATGTTGAGGTGCGGCCTCTACAAAAACACAGTCTGATTCCTGCCTCAGCCAAGTTCAAAGAGAACATCTGTAGTCGTCATGACAAACTTCTGGAGGTGTACTGTCACTCTGATCAGCAGTTCCTGTGCCTACTGTGTATGGTTGATGAACATAAAGGACATGACACTGTTACTGTTACAGCATTAGAATGTGTGAAGCAGGTAATTCAGTTCAACTCAATGCTGGACTCATTTTTTTTCCATGTTTGTTTATTCTCACTGAAGTTCTGAAGAGCTCCTGGATTTGTATTTTTACAGAGACAACTGAAGAGGATGAGAGAGGAAATTCAAGACAGAGTGCTGAGTTCAGAGAGGAAAATGGCAAAACTGAACGATGCCAGAGACTCTATAAAGGTGGGTGTTATCCATATACAACAGCGGTATCCTTTTTCCTTTATGTATCAGTAAATCTGGCTTATTTTTAAAATAATCACAATGCTGTGTTTGGGTCGATTGTTGTTCTGTGGACATATGTGGTTTCCTGCAGTGCAATTTTACCTATCTATGGGACATGAATACCTCATATTTTTACTGTAAAGGTGTTTGAGAGGGATTATAGTATTGGTACATGCTGACTGTATGCAGGCACCAGCATGTATAATGGAAAGGATGGTGTAAGTGTGACCAGTGATTCTCGGCCTTTTTAGCACCTGGCCTCTTAACAAAGCAATAGTCTTAAAGCAGCAGGTCCACATTTTGGGTAGTACATATATTCATGAGGTAGATAAAAGGACTAATACCACTTGTCTTAATGTTAAATATGACGTTACAACCAGTGGTCTGTTGGCTTAGTTTAGCATAAAGTTGGGTACAGAAGTAAATGACTAGCCTGTTTGAAGGTGACCAAAGGGGCCTAGTAGTACCTCTAAAAGCTTACTAGTTAAATTGAGCTATATTTGCTTCCTCCAGGTGCATGTGTCCACAGGTTGAGAGCAATTTTAATAAAGGAACAATTCTTAAATTTCCTAGGCCTGAAATGTTTAAAAAGCACTTTTTATAAAGTGCTGAAAAAATGAATTTGTGTATCACACCTCCATGGGTCTGTCATCCAGACCAACAGCCTTTCCACTCTTCATTCTCCTCAGTCTTCCTCACCTCATCCTTTCTAATCTTTGCTACTTCTTGCTCTACAATATTCACCTCTTCCCCCTTCTTTCCTTCTCATTTTCCTCATTCATCAGTTCCTCAAAATACTCCTTCTACATCCCACTTCTTTCTAGCTAGCCTCTTCATCTGAATGCTGTCCTGTACTTCCTCATTCCACCACCACGTTTCCTTATCTTCTTTTCTCATGATTTATTGCAAATTATGTTTATTTTTCCTGGTTCCCTAGCCTGTTGGTAAACTTGCAACCCTTAAGATTTACTTAAGAGACTCACAAATTGGGAGCTACAGACCATGACCGCTATCACAGACTACAAAAAAAAGGCTGAATTTTGAGCCTGTGACATATTTTAAAAACTGCATAAACAAACTTGTAAAAAAAAGTTATCATTTCAGCTATATTGTTACAAAATGTTAGAGAAATGGTGCATGTTTTCTACAAGGATGCTGCGTGGGAGGTGTGTGATGACTTTGAGCGACTCTGTGCGGAGCACATTACTGTATACGTCCGGTCTGTGGAGAGGAAGTGCTGTGAGATGAGAGAGAAAGTAGGAGAAATGGAGAAAGCCGGAGTCGACTGGACCAACAGTCACCTCTGGCAACTGCAGCGTGAAGTGTCTGAACTGAGGAGAAAAGAGGATCAACTCAACCAGCTTTTATCAACAGAGGACCCCATTCAGTTTCTTCGGGTGAGAACATGCTTTGTGGCGCTCCAGTCTTAGTCTTTAAAAGTGTGTAACATTATGTTTGTAAAAATTTCACTATATTCAAAATTATTTTGTGTGTGTGTGTGCGCAGGATTTCCAGGCCCTAGGAGACCTCCCTGTATTTACCGACTCGCATGACAGACTTGACACATTAGCAGAGTTTGTCACTACACAAAAAGACAAACTTAAAAACATGTGCAACAAAGAAAAGAAATTATTCATTTGTTCTGGAAGCAATGTGTGTAAGTGTGACTAGTGTGTATCTCTAACCCTTATAATTACTCTGGGCTGGTCAGTCAGTTTCCTGTAATTGTATAAATGTACTGTAATGATCTGTTTCTCTTCATCACAGTGTTACGGGTACTGAGACAGCAAGAGGAAATAACATCAAGAACACACCTTTTGTTTGATTACAAGAGTAAGTGATGATAATTTCACTTTACATAAACATACATGAAGCGTCACCAGTTAAATGAGTATTTGATGTTTCCTCACAGACTCCAGGGTGGAGGTTGATCCCCACACAGTAGCAGCATGTCTTCACTTGTCAACTAGTAACACAATGCTGTCTTGGAGTGATAAAGACCAGGGTCATCTTGATCACACTAACAGATTCACCTACTATCACCAGGCTCTGTGCACAAAGGGCCTTGAGGGCAACCACTACTGGGAGGTGGAGTGGGATGGTGGCATTGTTGAGTTGGCTGTGTCGTACAAAGGCATTAACAGAAAGGGTTCAGGTAAAGACTGCTGCTTTGGCCACAATCATCTGTCCTGGAAATTAACCTGCTCCCCTTCTGGCTGCATGTTTTGGCACAATAACCTTCACAAAGGTCAGATTCCTCCAGCTACCTCCCGCAGAGTAGGCGTCCGCCTTGAATATGCAGCAGGACAGCTGGGGTTCTACAGTGTTTCTGACCCTGACAGGCTGACACTTCTGCACCAAGTCCAGACCACCTTTACTGAACCTCTCTATCCCGGGTTTTCTGTTGATTTAGGTGCAACACTGAAAATATGCAACATTTAATTCAGCCCGCATTGATAAACATTAGCTTTGGGACTGATTGCACATTTACATTTCATTTTTGATTTAATGATTCAGGGATAGTATGAAAATTTAGCTTCTGAATGAGACAGTTATGTACACAACGATTAATGACGGGCAGCATATTGGTTCATGATGATTATGAATGAAAATTGTGGAAAACAATTAGATTTTGTTTTTCCCCCCTCTTAATCTTTAAATTGTTTTTTGATTTTTATGGATGTAATTTGGATCATTAATTAGCAAATGTAAGGCCTGTTCATTGTCGGTGATAAATAGACTAAATGAAATGAATTTGGGAGATTGGAAAAACAAAATCATTTTACACACGTTGAGTCATGTCAGAAAAGCTCAACTGACTGACGGTTGAGAATAATTTAAGACTGTTCTTATAAATTTTAAAAAAATGTGCCAATGTATGAAATGAAATGTATGATGAAAGACCACTAGTTCAGCAAATTGTACTTTCATTTTAAGACTGAGTCATAACACTTTGTTCTTTGTGCTGTATGGAATAATATCCCTTAAAACTAGCAACTCATCACATCAGAGCACAGTTTAAAGAGTTTCTCAGTACCTTCTTGTATGTTAGAGGATCACAATGGAAACAAGCCATTTAAGCTTTATTGTTAACCCTCAACAGCTGTAATTGCAGCTGCGCTTGCGGTGTAATTTTAATGATCAGTCAAAGAAGCAGAATGACTTAGTTTGAATGTTGTAGTTTAATATACTAAAGTAAATGACCATGATTTGCAAATGATATACTGTTTACTTAATCTGCTATTATTTACATTTGCAGTTCAGATTTGATAACATAATAAGTGACATTTGATTATATGTACAAATAGTTCAGATTTGATAACATAAGTGACATTTGATTATATGTACAAATTCTGTTATTAGTTTGATTGTAAAAGAAAAAACTACTTTCCATGTAATTCATTTATACAATAAAGTCCGTACTTGCCCAGGTTGCAGATTGTGATATAGTTACATGCAGCGCCAGCGCCACCAACAGCATAAGACATAATGCAGGCAGTCATAAAATAGATTCGATGGAGGTGTAAGAGTGATCCATTGTGTTGTACAAGCGCACACAGGCCTTGTAATGCAGCAGCTTCTCAGTCAGAGGGCTGGTGGTTAGTGCTTTACCCTGCACACTCAGGTCTATATACCTGGACAACATCAGGGTAACAAGAACAGATGATACACAGAGAAGGTTTGTCAAACACTACAGTTTGTTTGTTTAATTGCTTTTTATATCCAACAAACATGCCTGCTGAAATCTGCCAGAAAATGCCTTCATAAGCTGTTGAAAATACACCTACAACTGTAATGGACCTGAACATGGGTCACTCATTGCAACCCATACATCCAAGTGTTCATTATGCAAAATGATAAGTCTAAGTGTAATGTTTTTCCACCTAGACCAGGCAGTTAGAGATAGTACTGTACCTGTGAGACGCACTCCAAAACACCAGGGTATTGATCATCATCAGTGCGGCCAGGAGGAAGAAGAACCTCTCCAGATTCCCATCATGCAGTGTGTTTGGGTAGAAGTTACCTGTAATCAGGTATCGCTGTGATCATATTTTTCATCAAATCCCAGTGTCACTATCATTTGTTATCGAAAGTAAACATGCAATTCATTTTTAAATGAATTTATACCTCCAGAGATAAAGTATGCCAGCTGAATGATGAAGGCTCCGAGAAAGCAGCCGCCTCCATAGGACAAGGTGAGGAAGTGCAGTGAGATCCCTCTGATGTGGCTAGGGGTCAGCTGAAAAGATATGAGGGAGCCTGCCAGAGAGGAAGTGACAGCTGAAATGTTTGATCGCCTTTCCTGTGGCTTATTTGTGAAATACAAGGCAGAATTACTGCCCAGGGTAAGTCAAAAACTGCCTTGGATTCAATAAACTGGAAGTATTTGGGAAGATTTGGGAAATGAAAGATCAGCATCAAATGAAATCACTGAGGCCTTCAGTCACTCACTCACATGCAGGGGTGACAAGAGTCTCAGCAAGACCAAGCAGGATGTACTGAGGTGCCAGCTGGAAACATGGCATGGACGACACTTGCAGAACTGTCCCAGACAGAGTCTGCTGCACCAGAGGGTAAGCCTTCCTCTGCAGCTCAGACAAACCTGCCACCAGGACTGACAGAGTAGCACATGCATGGCCTAGAGCTGGAAGGGGAGGATGGACAGGGTGGGGTGATGAGAGAGGGGGCTGCAGAGTGGGGGTTATGATTACAGGAGAAAAGAGGGAGGAGGAGAGAGGCACTGTTGAAGAGCAAGAGAGACAAAAATGACGTGTGCATCGGGGGAGTGTGCATGTGTGGAAATACTTACTGATGACTTTTGCAGGTGCTAGAGGTGTTTTTTCCATGGAGAGGTAGCAAGTTGTCACACACTCAATCAGCGGAGCTAAAAGCAGCAGAGGCAAGATGCTGATCACATTCATTGTACCGATGGGCAACAAGAGGTTGTTCAGGTGAAGGTTTGAGTTCATGGTCTGTATGTAGTAACCCGAGGGAATCTGTAGGAAACATATTCATAAACCTTCAGTCATATGTTAAAACACAGGAATAATTTTGATAAAATGACCCCTTATGTTCCCAGTGGTCTGCCTGTGTGATGCAGGCTCTGTACAGCAGCTGAAGCCCGTATAGAGGGAAGAGCTTGGCCAGGACTTTGACGTTCTCTACATGTGTCTCGCTGTAACGGCCTCCATTGTTCTCCTTGGCCCGGTCCAGCCAAGATGCTACATCTCCACTCAGATGGCGAGAGTGGAGGCAGCACATTTTGAAAGAGTTCAGGAAGACTCCCAGTGTGGTCCGTAAGGAATCACCTATGATGGAAACATGGAGGAACATGGCTGGCTTAATCTGATGTGATCTCCTAGTTTATGTGCAAACAAGAGAGAGTCTGAATACCTGTTTGTGTCTCTTTTTGTTACCTTTCTTGGGTTTGTAGGTGAGTTTGTTGCGCATCATGTGTATGGCGATAAGAGTCAGAAGCACAGAGGTGAAGGGGATAAGGAAGCCCAGGTTTTCAGCCACAGACTGCTGGATGTAAGCAATACCCAGAAACACAACAGTGGAATTCAGGTTCACCAGCCAGTAAAACCTAAATGTAAGGAAAACACATCTCACTGTTTGTCCTTCATTTCATTATGCATGAGGCATTAAAATGAGTTATATAGAAAAATTACACAGTATTTGGCAACACTTTTATAATTCAGTTCATGACTTAGTATGAATGTTATTGGTAAAATACTTATCCTACTAGTTCCTACTGGTATTTAAATGAAGTGGTAGAAAACCAGTCCACGAGAAGCAAGAATGAAATTATAGTCTTAAGTATTTTTGTAAATACTGGGTACACAGGCAGGTGTGTGGTATGTGGACAGTGCTGGAACACGTCTTTGTGTCAGATATCTCAGGGCACCGTCAGAGGTGTCTGTGGGTCGGAGCTGTTTTGTCAAAATGCAAACAGCATATCAGACTGGTATATGCTTTGGCTCATCAGTGTATATGTCCTTTACATGTCCTTAGTATAGAATACATATTAATAAAAGTCTACAGAAGGCTCGTTATCAAAAAGTTGTAGTGGAGAAAAACCATTTTCCTCTAATATTTGAATTATTAAGTATCAGTAAATGAAAATACTCAAGCAAAGTGCAGATTCCTCAAAATTGTACTTAAGTGCAGAAGTGCAGTTTCCACCACTGCACACTGCCGGCTGTAATAAATGCATGACTGTTCTCGTTTTTTAAACAACAGTAAGAATAAGGTAACACAGTTTGATAACACAGTATGATAACACAGTTTTCCTCAAATCTCAGTTTGATTTCTGGTACTTTATTCTGTAGCTGTACAGTATGTACAAAAATGCTTAGAGTATTTATTTCTTCTTTACTCCAAAATGGCCAGTTGTTACTTTCCTCATACAGTATTGTTTTCTTCCACTCTAGCACCAGCAGGAAACAGTATTTATTTTATTGGTACCTGATACATACTGTATATCTAAATTGCCTTTTTAAATAGCAATAATTTTACTATTACAGTGGCAGGAATTAATAATGTCAGTGTTGGCTGACTGGTCATACTGGCATGCCAGTCAGTCCAACACGTTTCAGATTATTTTCCTAATTTTGTCTGATTTTCAGTAAATTTGGTTTCCCTACTCCATAGTTTTTTGTTTATCTAGGTTGGGTATAATCACATAAGTCAAGTATTGTTAAACCTTGACTCACATTTTGGTGTATTACATAGACCTATACACATACTAAAGGACTATCAAAAGAGAATCTTTTATACATTCATTATCCCCAGAAGACAAATCCTTCTAGTCGCTTTCTCCCACAATCCAAACACATGCAGGTTGTGTTAAATGGAGACTCTGAAGTGCCTGTAAGTGTGACTGTCTGGTTGTCTGTCTATACATATCAGCTGTGCTACAGAGCAGCAACCTGCCTGGGGTGTATCCTGCCTCTTGGCCAATGTCAGCGGAGACTAGCTCCAACTACCCCACCACAACCTTCAAGTCTACGTGGGTATAGCTAATAGAATGATTTAGTGATCCTCCAACCTCTGCCACTAATGTGGGGTCAGAAGTGCACCTTTGTTTTCTAAAAACATACTGTATTCACTACACAGAATCACTGAATTGTAAAGAACTTTATGAAGTCTTAGATGATAATTAACATTATTAATTGATATATTGGTTAACCTAGTGAACAACTGTATTGAGAAGGCAACACCACCTACCAGCTGAAGAAAGAGAGGAGCTGGTGCTGGTTGTAGCCTTGCAGGCTGTAGGCTCCCATGGGACAGAGGATGGCCCGGATCCCTCCGATACCCAGTGCAGCAGCCAGGAGGCCAGTATAGAACAAGATCTGTTGCTCCCGAGGTTCCAGCTGGTGGGTTATGTGATGAGTGTCAATGTAGAAATCTTTAAATGGGAAGGCCACAACAGGCAGCATGGCTGTGCCTAGAAAGTACAGTGACAAGTGAAGTCACGGTATCTCCTTACAGCTCTACCATAAATGTGCTTTCACAGAAGCAGAGTCATGACAGTGCACCTATACAGAATTAGGGATACTTCTGAAATGAGCTCACACTAAATCTAAAGATTTTTAAGATGATCGTCCTTGTTCTGTTCACATATTCAAATAAATATTGTTCTCTTTTTATAACTGACATATTTGATCCATAGATTTGTAGATTTAATATTTTAAAAAGGAATGAAAGTACAACTAAAGCTACAGTATGTAACTTTCAAGATTCAATACTTTATTGCCATGTTGACAAGTTGATTGGAATTTAAGGTAGCACTAGCAGGAAACTCCAAATCAATCCACTGTGCTCCGCCCAGCACTCCCTCTCCCTGCTCCACTGTGCTTTACTATGATCTGCTACACTCTTCTACACTCTGCCCAGCTTGTCAGATATTTGTTGTTATGAAACCAAAATAAATGGCAATCTAACAAAACTTATCAATCAAGCAGAAATAATTGGAAATCTCTGAATGGTTAGAGGGGTCAATCCCAATCAAAACCTTTTAGAAGCTAATATCTCTGCACTGCTACTTTGTGCTGTTCAATGAGTCTGGGTCACAGGAGGCTTGGACAGCACCACTCCACATTAAGACAAATTTTAGAGCAGATTTCTACAACAAAAACATGTTGCATACTGTAGATTTAAAGCTGTAGTTTTTCTTGGCTTTGAAAACTGGATCATGGAAAAGCAAGAAAATACCTAAACATTTAAATATTTCATCACAGCAGGCCATTGTCTTGTTAAATCTAATTCTGATCTTACTTTTGAACAGGAATATACTGTCCAAGATACTGAATCACAATATAAATGAGTCATATAGTCTCAAAGCTTTCACATCAGACAACATGTATCAACCTTTGACCCATCATGTCTTACCAAGGAAATGAAGGAAAGAACACAAATAGAGCACCTTTGTCCTTCCTAAGCAAGTTTCAGCAAACCACCCAACCAGAACAGGGGTCAAGGTGCTGGTGCCTATAAAGCACAGGTTGACTGTGGCGGCCAGGTAGTTATCATAGCCCAGCTTCACAGTGCAGAAAAGAATCATGTTACAAACAATCCCAAAGAAAGTGAATCTTTCACACAGCTCCACAAGCAGCACACAGATGATCACTTGAAACTTCCTCGATGGTCTCTGGTCCGCACAAGTGGTCTGGGAGAATGGCCGCAGTTGGCTTCTGCCTTGTGGCAGTCTCTGAAGGTCTCCTGACACCATATCATCTGGCCAGCGAGCTGGCTGCTGGGCTGGCTGGATGCAGTCAGTAATGGACCCCACAGAGCTCTGAATGGGAACTCCTGCACTCCTAAGAGTAGCAGGGGGACTGCTAGAATTCATCACTTTGGTGTTACTGTGGAGGAGGCCTGGACTCATGTAGGATCAGACACACCTACCTGCTTTATGCATGTGCCACTGGCTGATTATCCTCTGGTGTCTCAGCCTTACTCAGAACTCTAGACCTTGCAGGGATCTGACACATTATGCAAAATTGCATCGAGGAGGAGTGATACGCAGGAGCTATTTAGAGAGAATCTCAGAAATATTTCAATAATTAACAAAAAGCCACAGACATGTTGGTGTTTTCTTTATTATAGTAATATACTGTAGCTGTCCACTGTTGGTCTATTTAATTTAGCAAAGAACAGAATTGTAGATTAAATAATAATATACAACTCAAGAACACACAAGGGACTAAGTGGTAGAAAATGAGTGAGAGAGAACACACAATGTTACCTAAGCAGTGGCCTTCTGCATTAAAAGACACCAAACACAGGTTTATTTAGTACTGCACATTATTACAAACACTTACAAAATGTCACAGTTCATTGTGAAGGCAGCCCTTCAATGTACCAGCTCATTTTGGCTCAACTGCTGGTAATTAGACTGATCATGTTAAATGGGAGTGAGACAAAGTGCATGGGCAGTTTAACTTCTTGGTGAGAGCTGCTAGATAGATAACAAGTGCCCATCTTTACAGCCTGGCAGTAAACTGATTGAAGCACCACCACACAGCATGTCCTAGGCCTGTAAAGAAGAGAATAACAGAATAACAAGTCTCAAAACCTCAGGAATTAATTGCCAGGAGTCTGTATCACCTAATAAAGTGGCCAGTCAGTGTACATCAGAAGTAGTGGTCAATGTTAATGTTGGATAAATATTTATGCTTTTGATGAATAGTCTATAACATAGCTGAGGCTCTTGTCACACAGTCCAAATAATGTTTGTTGTATAGACATATAACAAACAAGTGAACCTGAGGCAGGAAGTGAAAGTGTGAAGAAAGATGTCTGTGCAGGAGCCACTGTGAAGACAGGTGTGTCCCCACCAGCAATCCATTGCACAGTACAATTTCAAAGTAATTGGAGAATTAATATGTTTTGTGGCGTTATGAGTTACAAAATACGAGATTGATTTGTTGATAGACAGACTGCTTGACAGACAAAAATTAGTTATAGTGAAATGCAGAAGAATGCAAAAAAGTGCAATACAGGGCCAGACCTTTATGCCATAAAAACATGTTGATAATGTTCATAATGTGTGTTGAAGTATTTTCATAAAGACTGATATCTCTACAGTTTAACCTTTATCAGTAGTTGTTGTAGTAACAGCAGGCAAGTGGAATAGTGGGCTAAGCAATAAACATTAAAGAAAAAATGTTATTTGAGCTATGAGGGCCCTGTGCCCCTGTAGCGCTTTATGTCTAGCAATGCTCCTGCTAAATGTTTGAGGTATGCTGAACGGACAAAAGTGTGCCGTAAAAAGGCGTTAGACGTCACTATGGTTACAGAAACAGCGTCCAGAGTTGAGGGCGGCGGCGTGGTGTATCATGGGAAAAAGTTGTTTGCAAATCAGTTCCAGCATTGGATAAAAGAGGAACATTACAAGGAGGCTTTTCTTCAAATATATACATAAAAGTAAGTTAGTAAATATCCACAAATCGTCCAGGGTTAGCAAGGGACCCTGCACACACACCGTGTAGTTAGCGGTTTAAACGCTCGGGTCGTGGTACGTTACATGCTATTTAAAGCCAAGTTTACTAACTAGCGCTAGCTAAAGTGCCAACGTTAGCCCCACTTCGCTAACTATGAAAACAAGCTTTAACATGAACCGTGCTAGTTAGATATATTGTGCCTCAGTGCATAGGTTGTATGGGTTTATTTGACATTAGTTGAGAGCCAGGAACTATCCATAACTCATGGAAAACGTAATATTACTGACAGTCGACATTGTGTGTTTTGCAGCAGGCATCGACTATCAATGTCTGAAAGGAGGATGCCAAAATGTCCTGCCTCTGCGTTCAGAAAGAGTTACACACACCCATGGGCTTAGTCGACGGCGTTCTGTCCGACGACGAAGACACATTTTCTCTGCTTTCTCCTATATATCATGACAGTTTTGACAGCGACGAAGAAGATCTGGAACACAGCCCAGCTCAGCAGACTTCACCCAGGCAGAGCTTTTCTCCAGTCAGGTCCTGCTGAGTTTTTAAAGCTTAAATAATCCTTGAACCGAAAGAAACACCGTGGACTTCATGATTCAGCAGCATAGAGTAGAATATGTATCATTGTTTTGTTCTAGATGTGAGCTGCCAAAAACACCCGAAGAGCAGATGTTCAGTGCACCCTTGCAGCCTGCAGTCTCATCTACTCTGAGTGCTTGGGAAATGTGGCTGGTGAATAAAGCCAAAGAAGACCGTCTCAGATTGGAAAAGAAAGCAAAAGAGGCAAGCTGGTGTTACTTTTCATTTCTGTCCTTGTAATGCAACAGCAGTATTTTTTCTGCCTTTCCTTTGTTTTATTGAGTACTACTATTTATTACTGAAACCTCTTAGAGCCTCTATAATTTTTTAATATCCTGTGAATTAGGAGCATATACTCAAAGAAAAAAGGGATCAACAAGAAAAGGAGCAGGAACAGAAAAGGTCTGTCACAGAGGAGAAGATCCAACAGTGGCTAAAGATGAAAAGAGAACAGGTACTGAACAAAATTTTTAAACTCAGTAAAATCATAGTTTCTTATAATATTGTGTATGGACACACTAAGACTACTGTTATCAGCTATTGTCATTTTTGTAATCTGGTTTCTTTTTAAAATTTCAGGAGAAACACCAGCAACTGGTAAAACAGAGTAAAGAGGAGGAGGAGGTACAGAGGCAGCAGAAGAAACAGAGGGAGACCGAACAGAAGGCTCAGCAAAAGTACAAAGACTGGTTGCATAAGAAGAACCAGGAAAAAATAGAAAAAGAAAAGAAAGAGAAAGTAACGTGAAACATTTACAGTTTCTATAACATTAACAACAACAAAAAAACAGCCAGGCCTTAAGAGATTGATTTATTGATTTATTTTGCCAGGAGCAGGTTGCCCTCAAGGAGGAGCAGGAGAAAGAGCGCCACAAGAGGGCAGACAAGAAGTTTAAAGAATGGCTGGCAAAAGCCAATGAAAAAAGCAGAGCAAGCCCCAAGTCACCTTGCTACCCAACAAGTAACTCACAACATTTAACTGATAAAATTTGTGTGGTTTTTCATGCAGTTTGTCATCTAGGGTCAGTAGCAAAATCACTTTTTTTCCATGTTGGTTTCAGACTGCTTTAAGTGTAACCGTACTGTAGCCTATTCATTTGCCTTTCTGATATTTGTTATGTGTCTGTTTTGTATTGGCTCCATTTCCTCCAGGTCCCTATGACAAATCCTACCCATCACCCAGCTTCTACAATCCAGTCCCATGGAAACCGATTCATGTCCCTCCTCCACAAACATCATTGACTAATACATGTGGCAAGAAACACCAGAAACAAAGAAACAACCAACAAAGCCCTGGCACTGCTTTTAGATTCAGAAATACTGTGACTGCAGCACAACTGCTGCAGAGAAGATGACACAACATACTGTGGTAATGTAGCTTAGTTATGGTTCATATATGATTTCATCTCCAGTCATCCACACTACCACAGCTTCTGGACAGGTGCTCTGCTGAATCACAGAAGTATTTCTGCTCTGTAATGTGGTGGCAGTAATTAAGACATGATCCTACATGTATGTCTAAATTTTGATGGAGCAGTTATAAAGAGATGCACTAGCTTGAATTTCAAGTGTGAATCTTCGTGTTTTGGAATGTTTACATGATTTTACAAAGATGTTTATAATTTGTTCTGATACTTTAATCTAAAAGCCTGGATCATTTTTGGATTATATAATCTAATCAAATTTTTATTACGATAAATATAGTATAATTATTTTAACTTGTGCTTGTCTTATTTGTTCCACACTGAGTGGTCAACAAACCCACATTTTATAAGGCACCAGCTACACATGACCACACAATAGAAAGAAGGTGGTTACTTGTCACAGCCAAAGATAGACCCGGCTTGGTCAAGTGCCCCTCACACTCTCACATTGTTCAGTGTCCAGCTGTGCCTTGTTCTTCTGTGGGCTGAGATGACGACAGAAATGAATGAGGGGGTGGAGAGAGAGAATGTCTGACTGATTAGGATTCAGAGCAGTCTGTTCATTCTGTTATCATCTCACTGTGATGTCAATGTATGAAGCCTGAGGTAAAATGATTTCAATTACACTTTATACTAGAATAACCATCTTGCGCCACTTCCATTGTATTTGTGTTGTGTATCAGTCTTACTGTTCACCCCTTTTTGATGTTGTCTGCTGTGGAATGTGTTAGTTGAGAGTAAGCAGTGAGGGGGCTGATAATGAGGACGCAGTGGTTATGTAGAGCATTTTTAAACCTTATAGGGTCCAAAGGACAGCTCCTAAGACAAAGGCATCAAGTATTTACATTCTGTCATGAAGAGTTAAATCGCGGGAGTGGTTTTAACTTTTTTTATTTGCTCAGAGGCGTTTGCACATTGAGCCTTGTAAGCAAAGCCTGTCTTCATAAAGACTTGTGGTTCAGTTCAGAGTCAGCCACCAGCACTTTGGCTCTCTGTGTACTTATAAGTTGGGAAAGTATGGTAAGTATTAAGATGTTAATCATTTAACAAGATATAGCTCAGTCTTGTCTAACATCTTATCTAACACACAGTGTTTTTGTTAATAAATGATGTCTAAAGTGACTGAGTTAAATTTCTGCCTCTTCCAGTGTCCTAGCCTAAATAGAAAATCCATATCCCAAGATGCAGTGGTGTAAATGGGCTGGCAGTTGGAGGTCACGCCTACCAAGACAGGTAGGAGGCATGTCTTAAGTTGCTCCAAATGAAAGTGATTGGGGGAAAAAGGTAGAGGACAGAGTGACATCCTAAAGGGCAGGAGGACACACTGAACTTGCGTCTAATGCTTCAAGAATGTCGCAGAAACAGACATGGAATGAAGTAGAGAATGAAGAAATGCACATTTTGGACGCTGACTTTCATGTGCTCTCCAGGAAAAAGGAAATTTAAATAATCTACTATGGGATAATTATGTTCATTTTTGGAGTTGCTTTCTATTGTTTGTGAATGAGATTAAAAATGACAGAGGAAACCAGCTATTGGAATAAAAGCTGGATTTAGCAGTACCATTATTCCTAATCGTGAGTGTTCACCTGGATATTCACGGGGAGCCACATGAACTGTCATTCTACAGCTAGTGTAGTACAAAGAAGTACAAAAATGTGCCTGCTGTTTCTGTAAATAGCCTCAGTTGTTATTGACACAACTTGGAAGGCCTCAGATCCAGTGTTTCAGCCTGGTTGTGTTTTGTGTATATATTCCTCCCCTCACCATGCAGTCGACAGGGCCGGAGATTGAAGACTCTTTTGACTTTCTTTTTAAAATCATCCTCGTTGGGGACTCAGATGTGGGGAAGACCTGTGTGGTCCAGAGCTTCAAGTCAGGCATATTCACTGAGAAGCAGCAAAACACCATTGGTGTCGACTTTACCGTTCGTACCCTGGACGTTGATGGCAAGAAGGTGAAGGTAGGTGACGTGCATGCTGTTCTTTTTTTTAAATTTTTTATTTTTATTTATTTTTTTTGCTTTCTTTTTATTCAGTTGTGTTCTCAGGTCACAGCTGCTAATGCTCAGTCATTTCACACACATGAGGTATTAGTATGTGAGCTGTGCCTGTGGATTTAGTCTGGTCTTAAAGCAAATATTTCCACTGCTTGTTTCAGTTAATCAATGTTTTTTCTTTCTTTAGGGAGCGGCTCACGGTCTCTTTCAGTGATACCATTTGTGTGTTAGCTTTCTGGGTGTGTTAATTTGGCATGGGTGTTTTGTTATGCTAATTAGTTTGGGATAAGCATTGTTTCAAAAGGACTGATTACTTTTGAACAGAGCATGTCTGATTAACTTAACATTTGTAATCATCTAAGTCATATTGGATTGATTTGTGTTGCATGTGTTATTGCAGATGCAGGTATGGGACACAGCAGGACAGGAGCGTTTCCGCACCATAACTCAGAGCTACTACCGCAGTGCCCATGGGGCCATGGTGGCCTATGACATCACACGACGTGCCACATTTGAATCTGTTCCCCATTGGATTAGGGAGGTGGAGCACTATGGAGCTGCCAGCGTGGTACTGATTCTTATTGGTAAGCAGAATGAAATAAAGTTGGTTTTATGTTTGTTAAGCTTAAAGACACATTACTGGATTGTACTCTTATCTATGAGATCATCAGTGACATCACCCTTCATTAGTTAGGCTGAGTCTCTTTTCTTCAGCAGGTTTGGTCAAGTTTGGATTTGTGCTCATGTTAACTACTACCTTGACTTCCAAGTATCTATTTCAGACTCTCTGCTCACCTACTTATGAGTTGTCATTTATTTCATGTTGGCAACATCAGGTGGCGCTGACTTAGGTTGGTGGGAGGCAGGTCCTGTGGAGATTTGGTTATATCAGCTGTTGCTCACCATAACATGGAGCTACAGATCTGTAGAGTGAGAAACAGGATTTCTATATTCAGATGAGAGGCCCAATGCGTTTTTATTCAAAGCAAACACAATATATAGATTGATGATTGATTGAGTGTCAGCAAAACTGAGGATGAACAAATGTGAGGATTGAGTGCTTTTCTTTACAGTATATTTACACACAATTTTATTATGTCATCATGGGCTCTGGGAAGCTTTTTTTATGTTTTATAGATAAAATGAGTCAAGAAAATATTTAGCAGATGTATCGATAATAAACTAACCATTACTTGCAGTTCTAGTTGTTGCCGGCTTGGAAGATTTGTCCCTTTTATAGTGTTGACCTGTGCTGCCCCACTTGTTTAACAACTGTTTTCTGTTCTGTTCACCACTGCAGGTAATAAGTCAGATCTCCACTCTCAGAGGCAGGTGTTGTTTGAGGATGCGTGCACCCTGGCTGAAAACAACGGTGTGCTGGCCGCCCTGGAAACTTCAGCCAAAGAGGCTCAGAACGTGGAGGCGGCTTTCATCCTTATGGCCCGGGAGCTGCTGGCACGCAACGGCATGACCATGATAGATGAAGCCTCTCAAGATGTGTCTCAGTTCATGTTGAGTAACAGCTCCCACCCGGTCCATGGTACTGTCTCTTCAGATAGAAAGTGTGGATGTTGAGCGGGCTGATAGATTGTTTAAGACTCATTAGAAAAATTGTGGAGGCTTAATGGTGATGTGTGTTTAAAAGGTTTCTCCACCAGGAAAGAGGTTATGTATATTTACATAAGCTTATTAAAAGGAGAAACTACATACAGTGTGTTGCATTGTAGAAGAAAATAGTTTGTTTAATATTGGTGGAATCAGTGTAACAGGTTTTAAATGGTGCAGTCTGTAATATTCTTGTGAGGATAGCTGCTGCTGAATGTGCTTTACAGACCACATCCCTGCTAGAAAACGGAACTAAGACTGTACTACAGCATACAGTGTTTTCACTCGACATACAATTTTTTGTGTTGGATCCTTTTTAACTGCTCTTTCATACACTACGGAACATCAGATTGCCACAGTTTTAAGACACCTGCAAATCAAACATCATACCTGTTAGTGACAAATATAGCCAACCAGCACTTCACTCATTGTGCCATGAGTATAGCCCCAAAAGTTGGGATGTATGTAAAATCAAAACATATTTTTTAAATCATCTGTGTCTTGGATTACATTAAACACAATGCAGCAGCACATAATTTAATCAATTTTATTCTCTGTTCAAAATAAACACACTTCAGTTCTGATGCCTGCAGCATATTCCAAAAAAAAAAGGACAGTAAAGCATTTACCACAGTGAGATGTTGCCGCTCCTTTTCACAACACTTAAGAGATTAAGAGGGGCTGAGGACACCAAGTGATTAAATGTGTCAGGTGTCATTTTGTCCCATTCTTCCTGCAAACAAGTCTTAGGGTGTGTAACAGTCCTGGGTCTTCATTGATGCAATTTACATTTCAAAATGCGCCACACATTCTCTACTCGCACCCTATTCCTCCACAGCCAGGCCTTGGTCATGTGTGGAGTATGAGGGTTGCAATGTCATGTTGAAATATACATGGGCGACCCTGGAAAAGATGTCGTCTTTAAGGCAACGTGTTGCTCCAAAATCTGTGTAGTTCAGCATTAATGGAGCCATCACAGAAGTGTAAGTGACCTTTGCCAAGGCACTGACACAACCCCAGACCAGGACAGACCCTGGTTTCTGGACTTGTTACTGGTAACAGTCTGGATGGTTCTTTTTGTCTTTGGTCTGGACCACACGGCGTCCATTCATTCCAAAAGAGACATGAAATACTGATTCATCTGACCACAGTACACGTTTCCACTGTGTGATGGTCCGTCCCAGATGCTTCTGAGCCCAGAGCAGTCGGCTATGCTTCTGGCCACTGATGACGTAGGGCTTCCTTTTGGCACAGCACAGTTTTAAGTGGTATTTATTGATGTAACTACATATTGTAGTTCCTGACAAAGGTGTGCCAAAGTAATCCTGAGCCCATGTGGTTATATCGCTTATGGAAGAGAGAGGATTCTTGGTGCAGTGCCGTCTGAGGGATCAGAGAGCAAGGTCATCCAGCTTAGGCTTGGTCCTTTATGCACTGAGATCCCTCCAGATTCCTTGAATCTTTTAATTATGTTCTGCACCGTAGAAGGTGACGTATCCAGATCCCTTCCTAACTTTCTTTGAGGAACATTATTTTTACACGTCAATGATTTGCTCATGCACACAGTATGTTGGCAAACTGGTGGTCCTCGGCCCATCTTTGCTCCTAAAGGGCTCGACCTTTCCTGGACGCCACTTTTATACCAAATCATGATTCTAATCAGCTGTTGACATCACCTGTTTCAAATGGAATCATCATTTCATTGTTTTACCTCATTACTGGCCCTGAAATGTAACAGTCCCAACATGGAATGTGTTGCAGCATCAGAATTGAAATGAGTGTTTATTTTGAAACAAAAACAAATCTGATGAGGTATCACATCAAATAATGTGCTGTTGTATTGTTTTCAGTGTAATACAGAACATGATTTACACATCGCTATTTTCTGTTTTAATTTTGATTTTACACTGTTCCAACTTTTTCTGATTTAGGGTTGTAATTAAAATGTCTTCTCCCACAGACTAATCTAATACAGACATTCACATTAAGCCCTTCATAACTACAACCACTTGACAGAAAAACTGCACCTTTCTCATTTTTGTAGAAACTGGTACTACTGTATAATTCTGACAGTTTCACAAAGTAAGACTGCAGTGTTTAGTTTACTACTGAAACATGGCAACTTAATCTCGTAGATACACATTCACCCTAGCCAAAAGACAAATCAAACTGAAATATGATAGCAGTAAAAGCAAACAGCAGAACTGGTCTGGTTAAGACCTGCTGGGGGTGTCTATTTTGGAAAGGCAAGATGGCCCAGTTAGCTAGACTGTTGTGCAAACAAAACTCATCTTAGTCTGTAACAACACAACGTTGTTCAGACAAACAACAGGGTCAATCTTGAGTTAATCAGCTTTAGGTGTAACTGTATTTGAACTTCAGTCCAGAACACATGTATTTGGACAGTTATACATTTTTTGTCCTTCAGGTTCTGCGGTCCAGCACATGAAATATAGTTATGGATCCTGGCATAGCAGTGTCAGTTTTGTCTTTGTGTCCAGAACTAAGAGTTGCCATTTTGACTAAGGTGGTGTCTGTCAGTATGATGGATAAGTTGATTACCATGAAAGTGAAGAAGATAAAAAAGAAATCAGCATTATCAAAGGTACTTGGTTTTCTAAAATCAACAATTGGGTATGTTCTACAAAAGCAAATACACACAGGAAAAAACAGAAACCGATAAGAGTTGCAGAACAAAGTTCTATAACTAATGAAACCAAAAACAGCCTGACAACAATAAAGAGCTGAAGGAGGTGCAGTGAAGTCCTGGGAGGGCGTCACCAGAGAAGATACCAAGCATCTGGTGATGTCAAAGACTTCAGGCAATCATTTTTCCCACAGAAGTTTAAATATTACTTTGTATCTGTCCAGTAAATTTTGAACCCATAAATTCTGGGCAATGTTATTAAAAGGGCTGCATCTCTCACACAGGTCTTTCTATACTGATGTAAACTTACTCAATATTCAAGTTAAGTCTTGACACTTTAATCTAGTATCCATTACTGAAGTGCAGAGCCTGAACAAAAAAAATAAACTGTTCAACTTTCAGTCTGGACTGTACAGGATATCTCACCTGACATCCATTAAATTACAGAAAACTGTAAAACTGTGTAGTAAAAGCGTATAAGCCAACAGCTATACAGTCCATGACAATTTTAAGATTGATTTAATGTACAAAGGCAATAAGAGGAAGACAGACTTGATGAATATATACTACATGTAGGCCCATAGGAAACATTGTCTGCATGGTTCATGACAAAATTAAAAAACTACTGCAGCATGCTGTAACCCACTATCATGCATGACCAACTTAAAGTGTCAAACTTTTCTATATTTAAACTGCATATTGTCACTTATTGCAACTGAGTCTACTGCACTTTATTAAAATCAAAACAAACAAGTCACAGTAATAGCTGCAGCTCCCCAGTGATAATCACGGTTGTAGAAGAAAAAAAAAACAGTATGAATGAAGAGGCGGTGGAGCTGTTGACTGGATGGCTGCAAGATGGAGCCAGAATCTCAGAGGCTTGAGCCACTCGTCCTACCCCAGAGGCCAGCCCTCCTGCTGGAATATCAGCTCCACTGCCTCCTTTACATCCTGCACCATGAAGGACGGCTGCGTGAGGCTGGGGTTAAAGTGAAAGTCCCTGTGGCCATGGAAGATGCGTTGCTCCACAATTGCGTGTGTTGGGTCTGAGGGCAGCTCCTGCTGGTCTCTGCTATACACTCCTGTGCACACCAGGATGGAGCTGCACCCCTCGGGGAGGTCCTCCTGTGTCCCATAAACACTCGACGCTCCGCCTAGCTCTGCTGCTGTCATTTTAGGGGCCTCATCCACTAAGGGATCTACACTTCCTCCAGCACTTTTAGCCTGCATCTGGGCCCTGGTATGCTGAGAAGCCTGGAGGTAGCGGTTGTAGAGGTTGGCACCGTATATGTCAGCCATAGGGTTATCACTATAAATGGAGATAAGAGTGACAACACATTAAAACGAGCTGAAGCTAAAAAAAAAACAACTTGTGTCAGAAAAATGGCATTTGACTCTTAAGTGTTAAATGCTGGTCCCAAGTCAAGTCTCACCCTACAGCATATAGCCTCTTCACAGGTGTGGTCCAGCCAAGTCTCTGTGCCTGCTGCCTGATCAGCAGCTCAGCATAGTTATAAGTCATCCCACTGGGTTTACCAATCAGAGCCTCGTACTTCAGCTCATGGCCTGTGACCTTCTTGTACAGGTTCTCTAAGCACACCAGGAACATGCCATGACCAAACCTATGAGACAGGGGACATTTAGGATAGTAACACAGTAGTGACTTTCAACATTTTAAATAATGTTTCTGGGTGTTTTTTACATTCTAATAGGTGTCTTTACGAGACACAAGCTGTACCTGGGATTCTTCGCCTCTGCCATCCACAGCAGGTCCATGTTACATGCCAGGACTGGGATATGAGGGTACTGCACAGAACTCCAGTCATTGTCTGGACTCCCATTGGTAAGGAGCACATCAATGATAACCTGCAGGTTAGTCTCCCATCTGATTGGCTCACCAAATAAGATGACAGCTGTAGGGACAAACAAGTGAAAAAGGAAACAATATCAATATCTGTGTTCATTACACACTTCCAGTAGCCAGGCATTACACTTATAGCTTCAATGCTATTTACCATGACTGTGTGTAGAAACATACCATCTATGGGCCGTAAGCCTTTGGTGGGTGGGATCTGTAAGACAGTACACACAAACTGTAAGATTTCTAAATCATCCATAACTAGACATAAACCAGCTTCAATACTTACACTGCCTTTGGGCCTTCTGTTGTGATCCACAACATCTAGAAGAGGATATGCCTCCCTGAGCATATCTATAGTAACTACATCCTGGAATCCCAGGCTGATGTTTGGTATGTTAAAGTCAAACACAGATGAACAGGAATTATGAGCCATAAACATTTATGCCCAACATAAACTCAGGGACCACCTGCTGGCAATCATTGTCATTGGTCTTGTACTTTATTTCCAAATTATAAATTACTTATGAAAAATAGTCCGCTTCTCCAAATAAGGAAGAGGATAAACTCTCACCAACTCCTCATAAAGAATAAAAACAGGAAAGCAATCAGTGAAAAAGCCCCTGCTGAGAGACAGTCCAGCAGCAAAGGGAACAAAGGGCACAAAGATTAAATACTGATAACAAAGTAGAACCTGAACAAAAATACATTGAATAAACAGAACATGCACAGTTTTAAGGTCAACATTAAGAGACAGTGCAGGAACCAGAGTCCCTGATTTAAGGCAGGATACTTATGAGCGACCTCCACCACAGGACCCTGGCCTGACACAAGGACACACATTTTGTGGAACTGGGTGAACATTCGCAAAGGACTGTGGGATAGCACCACCTGGTCTGAAGACACCTGTGATAAAAGGGGAACAGATAAAAAGATAGATGAGATGCAGACAGACAAAAACAGCTCAGAACAAAGCAAGCTGAGGACACTTATAAAGACTTGATAGGTGTTCCGTTTACCTCCACCTCAAGCAGATGTGACAGATGTTCGGCTTTGGTCTGCCTCATGCAGTTGCCGGCGTTGGTGACAAACACCACAGGCACCCTGTATTTCCCATTTCGGTCCACCAGGTTTCTGAAGCACTGCTTGGCTGCAGGGATTGGTGCCCCACCCCGCAACAGCACTCCGTCAATGTCAAAGAGGAGCCCAAAGGAGTTGGAGCCCTGATGAGGGAGCTGGGCCAGAGAGTGGGGGCATATGCAGTAACAAATGATGAAGTTGTTCATTAACTTGTGGTGATACTTCTTCAGTCTGAGCATTCATCTCATCTCTCGAATGACATAGTAGCATAATAACTGTGGTTGTAAACATGTGGTTTCCACAAACCATAGTAATCATCAGTGTGTGTGTGCTGGGATTAATGTCAACATAGTACTCACAAGTGTTTCTCTCCTACATTTCTTTAACTTTAACAATGAAATGGGAAAGAAATGTAAATTCAACAGCCAAGAGTCAGTTGTTGAAAGACGACCTTACCCTCATTCAACTTAATTTTAATGTAAATAAAGCATTCACTTACATTGCAATAGTCTCTTGAGGCCGAGGTGTTGACTTGTTTTGCTGCTCCCTCACAGCTTGATTTCAGCAGCTGCCAGCCGGTTTTCAAAGCCCTTATTCTCTGCATTTCTCCAGGCACTTGTGTGTGTAAAGCCCGAGGGTAATAAGGCACAATAACAGACACAGCTTAGCTAGCTTTAGCCGAGCTGACGGCGAACGGCCTCCTTAGAAAATCCGAAGAATGACGAAACTGGTCATCTCATACAGTGACAGTCAGTAGTAAACTCTGCGCTACCTCTTCATGCTGTTTGTGCTGCGGCTGCCATTCTCTGTAAACACACCAACGGTATAACTCTGAATGAAAATGGAGGCGCATGCGTAAAGGAAAGCGAATGTAAAACGTCCTGGTGTGATAATATGACAGAATATGACACGTATCACCCACGCATAGAGACATACAGCAAATGCTATTTCGCTATTTATTGCGGCGGTGCGTCAACGTTGCCGCCATATTAGTACGGAAAGCTGTGCCTCTTTATGCATGACACACATCATTTATGAATATAAATTCTATGAAGAAAAACAAGTATTGGCCTACTGTTGGGGATATGTAAACATGTTCGAGATAGACAATTTTTTTCCATTAGTAAATCCGAAGGCAACTAAAAAAAAACAAAAACAAAACAAAACTGGTTATCTAATGTTTGACCAGACTAGGACCCCGCTGCAATATGGCAGGAGCAGAGACGCAGCCTTCAATCCAGTTGCAGCATCTTTACGATCTAGATCTATGTTATCTACCCGAAACGCGGTGTAATGTTTGTTAATGATAGTGTTTTTAAGAGAAATGAAACTGAAGCATTCACTCATTTTATTGTAACTGTTTTACAGTCGCGACTTAACTGCAAAATGTTGGTCAGATGTTTTTGTAGTTATCTTAGTAATTAGTAGTAACACAATTTCAATCTTTCTTAAAAGTTGTGCTATATTTTGAATGTAAAGATACCCCAATAGAATTTTACTGTCAATATTGACCTTGACAAGGATTTTTTAAAATCACGGTTTTATAAAGTACTATAAGTGTTTACCATTTTCATTCACAATTTTATATATTTGAAAAACTCTCCAAAATGTTATATTACTTTAAAAACAAAGATGAATGTTTCAGGCTTCTCCTATTATGCAAGCTGGCTCGTGGTCATGACTTACTGGACACTTGAATACAACAGAGCCATAATTAATGCTGTTACTAGTAACACCTATTTTCCTACTATAATATACAGTAAATAAATCAAAGTATGTGTTATGAAGTCTGCTTTTAATTGTCTTTGTTGAATTAAAATTATTGTAGCAAGAAAAAATCTTAATACAAAATAGAAATAACATTCACACTTTAGTAATAAACACAGTGGCACAAAGGTGCATGACTGGGATAAACCTCACATGGATTCTTGTCTACAAGTAGACACATAACATCACAGTCCATTTTTCAGCTAAATCTCAGCTCGTTTTCCAGCCCGTAGATCTTAGCCTTCAGTGCCATCAGCTCACCCTGAACCTTTTTCGTCCTGGAGTTAGTTTGGCGTACTTCATGCAGAATTGCCAGGTCCTGGTTGGGCCCAACATTCAGTGTAACCTGAAACAGTGGACACATAATATATGCCAGATTAAAATGTTTAAATCTTAACCCTGATTTCAGCATTATGGAAGGCTGGAATTATTTCTCTTCAATAAGGATGATATTTAATTTATGATCTGCTGGTATCACAAGCTTTTTTGTGTTCATCATTTTTATATATATATATATATATAAAAAAAAAAGAGAGCTCATATCATGCTTGTTGTTGAGATGAAATCAATAATTCTATCATGACAGACAATAAAATTAATCTGGATATCTGTAGACTACTCAGAAAGTGTATGTACCTTGAGAAGTTGTTTCTCTACATCCTTGAATTTCTGTCTGAGTTGTTTCAGGTCAGTCTTGAAGCCCTCCACCTCCATGACCCTCCTCTTCTCCAAAGCCTCATAGCGCTGAGTCATCAGTTGAAGACGCTTTGCCATCTTGTCTGAGCGCTCCTGCATACAGTAAATGGAAATATCAGTAAGAAGAAAGTAAGGAATCACCATAAATTATGAACAAAAGCGTGCATACATTTTACAGAAATAAGTATCATTCAATCCAGCGTACCTTGAAAATTTCCCTGCCCACGTCCCCCTCCTCTCTGATTTGGGCCAGTTCTGTCTCCAGAGTAATACACTGCTCCCTGAACATGTCTGCCAGACGATGGGCTTGCTTCAGATCCTCCTGCAATGCCTAATGAAATAAATTAATTTTAATGAGACAAAGAGTTTTCATAGTCCATATCAGTATCTATGTATATTACCTTATAGGATAGCAGGAAAGCTGGATTTATTTAGGCCCATAGTTAACATATATGAATGAACGAGTATTACCTTTAGGTCCTCCTTGTGCGTCTGCTGTGACTCTGGCTGAGGCCGGGGCACGAGCAGGGCTGTGCTGCTGCCTGGCTGCCATGTTCGTCCCAGCTCGGTGCCAGCAGAACCAGCCTTCCTCAGGCGGTTGTGGCAGGAGTCCAGCTCCTTCAGCAGTCGGTCCTTCTCCGCCATCCAGCTCTTCTCATGAGCTCGCGTGTCAAACTTAAGCTGTAAGAAATCTCTGGTGCTCTCATATAAGAGGTTCTGGGTTTTCTGGAGCCTGAGGTGCCAAATGCGATATTCGTACATTAAAGTCTGGTTGAAGACTTAATGTCAGCCAGAGTAATAACTATCAGTTAGAAGGGCAAATGTATTGCTAGATTTTACAAATAACCAACATGAAATAAGGTGTCCAAAGAGCATCATTCCAAAAATTCACTCAGCTGTAAGTCACATGGTAGTATTTATCAACTAAAAATGCAGACATTAGTCATAAAACATTATGAGACCCACCTATCAGTCAGAGCAGTGATGCGATCCTTTTCTCTCTGCTGTTGTGCCTGTGCTTCTTCTGTTTTGATTCGTCTGTCCTCCAGTAGAGACTCTACCTGCTCTTTGGCCAGACGGGTCTGTTCCTCCATCTGAGCCTGCAGCGCCTCCACCTGGAGATGTGAGCCACAAAATAACCATATTAAAAGAAAGGTTTCGTCCATTCTAATGCCCATCAAGAGCTTTTGCAATGGTCAAAGCCATATTTGCATGAGACGATAACACCTAAATCTCATTTCATGCATTCATAAAATTGACTTGTACCTGTAGTAACAAAGTCTGGTTTTCATTCTTGTACTGCTCCAGGCTCTCACCATTCGTCCTGTCTGTTGATTTTATTCTCCTGGTACTCTCTGCTCAAACAGACATGAAATCAAAGTGACACAGTCAGAAGAAGACAGCACTGTCTGAAGTAAGTATTCATCTTGCTGCTCACTTCTGAGTTTTCATAAATAAAACAAAAAAACTATCAGATCTTACTAACAATTATTCATTATAAAAAGCGTTTCAATTTACAATAACATGTTTATTACTTGATTAAAAACACTACAAAAAACAATTATATGCACACATATTTCTGAAATTATTGGACAAATTTAAAATTACACATATCAGAATGGCATCTACAAAAAAAAAAAAGTTTTCAAACCTTTTCTGGTCACAGTAGGTCTTAACTTTGTTGGCCTCAGACTGAGATTTTCCTCCAATGTGGACTCAGGGCTTCTCTGTCTGATAGTAACCTGAAAGACAGTGTGTCTTCAAAACATATTCAATGCAAACAACTTTTCCTGTATTTTTTCAAAGTGAAAGAATGTATAAAACAATGTAGAACATTTGTAAATTATAAAAACTTTTTAAATTAAAGGGTAATTTTAATTCTGCTGAATTTGAAATATGTGTATTAATGTCAAAACACTCCTCTCCAGTTCACATTTTTTCTATATACTAGTCACTGAAAATTAGGTTTGAAAATGCAGGAAATTACATCTAAATGATTTGATGGTTAGTGCAACATGTTCCTTGCAGATATATTGACTTGTTAAGGCAGGAAAAACACAAGTCTACTAATAACATTAATGCCTCTGTTCAGTTGATGTGTCCCTGCCAATTCAGCCTTTATTAAAGGTGATTAATCACACTTGTGTTTGACAAATCAATACCTCTGCTGTGAGAAAGGCCTATAAAGAACTGTGTACCTTGTGAGGAGGTTCCCGGTGAAAATATGTGATTTCTCCTGCATCGGGACCAACAAGGGCAAGAAGGTGCTGAATTTTCTTCCTGTCCTCCAACTCTCTGTACAACAGGAAATGCATAGATAATGTAAAGTGCAAAAGTGATAGAGAACAATAACAGCAGTGCAACACTGATGGCATTTATGAGAGGCTCTGCACACCTGCACTGGTGTTTTCACTTACTGTGGCTGATTAGTTTTCTGTCAATCAACAACAGTCTGTACATGTCCACACAGTATTGTGAGGAGGTCTAATCAAGGAAGTGAAAGCATTCATGTGTGGGGGTGTATGGACTTCAAATAATCAGAAATAATAAAGCAATATTGTGCTGTATGTCCACTGGCAGAGAGTCAGATGGCCCAGTACAAACATCCAATGGTTATTTTTATATGTCAAAGGGTGGGGGGGGTCTACTCCATTCAAGGCTACATTCACTTTACAGGCGTTAATGCTCAAAATCTGATTTTTTTTGTCAGAGACAATCTTTTTCTATTGATGGTTCACATTCATGTTTGCAAGTTACATGTATGCAGCTCCAATTTGAACAGCATTAGGTTCTAGTCTGCCACTACTGTGCAAAATTAACTGAAATGTCAGCAATGTGCATACAAGAATAACAACAGGATTTGTGAGACAGTCAAATTGTACAATTTCCTTAAAAACTGTTCAGTTAGAATGTTTCTTCCAGCTTGACGATCAGAAAACGAATCCATAAATGTGAAACATCCTTGTCTCTCCACTAAACCTCGCCAGTGTTGTTGCTCTCCTATAGGTTTACTTTTACCAGTCTGTGAGGAGCCAACACTGACTGAAGACAGCAGGGAATATGTGCATGCCCAGTGGAGGGACATGTTATAAAAAAAAAATTAATAAGACCATATATGGATGTGGCCCTGATCCAATGTGAAAAAATCTGATTTGATATATTTGCAGATGTGAGATCAGATCCAAGTTACTTGGAGAAAAAAGAAAAGCAGTCCTAATTAATGCTGTTAGTTACACTAGTGCTCTTCCTGCTATATGTTAAAGATGTTAAAACATCTTATGGCCTCACCCACCTGATCTTTAGTCGGTCATTTTCTGCGTAAAGACGCAGAGACTGCTCTCTCTCTTGAAACAGATAGACCTGCATGTCACTCAGGGCGTTTTGCAGCTCAGCAATCTCTCCCTCACGCTGTCGTATCTCCCACTGTAGCTTATGCTGGGGGGGATATCATGGATGGGAGAGAAGATCAGTTAACACAGTCCATGAAACAATGTCATGTACAATGACTCACCTGGTGTCTCACCTGGTCCTCTGTGATGCCTCTGTATTTCTCCAGCATCTGCAACAGCTCCTCGTGTTCGCTGTCAAACTGGGCAATCTTCTGTCTGTAGAACTCCAGAAGCTCCCTGGATGGACGCAGGTATGCCAGACGCTCATGGATGGGGGGTAGTGGGGAGTCAGGTTCCCGCCCAGGGGTCCGGATGTTAGCTCTACAGGGCAAAAAGTTACTTTATAGGCCTAATGCAAGGGGATTCATCTGCATATCAACCACTAGTTCACATGAACACTGAATGTTGAACCCAAGTTTGCTGCAACAAAAAGATTTTGGCTTTCTATATTAGCAACAGTCTACCCTGTACAGTACACGTCTGCAGAGAAACAACAAGCAATGATTACCTTTGCATTTAAACCCACTTAAGAAGTGACACTAAATCCATGGGTGTAGACTTAGAACTGTAACAGTAGGGGTCCAAAATGACATTCAGGAAGATTAGTTAAAAGCATTAGATCCTCTTAATGCTTTGGATACTGTTAGTGCAACATCCATCCATCCATTTTCTATACTGCTTAGTCCCAAACGGGGTCACGGGGGGCTGGAGCCAATTATTGCAACATCAACATCCTATTTGTTACAGAATAAACAATGTCTGTCCTTCTGTGTGTTAACTGAACTATCTTACCTGTGTGGCCTTGCATCTTTTGTTGGAGATCCCATTCCAGCACAAATCACTGAATGCAAGAGTTATAAGTAATAATATGTTAGTATATACACATGTTGATACTAGAAATGTGCATTTAGCTGTTATTCTACTGCAAATGGGTTTGGTGTTGTAGGCCTAACATCCAGATACTTTTAGCACTTATTTGTGTAACAAGTAGTGACAGAGACAGAGCTTTGCAAATCAAGCAGGAAGGGTCTGCAGCAGCCAGCATGCGTTTACTCTGCATATCAAGAAAGCTTGGGAAGCCAGAGTGGGCAAACCCACAGTATATATAGTTAAAAGATCTTTTTGGGTGCTATTCTACAATAATCACAAAGAGGTTCTAGGATATGGATGGTATGATTGGTAACGTAAAAGAGAGATTGGTTACGTTTAACGCTTAAATGTTCCTATTGTGTTAACATGCTACGAGTTAACGCTATTGCACAGCTATGGGAATGTCCACTGCGTGTTTGTGTTGCCAAAAGACTGGGCGCCAAGGGAAGCGGGACGTTTGAAAGCACAGTCCTCTCATTAACGTTTTGAATGCATGTTCAGCTAACGGACTACTCAACTTGTCCTTTTGAAAATGAGGTGAAAGCTGGAATAAAAACTGAGAGAAGGAGCACGCCCATTCTCCTTGCAAAGCAAACAGCGGCTATACGTTAGTGTATAGTGTAACGTTACGTTTAAGTCAAGATATAGTGACGGTGAATCTGAAAGTTAAGACCTATCTAAAGTAAAGCCAGCAGCAGATAAAATTATAACATCATAACCACAATAAACATCTTTTCATACTACACAAATTTTTTTTTACCGGTCAGACTTCCAAAACTCACGCGCCGCCCTGTTGTTCGTTGCTATCAAGCGTTTAAAATCCCGGAGGTTTTCGCCTCTTCTTCTTCGTGGGTTATGGAGAGACGATATGTTTCCACCTAGCGGCGGAAATTAAATAATGTCATAAATGATTAGACAATAACCCCGTACATTATGATGCCACCTGTGTGGCATTTGGGGCTAAGTAGTGTATCCTGAAATAAATCTAAGAGTAAAACCATATTTTATGTCGCCATTAGTTTCCCCTGTGTCAAATACTTATGCGTATTTAGAATTTTTTTATTTGTGTTTAAATGTGTAGAATAGATAGTATAGTGTAGTAGAGATACCTCCTAGAGTGCTAACAAATCTTACAAATAACCAGCGTTAACTGTCTAAATACATGATGGACAACGCACAAACGGCGTATAGTTGCCAAAGAACAAAAGATAAACATTTATCCATTTCAAATTAAAGGGCCAAATGTGAAATGTGTGGAGATCATGAAGAACACAAACATGACACAGGCTACTTTATTGATAACCTTTTTCAAATGTTATCCTTGCTTGCATTCATTACCAAAATAAAATGTATCCTCTTGAATCCCTCGTTTTATTACGAAAATCCTAATCGGAAGCTGTAATTTTACTACCTCTAACTTGACGTATTGACACTGGTCCGGGTCCGGTCCCATCAAACTTCATCGAAGAGCTCTTACGCCACGGATTTTCAACGATGGAACGGAAAGTTGCACGGGAATTTAGGCATAAGGTAAGATACAGACATTTTCGTCAGTGGACATGGATGAAGTGGTTTTCATATATTATGTTACACTTCACACACCTGTTCTGCTAGCTAGATGATAACCTACTTATTAGTAGCATAAAATTGACTTCAATGGGGGTTAAGAGTAACATAGTTCATTCTAAGCATTCCAGGTGTCTCTCTCAGTGAAATGTCACGCAGCAGGTACAGGCCTGACCGTCAGCCTTACTGAAAAGTAAGAGCAGCTAAAGCCATTCAAGAATTATTTTCTAGAGGATGATTTTCTGAGAGCCAAAGCAACATAATTTTTTAAGTGTATGGTTTTTTGCCTCGGACTCATTACTAACTATAAAACTCAGAAAAAAATACAGAAACAGAACTATTAGAATTTCTAATATATGCTGTTCATTCAACTGAAATACCTGTCTTTGTTGGTTTGCCTATAGAGAAATCGTTTTCATATATTATGTTACACTTCACACACCTGTTCTGCTAGCTAGATGATAACCTACTTATTAGTAGCATAAAATTGACTTCAATGGGGGTTAAGAGTAACATAGTTCATTCTAAGCATGTATATCCTATATTTGTGAAATTTTACCTGCTCTTGCTCAACTAAATATCATAAAGCTGTGCATGGTAAATAACATTAAAGTTTAAGCAGTAGTTATTTGGATCTACCACGTATGGATCTATTACTTATTAAATAGAAATGCATGGTACTGTTGTGTGTTGTTTGTTGGCACATTAGGTTAAGTCCTGAAATGGTAACTATGAGTCAAAGATAACAGAAGAAGGCAATATGATATGTTCAGGGTGTTTCCAACCCCAGAGCACGGAGGGATCGCTGCATGACCATCTGTGCTGCATGCAGGCAGGCAGGGCTCCATGTTGTCTTCACAAAGGTCATCTCAGCATTAGATGATGTAGACGTGTCAGTGATGAGCAACAGAGCAGAAGAGATGGGACAATTTACAAGTTTAAGTAGAGTCTGAGGGGAGTAAATGGGACAATCAGGCCTTGTTTCCTTTGGGAACATTATGTAGTTGTTGTCTGTGGGTGTTTGGATGAGCGTGTCAGTTTTACTGTGGAGTCACAACCTGGCCTAGCAGCCTTGTATACTAGACAGTTATAGCGTTTATCTGGCTCAGTTTTGAGTGATGACACATGCTCCTTGCACAGGTACAGAAATAGTTTTGTCCCAACAACTATCCTTTGTATGAATACGTCATATATACGCACAAATAACAGATTTTTGTGTCTCATTATTCTCATTTGTACACTAATTATTTTAATTATGCATTTGTATTGTGCAGTATGACCACTACATTGTTATATTTTTCTGTATGTATGTTACGATGGACGAGTGTCATTTACTGCCAGCCAAGTTTAGTAATTTGAACTTCAATATAAAAACGTGTCTGAATGTGCATGTGTACACGTTTTTACTCTCATTAAGATTTATTTTTAGTTTTGACTTTGCACTGTTCAAGATGAGGTGTGTGTGAGTGTGCATGAATGTTGGGTGATGTTCACCTTTCTCTGAGATGTAAGATGACACTTCTGACCTTCCCACTGCAGCATCTCCTCAGCTGCGCTGCCATTATTCCATCCCAGTGGTCTGATGGTTGGGGAAGGGCAGGCCATTACATACAATTTAGTCTAAGGACCTTCGTCATCCCAAAGAGTAATGAACTTCTCACTATTTTATTTAAAAAATCATCAGCTCAAGGGTGAAAGTTGCAGCTTAGTTTGGGACAGTTTTAGTCGGAGACAGTGAGATGTGTTACATCATTGACTGGCCTAAGCGTTTCCTCAAAACTATCCTGCTGCATCTGAGCCACCATCAGGTTTGTATGACTCATACATACACACACAGACAGCTCACCCCCCTGTGCTGCTGACAGGACAATGGGACATAGGTACAGTGTGTATCGCTGGTGTGGTGAGACGGATGGCACCAGATGTTTGTGTGTTCTTTCAGGTGGAGCTGCTGATCGAAAATGAAGCAGAGAAGGATTACCTGTACGACGTCCTCCGCATGTACCACCAGTGAGTGCCAGCTGTCACTGCTGTGTCTGGTTATAGTGTGTGTGTGTGTGTGTGTGTGTGTCTGTGATGTCTTTGCACTGTCGTTTTGTTTCGTCTTTGTCATGCGCACGTCTATATATGAATGAAAAGATTGTTGTTAAATAATTGTCACTTGAACTAGTACTGAATACGTGTTATTAGTAAAGACAGTGGAATGTTTTTGCCAGTGCAAATATAAAAAGAAGGCTTCATTTGTTCTTATTTGCATCAAGTGTTGCTGAAATTCATTTTAGCTGCAGGTGACACTTCTTCTAACATTTATCTAACTTTAAAAATTTTCAAATGTAAATGTCAAAATTTTTTACCCTACTCAATCAGTTTTAATTTTAAGGCACATAGATCTGCAGTTTAAATCGCGTTCTTCATCACGGTTTCTGTTGGTGTCACAGAAAACTGAGGAGGGGGTGGCCTGTGCTACAGGTCTAGGTTTCACTTTATCTTTGTACATAGACAGAGCCCTGTGGGCCCACTGGTGAGGCCTCTGATCAGTTTCCACTGCACTCCGACAAGCTTGGCCAGTTATCCACAAAAGCTCTTTTTTATGTTCATCCACCAAACAGGCTGAAATGGCACCTATTAATAATTCAAGTAAGAGGCCAAATGAACAGATTTTGTACAGTCGCTTTAACTTAGCTGCTTTCTTTGAATTGCATGAAACAAACGTTTAAATTATTTTCCCACCAGCATGTGTACATGCTGTTTATTATGTACTTGAAATGGAAGCTGAGGGGATAGTATTAATGATCTTCTGGCTGATGATCACCTCTAAAGGCCATTATGATTACCTTGAAACTGAAGTAGACAGACATTTAGTAAAACTGACTGTTCAATATTATAAAGCTTGACTTTGTTCATGCTAACAACAAGGCAAGTATTTAGTGTTTCTTCCAGTCTTATACTCTCCTTGGTGTGCAAACGCCTGTGACATATACATTTTATGAACCCAAAGCTCTGCAGTGCAGTACTCTTTTGATGGGGAGTCTTTCGGCTATAGAGAAGATTACATTATTAGATAATAATATATTTATAAAATTAGCAAAGAAATCTGCTGCAAGTCATGTTTCTCTCAGGTCAATGGATTTGCCAGTGCTGGTGGGGGACCTGAAGTTGGTAATAAATGAGCCGAAGCGCTTGCCCCTGTTTGAAGCCGTCCGACCTCTCATACCACTCAAACACCAGGTGCAGTACGACCTGCTCACCCCTAAGAGGTCCCGGTGAGTCCAGCTGTCTTGTTTTTTTACTAGCGTTCTCCTTTCTAAATTTTATGTGGCACATGAATTCTGTTTTATGTCGTACTCACTCACCTGATTGTGCAGGAAACTCAAAGAGGTCCGTTTGGATCGGACACATCGCGATGGATTGGGCCTGAGTGTTCGAGGAGGGCTGGAGTTTGGCTGTGGTCTCTACATATCACAGATTGTTAAGGATGGTCAGGCTGGGAATGTTGGCCTCCAGGTGTGTGCATATGAGCTAGCTGCATATTTCTTTATACAGCTAAAACACTGCATGTTGAGTTCAGTTACAATACCATATACTATAAAGAGCTATAGATTTGTGGAATGATTATTCTGTAGTCATTATAGTAGTGGTAGTAATATCCATTGTGCCAGTTTTATTTAGTATACAGTAGTAATATTATTTGCAGTCATGTAGATTACATGCTGCATGATTAAATAATTTTTTGGGGTATCAACTCAGTAGTGATGGGCAAATGATACCGAGGCTTTGGAGCTTGTGTCACTCGTCCTGAAGCGGAGTGATTCGAAACGCTGTATCAGAGCTTGTATCAAAACACCAGTGTCACGTGACCGATGACGTTCGAAGCTTCGAACGTCGTCGCTGTTTCGCTTCGCGCTTCATTCCTTCAAAATGTTTTGAAGCTTTTCATTGGCTCATAGTCTTTCAGTGTGTGTCAACGCTCATGGCGTTCCAGTGCATTCTGAGCCAATGACAGCTTGACAGGTTTTACAGATTTGTGTGGTTTGGTGCCATACCAGCTATATAAGATGCATCATTATGCTTCAAAATGGGGTTGTGAGGAGATAGAGATTTGGAGAGTGAGAGTGAGAGTATTTTGGCAAGGTTCATGGCGAGTACCACCAATAAGCGACGTTCTAAAGTTTGGGATCATTTTGATCTCATACCACCCAATAAGGTATAATGCAGTTTATGGCATACATTTTATGTATGTCTGCTTCTGTGAATAATCATTCCAAATCAACCATACAAGTCCCCAAATGACAAACCATTATCTTTAAAGGTTTTCCTTAAACACTTCACACACACAAAAAAAAATACAATGTTCTGAATTCAAACACCATGATCATTTGCAAAGTAGGAAGGATCTCTAATCCTGTTAGGGGCTTTTAGCTCAAAGCTTGAAATTAACCCTTAAAAACATTTAACCCTTAATATAATTTGCATTGATTGTTTGGGTTAATCTGGAATGTGTTTTACAGTATGGGGGAGAGCATCTGCATATTTTATTGTAATGATGATATAATCATTATTTGGTATGAATGAACAAAACACTTGAATGACCACACAGACTTTTCTGAACTTTTATTGCTGTCATGGGATTGAAACAGTGCCAGTGCTTCAGTCGTGCTCTTTAGAGGCTGCTATGGCTTCAGTTGTCCACCAGATGTCACCGTCACTGAAGTCTTGAAGCTTTGAATCGTTTTCGGCACAATTGTTAGGAAAGCCTCAGTGCTTCATGAGGCTTCACTTGCCCACCACTACAACTCTGTCAATTTATTCAGATTTTCTGTGGCCTTGTGTCTTTGTCAGTCAATATACCAGAATGGACTAGGTGGGGTACAGCGCCATGTTTGTTCAACTCTCACAGAACTTGAATGGATGTCACTGATGGGGCCTGTTCACCCAGATGTATATTAAATAAACGAAATAGTTCTGGTCTTGAAAGGAAAAGTTACTGTCCTCTTTGGAAAAGTTTGGACTGATGCTTTAATGAAGATAAGCCCGAATAGCCAATTTGCTTCTGTGAGACACTGTGTATTGTGACAGACTTAGAATAATCTTCATAACAACATCTTGGGTGAGGATGGTCTCTCGTGTAATATCTGTACATAGACGAGAGAGACACAGAGTCAGTAGGGAGCATGGTAGTTTTGTTGTCAGTACTTAGGGAAATTATCATATTAAAAAATGGATCCCTTATTAATGCTTTTACAGTTTTCTCCATGATATAATGTCATATAATTAAGTAATATTGTCAGAATACTGTGTTATTGAATCAAAAATTTTAAAATGAGGTTGAGGTTATTTTCAAATGTATTCCAATAGTTATTTGTTAGCGTGTCAGAAGTTAGCAGTTACATAAACTGTTTAACAAAAGGTGAAATCCTACAGTGTGGTGGGTTGCATACCATCATAATTGTTCCTGCTGTACTGTTTGCAAATAGCATATTTTGCTTTCACAGTAAAGTATCCAAACACTATTCCAGTTTTTCACTAGAATCTGTTTTTTTAGGTTAGATACATGCTATAATGTAATTGATTTATTGCTTTCAAATCTGTAACTGTATTATATATCAAGGAGATAGATGCATCTAATCACAACTGTTTGATTGCAAGTCACTTTAGCCAAGAGCATGACTTGAATGGCTGAAAATCAAACTAAACAGATTGCAATAGATCATACAGAGGCTGATGTATTCAGCAGACACAGAGGTACAGTAAGCAGTAACTTCATCTGTGATCTGACTGTGTCATTCATAATGCCTCCTCCTGTACTGATTTATAGGTCGGTGATGAGATTGTGCGCATCAACGGATACTCCATCTCGTCTTGTATCCATGAGGAGGTCATCAGTCTCATCAAGACGAAGAACAACGTGTCACTCAAAGTCAGGCGTACGTCAAATGCAGCAACAGTGATGTGATCGATGTGTGTTAAAACAAATATTTTTTAATATCCGTTGCATCTTTCATTTATTTTTATTTGTTTTTTTTTTTGTCCTGTGTACAGATGTGGGCATGATCCCAGCAAAAAGGTAAGATAATAATAATAATAATAACATGACATATATTTAGGCACAGTGGTTAGCACCATCGCCTCACAGCAAGAAGGTTCCCTGTTCGAGCCCCGGCTGACCTGGGGCCTTTCTGTGTTTAGTTTGCATGTTCTGTGCCTGTGTGGGTTCTCTCTGGGTACTCTAGCTTCCTCCCACGGTCCAAAGACATGCAGCTTAGGTTGACTGGTGACTCTAAATTGCCCATAGGAGTGTGTGGTTGTTTGTCTACGTGTCAACACTGTGATAGACTGGTGACCTGTCCAAGGTGTACGCCGCCTTTTGCCCAGTGTCAGCTGGGGTTGGCTTTAGCACCCCCGTGACCCTATGTAGGAATAAGCGGTATAGATAATGGATGGATGGACATTGATTTATTGTTGTATGAAATGTTGCTGTATTGATTTCTCTGTTGTTTCTGTTTGTCTTTCTTATTTCTCCAGTTCATCCGATGAACCCCTGAAGTGGCAGTTTGTGGACCAGTTTGTGTCAGAGTCAGGGGTAAGGGGGTTTTTCCTTCATGCTGTTCATCAGTTTCAAATGTTGTATGAAATCAGCAGACAGTTTATCGATGTTTGTTTCTTTTATGCTTCCTTTTGGCACCCTCCAGGAGAAAAGAGGCAGTGTTGCAGGCTTGGTATCCATCAGTGGGAAAGAGATAAAGGAGAAGAAAGTTTTCCTCAGTCTTGTGGGTAATAAGGGTATGGGCATCAGCATCTCCAGTGGTCCCACCCAGAAACCTGGTATCTACATCAGTAATGTCAAGCCAGGCTCCCTCTCTGCAGAAGTTGGGCTTGAGGTGATTGCTGAAAAACACCTCTGTGAAATGTTGACACTCATCTTTCTGCCTGCTATGAACTGCATGTGTTTTATGCCAAAATGTAGGTTGGAGACCAGATTGTGGAGGTGAACGGGGTGGATTTCACCAATGTGGACCACAAAGAGGTGAATTTAATTTAATTTTTTATCCACTTGGAATAATGGCAGTTGGAGTTCAATGCTCATCACTCAGTTGTATAATTATATACACAGATTGACAGTTTTGTACATTTTGTCCCAAGCACCATGAGGGTATCTGTTACTACTGATGATGCCAAAAGAAGCTAAACTCTCCATCAGTGATGGTGTCTGTTCTGTGCTTTACTCATTGAGCCACAGAATCGCAGCCAGTTTCTAATATGGAAAAATACCCCTGTCCGACTGTTGGTTATTTGCCAAAGTGACAGATGAAGATAACGAAGCTTTTAGTTTTTACTGGCATTGGTCATAATTTCACACCCTGATAAATATATAACATACTTAACACCAGCCTTAATGCGATCCATGGCTTATTGATGTTAATGTAATCATAAATATTTATGGTATTATTTGAAGTCCTCTGTTATTATACCTCCAGGCTGTGAGAGTCCTGAAGAACAGGAGTCTAACTATTACTGTTCTGACTGGAGCTGTAAGTACACTATAACTGTATTATGTCTGATAATAATCATCATTTGTGTAGTGTTTGAATTTAAAGGGATTCCTAGTTTCCTGGTCAATTGAAAATGTCTTTTTAATTGATTAAATGAGCTAAATCATATTTTCAGTCTGTACCAACTTTGATTCCTAAATCCATTTTTGACTCACTAGACATTATATCATCCTACCTGGAAAATCTAACAACCAAATAAAATCTAGTTTAAAAAATCTAAAAGTGACGAGGGCATGTCACTGCCTAATTTCCACTTTTATTACTGGGTATCTAATACATACACAGTCTTACATTTTGGTTGCACTTTTATAATCAAACATAGTTTGTGTTTTTTCTCTCTCAAGTCATATTTGAACTAATCATCTCTTTCAACCTTCTTTAAATTATTCTGTTTTTAAGGAATGGCACAGAAAGTGTGTCAAGCAGTTTAAAGATATTTTTGTCAATAACAGTTTTGACTCAGTTTAACAACTTTCTGATAAATTCAACGTATCCAATACACATTTTTAGGTAGCTATCTGCAGATCAGCGTACCCAGATACCAAACATACCTAAAGCACTTGATAGAAACATAGTACATACATACATTTATTTTATTTTGTTTTTTTTGCTGTGCATTATATCAGTCTTATCAAATGGCTTTTATTCACTTATATAGTTATAGAAGAGATGGCAAAACGAAAGAGTATTGTGATTGGGATATGGATAAAAAAAACTGTCTAACTTTGAAATCACATCTGAGAAAAGACATTTCTCTCAGAAGATGAAACAGTTTGCGGGACTTGGATATGGGAACACAGACTTCTTCCTTATCACCTTTTTACATCCACCATCACGGGTTATTGAAATTGAATGCTGTATTCCAAAATTAGAGAGCCCCTGTTATTATGTGACAAATTGATTAGTCAAGTCAATGTAAAACTAGTATATTCTAGCCTCCCATACTGTAGACAGTTTAATACGTAGGGAACAATAATTAATAGGCAATACATACAGTATAGTGCCTGTAGTATGTATCTTATATGTTTTTATGCCTTATAAATAGTGATTAAATTGCGTACATGCAAGGTCAGTGATTCTGAGTGTGACTTCAGAGATATTTCGTGACTTCTCCTCTCTCCCCGGTTCAAGAGACTGGCTTGGACTTGCCTGTCGGTCTCCAGAGCCAAAGAAAAAACTTTGAGGATCCCTGCTGTACATGATGTCTTTCCCTTATTATTGTCTCTGGTTGTTGTCACTCTCTCAGGGCAGTGAGCTTTTTATGACAGATGGGGAGCGTCTGACACTCGAGAGCCAGAGGGAGCTGGAGAGGCAGGAGCTGATGCACCAGAAGAAGGTGGCACTGGAGACCAACAAAATCATTAAAGAGCAGCAGGAGAAGGAGAGGCAGTGAGTCAGCAGTGGAAAACTTAAACTCCATTCTTCCTAAATGAACCTGGTCTTTGTTGTATGGCAGAAGATATTATCTTGCTGTGTCTGTACTTGCGACAGATGTTTTAGTGTCTGCGTTATGATGTATGGGAAGTAAACTGCATTATCTAAAGTCGTGTACTGTAAGACGCTGGCGCCATGGTAAGATTTCAGCCTTAACAGTTCAAAAAGGTACAGTTACACACCGTCCAGAATATAGTTTATTACAAACTGCAGAAAAAACGCTGTATTCATGCAGTCATAAGCATGATTAACCTACTGTATTTACTGTACACCAAGGTTTGGACACTTTCCCATTCAGTTTAGTAGGAAAGTGTGTGCAAACATTTGACTGTAGTGTATGTTAATGACCAATAACGGTTTTCATAAATGTTATATACACACACACACACGGTTAAATCTATTTAAATTCCTAAATTTAACAGTTTAATACCTGACTAAACTCTCTTCTTCTCCAAAGCAGCTCTGCAAGTTCAGTAGTTTCACCTCTAACCATTTACTGCATCCTCACCTTGAAATTGGGATTGCTAACTGAAAAATCAGCAGCAACTATAAAAGCCCCTGTAAATGACTGACTAAAAGCAAGTGTTTGTTGTAGGAAATTGGCTGACATTTTCATCCAGTGACACAAATGGTGCCCAGCATGCGCCCCAGTAGCTTTCTATCCACTTTCAGCCAGGAGGCTCACTTTGTCTGACTATTCAGAGAGCATTGCTGTCTTTGCAGATCTATTAGGCACAGCTGAACTTGATTTGCCCTCAGAAACATGCACACAGTACATCTGGGTTCAGTAATCAGCTTGGGGAATACTACACCAACATGTAATCAGTCTGAAACTGAAAGTCATCATCCAGTAAAAAAGGTGTTGACTGACATTACTTTGTTTTCCAGAAATCCTTTGTTTGCAGCCTCAAACATCATCTGTCAGTCAGGGCCAGATTCTGCATTTACAATAACCTGGCCCTTTCCCTCATTGGCCCTTTCCCTTTTGCCATTCTGAATTCAGATACCTCAAATGCCATGCAGGACATTGCATTACCTGTTTACACCTCCAACAGGACAGCGGTTCTCCATAATGTAGAACAGAGCAGTCAATTACAAAGCTGGCAACTGAGCATATGCTACTCAAACACACATTCACAGAGACGTAGAAAGTCGGCATGACCTGCAGTGATTTTTGCATCTAAGAACCTGTGTTAAGCTGTTCAGTAAATCATTGGCACATTTTTCCTCAGAGGACACACACAGTTTTGTCATTGCTTTGATGACAGCGGTATCTAGGGATGTGTAATGGGAGTGCGTTTCATATGTTTCAGGGTTGGACACTCTCAGTAGCAGCCTTAAACGGCATTAAAGTAATACAGTATATTTTTGTTTGTAGCCCTGCTTTCTAGCATGTTGTGTTGACAGAGTTTATGTTGCGTGTTTAACAGGAGGAAGATGGAGATCTCTCAGAAAACTACAGAGGAAGAGGAGCGCTATAGGAGGGAGATGGAGAAGTATTCAGTTACAGTTTTGGCCCGTATCATGCAAAAAATGAAGTTCAGCATTTTTTTTTAATATCTAAAATATGTGATATCCTTTGCTTGTTTTATTGTCATCTGTAGGATTGAGGATGTGGAACGGAAGCAGAACAGAGAGTGGGAGGAGGACTGGGGAACCAAAGACAGGCGCAAGAGCCCTAGGAGCCCATCACCTGCGCCACCTGAGATCAAAACACCCCCATCTCCAAAGGCCAAGAGTTCTCGTAAGGACATCTGATAAAATCCTCTCCTTAAAATGCACAAATCTTCTTTTCAGCTCTGAATTATTTATGTTTCTTCTGAAACCACTGAGGTGTAGAAGTAACTCTTGCCTGTATTGCCTGTACCTCACCTTAATCCCCCATTCTCTGCATGCTACTGTCTCTCTTTCTGGTTCTTCTGTGTGCTGTGCTGTGCTGTGCTGTTTTATGCCAACCCCCCTAAGTTGATGCAACCAGCTCTTACACAGTGGAAGATGAGGAGGAAGAGGAGGACAGAGAAGTGAGTCTGGAAACTCAGCTGTACATTGTCACAGCTGTTGTAGGAGGATGTTCATGCAAACCAGCATACACACAGACTGGTGCTAGATTTCCTTTGACAACCAAAATGTAACTATTGACACACATTTTTTTATTATACTTTATATCATTTACCATTTTATATTGGTAAATCCTGCTAAAAATGTCACTGGCAACCAAAATCCTGCTGTTAAAACATTATTTTTGCATCACTTACATGATGTGCAGTATCTTGCATCAGTTGGTTTTCAAGAGTTCGTAAATCAAACAGACTCAGTCATTTTTCTCTTTGTTGTGGCTCTTCAGTGTGATGGCCTGCTTTTTTTGCATATGGAAACACTGATTGGAGTTTATTGAATCTTTGATTTTCATTTAACATCCTTGTGAAAACAACATGTGTTCATCTCTATCCTTAGCATTTGGCTGGTTTTATCGATATGAGGGGAAACTACCTTCGTTCCGCAAGGTACTGTCAGCTGTGTGAGTTCAGTGTGGTGTTACTCCTCTCTGGTTTTTAACTGGTTCTTATGTCATCATGACAGGATGGTGGTTATGTATTTTAAACCAGGGCTTTGTTTTAGAGAACGTGATAAAACTTGGTCATTTTCTCTGGCTTTTATCAGTCATAAACAGTGTGGTGTCACTAGCTGCAGTGTTTCTTCATGCTGTCATGTGTGGTTTGGAGTGGAGTTGGTCTGTCCCCTGCTCTTTATACTGACTAACTGATAACACCTCAGAAAGGAGAAAAGAAGAAGAAAAAGAAGAAAATGTCCAACACGGATACACTGCAGGAGCAGAAAAAGAACAAGAAGGAGATGGAGTTTGAGCTGAAACTCGCCAAGGAGAAAGAAGAGATGTATGAGCGAGAGAAGCAGTTGAAGATTAGTAGGCTCGTTCAGGAGGTATGAAAAGGGTGGGGGGGGGGTCTGTGGACTGAATATTTGATAGCTGAGCATGAATGTATAAGAGGCCGATAGCTGTTGCCTGATGCTGCCCGCTCTGCCTCTGTACTAGGTTTCTGAGACAGAGCGAGAGGACCTAGAGGAGTCTGAGAAAGTGCAACATTGGGTGGAGCGTCTTTGTCAGACTCGCTTGGAGCAGATCTCCTGTGTAGAGAATGAAACCCCAGAGGTACAGAGTGAGAGCTGCTCTGTCAAAATCTGCATTCAAATTCTTTATTGTCTTTCTATACAGTGTTATATGTCAGAGGTCAGATTACTTAGTAAGCAATGGTCAGTGACCAAGAGGCAACCCCTCCCCACCATATTATGTTGATGACTTGTCTCTGTAATTCAGCAGATTTATACTTAAAACAGGATATTACATAGTCAAATGATACTGAGTTCAGTGTTGCTTAAATTCAGAAAGGCTTTCTAGCAACTGGGATGCAACAGAAGAGAAAGTGAGCTGTAGGAAAAAAGGGGGGTTAATGTGATCTAAGATGCAATAGGGCAATTACTCAAACATGTCATTTTCCTCCAGATGAAAATGAAATGAAATAAAGTTCTGGAGGGAAACAGGAATGTGAATTTTTAAGCATGAATTTTAAAGCATGATACAGGAGAATTAACAAAAGGTGAAACATTTTTATTTCATTGTGACTTGAAGTTCTCCCCGCCACATTCTCCGGCTTCCGAGCCCAAGGTGAAGCGTTTCCCTGGCGGTCTTCACCTGGCCACCACTGACCTGGATGACATCAACCTGGATGATGTGGATCAGAGCCTGAGGGGCCCTCTGAGGAGACTGGCCCCCACCCAACCCAGCACTAGCCAGCCTCCCCCTCCCTTGCCTCTCCCGCCGTCCTCACCCAGGCTGAACCCTACCATCCCCAACTACTCCCCTCCTTCCTCTCGACCCTCTCCAAAACGCCTGCCTCCATCTCCACCCATTGGTAGGAGACCTCCCTCTACCCCATCTACTTTGACCAACAAGGGGCGCAGGCTTCGCCCACAAGCTCACCCTCCTCCTCTTCGCCAATCTCCTCGCCCACCTTCCCACCACCCTCTTTCATTTCTTTCACCACGGCCTCCATCCTCCCCTCGACCTGCTCCACAGCCTCCTCCACCGCCACCCCCTCCTCCTCCACCGCCTCCCCCTCCGCCCCCTCCTCCCCTGCCTCCACAACACCCTGAAGAACGAGTAGGAACCCTCAGTGGGTACCGCCAGCATCATCACCATTATCCCCAATACCCTCCCAGTCCTTCAGAACGCAGAAGCGAGTGGGAGGTGGGCAGCTATCTTCCAAGAGGAGGGATTTACTCATCTAACACCAGTGAAATGTCCTATCCCTCTAGTCCCGAGGTCAGAATTTCACATTTGAGTGGGCAACTTTTTTGTGGGCTGATTTTCTTTTTGTTTTGTTTTGTTTGTTTTTTTGCTTTAGTTTAGGAGTGTTTAATTGATTTAGGAGTGTTTAATTGAAGGATTGATTTTTAGTCGGTCGAAACAGTTGCATCAGCAGCAAGGATTCGATTCTCTTTAATGCACAAATTTTGTGTATTGGACTGATTTATGCATGAAGAGAGAATGATACATGGCTGAATCTAGCAGCCATTTGAATTTTCTTTCAGCTGAGGAAAGTGCATCCAGGGATGCAGTTAGTTGTTACTGAAGTGTGTTTGTAGCTGTGTGGGTTGTTTTCTGTGTGTGGGGTGTTGTGTGTAGTGGTGATGACAGCAGCATGTTCCAGCTCAAGAGAGGAGCTGGTTTTTAATGAAAACTGGCTTGCATGTGTGCATTCGCAGCCTGTCTACTCTGGTGGGCTGTGAATTTATTGCTTTTGAAACCTTGTAACATCTGAGAAAGTGTGAGTCTGTATTCCTGCGGTGTTCTGTATGTGCCAGCAGTGAAAGATTCATGTTATTTCACTGTGGATCAGGTAAGGAGAAACACCTCCCATGCCAGTCGTGTTTCCACCTCAAGCACTCACTTGGTAAGTCTTTTTCTGTAAAGATCGTCTCTTCCTTTTTTCAGAATTATGACCTTCATAAATTCACATTCTAGAGCTTTTGACTTTATTGAATGAATATACTGTTTAATTACAAGCCCATACTCAGCTGTTGCATGGAAACACTATCTCCCTCCAATAGCAACTAGCTCCCAGTCCCCCCAATCAGAGGCGTCAGATTGCCCCTGTCATGTCAAAGCCCGTCATGCTGCCCCAGTCCCAGAGTCACCGACCAGATCCTCACAGGCCTGCACTCCGTTCTGATGTCCTGGTATGAAATGCAACATACTCCGTGTATAAAACGTCATTCAGTTTTTCAGGGTTCTAAAGCATTCTGACATCTGACACTGTATGCCATCATCTGGCTGAAGGATTAATCTGTGCCCTTTTTTTGTGAGTTCTGGTGAGCTTTCCAGACTCTCTAGCTGTTTAACAGAAACCCAGGTTGTGGTTATTAGATCACACAGGGAACCATTCTCCTTCCTGTCCAAAAGCTCTAATTAAACCGGGCAGATTGTTTGGTTTTCAAACTGCATTTTCCTTGAACAAGCTGACTTAGCAGCCCTCTGCCTCTTCTTAACAGAGTCACACATTCACACCCAAGAGCAGAACAGCACAGCCACACATTTCTACTGCCAGCCACTGAGCAGCTGGTGGTGAAATGTCTTGCTGAGAGCACCTTGACTGTTTTAGTTGAAGGAGATGATGCTATAAATTGTTCAGTTTCCCCTTTATAGGTTTTTCTCTGGTCATCAGAGTTTGTAAGCTGTCGAACAAACCTCATATAAACTGCTGCTGCACACAACTGATAATGTTGTTTGTGATAGTTTTCCAGATTGGATTTCATGAGTTGAATTGGAAATATTTACATCAAATGAAATTGCAGCTGAATTGAGCTGTGTTTTCTGTCACATTTTTACAGTATATTCCCAAGGAGTGGTCATACTGTATTTACCTAGGATCCTGTTCATCACTGTTGCGTCAGTCTGTAGAAATAGGCCAAATCACAATACCGATGTCTGAGAATTGGACCAAAACTCTTACCTTGGACATTATTTCACACTTTTTAAAATTTCTTGTTAAATGGTCTAATCTTAGTGGCCTGATATGGTTTACTGCCACATGACGGTTCATCTCCAGTGGTTTATTTTCTCACCTTGCTGTAGTGATGTACTCCATGATGTGTATGGGTGAATGCCAGTTCCTTAAATTGCACCTCTGAAGAAGTGGGAAGGGACTTAAACAGTAAAACGCAGCTTTTCAACTTGATCTGAAGTTATTCTTTAAAATGTATAATATTACATGGAAAATACTTCAAGCATAAAAAGGAGTATTGTGTATGTTATGTTCACGTGTTCACTAAAAGCTGTTACCTGGTCTTGTGTTTCAGCCTGCAGAAATGCTGAAACGAATGGTGCCTTTCAACTCGTCTTTCAAATCAAACAGCAAACGACAAGTACTCCTTTATCAACACCTCGCTTTATTTATTTATTTATTTATTTATTTTAGTTTTACTCTGGAGTGCTTTTGTCCACTTCCTCTCCCTACACATTTTCTATCCATGCTAACACATTAAGTTTCCTCATGGTTCACTGGAGACTCATTGATGTCTCTTCTTATTCTTCATTTTGTCATCTCTGCTGCATAACTGCCTTGTGGTTTATGCATGACTGTACTTTCATTGATTTGAAGCATACAGTACTACCGTGAGGTGTTGAAATGCATGTCAGTTCTGTGGGCTTGCTGCAGTGATTAGGTTTGGTCTGTAGTGGCAACAGAAGGTTTGTACATCAGGGACTGTCCTATAAAGACCCATTGAAGACTCCAGATGGTTGTCATCCGTCTCTCTAGATGGGCTGCTGCAGGGTGCGTTAGTAAAAGGAAGGATGGTGGTGGAAGTTGTGAAGGTTTGATTTACCTTCACTTTACTTGGAAGCAGAAAACATCAGTCTCATTAGGATGATCTGTTATTCCACCTGCCACATTACTTAGATTGTATGGTCTAATTTCAGCTTGTCTCCAGTCATAGCAAATAAAATCATGTATGATAAATGAGTTCATTTTTTATGTCCCATGTAGAGCTTCTTTGCCAAACAGGAAATGAATAGTTGGATTAATGTGTGGGAGAGAAATGGCTCTGTGAGTCATCATACTGTTGCTGCCTGATTGCCTTTCTTTAATAGCTTTCTCATTCTTTCCCTGTACCATGGCATTAAATAGCTGTAAACATTGGTAGGAATTATTTTATGTATGTGTGTGTGTGGTGCATGCATGTCATCCTGCGAATTATTATTGATTTATAGTGTGATGCTTTAAAAGCCACTGTCCATTCTGAATTAATGACTGAGTTTCTCCAAGGCTTGTATTTATTCAAGGTGGTTTTGAAACATTAAGAAAGACCTGGTTGTCAAAGGAAGTCTGACCGGCACTTCATGACGTGGCTTGTTACACAGCTCACATTCACAGAGATTCATTTGTTTCTTTATGACCTATGGACATATTGATCACGTCTAATGAACTGCATGTTGATTTTCTTTCAGGGATTTCAGAAATATGAGGACGATTTTGACCCCTACTCAATGGTATTGTATGTCTGATCATGTACACAGTGGTTTAAAACCAAAGTGGTGGACAGCTAACAACTCCTAGTTCCTGCTTCTAAAGTTACAGGAAATGTTGGTGACTTATTTTCATGGTAGCCAGTGAGAATGATGACTTTAAAATATTATTAGCATAGTACTAAATTGTGCAGGAAACTTAGAATCAAGAATTTGTAGCTTAACATGTTTAGCTTTCAGCGCGTAGAAGTGTCACCAAATACTCTATATTTGTTCAATGTTGTGTCTTTGAGTTTTATTTCTTGATTCAGTACTCAGTTCAACTACATTAATAGACCAGGTTAGCTTGACTCTGCAAACTAGAAGGGAAGTTAACTACACTTGCTAATTTGTTAATGACTAATAAACTAACTATATGCAAGCTAATCTTCACTTGTAAATCACAAGTAAAATACAGCAAATTAGGCTAAAGCAGATGTTTTCTGTGGGAATAAGAGAGAGACGATTTGTTTCCAATGAGAACGTATATAGCTTTCCTGATGTAAACTACCAGGTGTACCATATATTGTAATTATCCCACACATGGTCTTTTGTAATAGATGTATCTTGTTTTATTGCTGACCATGATCATTTGGATATCCAGAGAATGGGAAACCATTACTTATGTCAGCACCCCTCTTCATTATTTCACTACTTACTATGCAGCAACTTTTTTTAAATTTCTTATATTAATTTTTTACTTTCTTCAGTCCTTTTCCTTTTTGTTAACAGTTCTCCCCGGACCAGATAGCTGGGCGAGATGTTAGGCTGCTGAGAATCAAAAAGGTATTTACTGACTGCACTCACTTTTGGTGACTCGGTCTATTGATGAGGAGCTTCTCACTTCTCACCACTGTGATAAGATATTCTAAAACATGACTGATGGTGTGGATTTATTGTTGTGAAGGCTGGACAGCTTGATCTTGCTCTGGAGGGGGGAGCAGAATCTCCCTTGGGGAAGTTGGTTATATCTTCTGTATATGAAGGTGGTGCTGCAGATAAGCATGGTGAGTTCATTTTCCCCCTCTATTTGAGTTTTGTTTACTTTCTTGCTGAGAAATAGCATGAGAAGACTGATACCTGTCTCATAACTGTCCATTAAATATGAAGCTACAGGCAGCAGTTAGCTTAGCTTAGCATAGCAGTCAGTTCCGTTTTTATTTTGATCACTTAAGAACGAGTCGATTTCAAATCCATAAGGTTTATTTTAAGCTTTATTAACCTGTGCTCAGTGAGAACAGCACATACAGTGCCTTGCGAAAGTATTCGGCCCCCTTGAACTTTGCGACCTTTTGCCACATTTCAGGCTTCAAACATAAAGATATAAAACTGTAATTTTTTGTGAAGAATCAACAACAAGTGGGACACAATCATGAAGTGGAACGAAATTTATTGGATATTTCAAACTTTTTTAACAAATAAAAAACTGAATAATTGGGCGTGCAAAATTATTCAGCCCCTTTACTTTCAGTGCAGCAAACTCTCTCCAGAAGTTCAGTGAGGATCTCTGAATGATCCAATGTTGACCTAAATGACTAATGATGATAAATAGAATCCACCTGTGTGTAATCAAGTCTCCGTATAAATGCACCTGCACTGTGATAGTCTCAGAGGTCCGTTTAAAGCGCAGAGAGCATCATGAAGAACAAGGAACACACCAGGCAGGTCCGAGATACTGTTGTGGAGAAGTTTAAAGCCGGATTTGGATACAAAAAGATTTCCCAAGCTTTAAACATCCCAAGGAGCACTGTGCAAGCGATAATATTGAAATGGAAGGAGTATCAGACCACTGCAAATCTACCAAGACCTGGCCGTCCCTCTAAACTTTCAGCTCATACAAGGAGAAGACTGATCAGAGATGCAGCCAAGAGGCCCATGATCACTCTGGATGAACTGCAGAGATCTACAGCTGAGGTGGGAGACTCTGTCCATAGGACAACAATCAGTCGTATACTGCACAAATCTGGCCTTTATGGAAGAGTGGCAAGAAGAAAGCCATTTCTTAAAGATATCCATAAAAAGTGTCGTTTAAAGTTTGCCACAAGCCACCTGGGAGACACACCAAACATGTGGAAGAAGGTGCTCTGGTCAGATGAAACCAAAATCGAACTTTTTGGCAACAATGCAAAACGTTATGTTTGGCGTAAAAGCAACACAGCTCATCACCCTGAACACACCATCCCCACTGTCAAACATGGTGGTGGCAGCATCATGGTTTGGGCCTGCTTTTCTTCAGGAGGGACCGGGGAGATGGTTAAAATTGATGGGAAGATGGATGGAGCCAAATGCAGGACCATTCTGGAAGGAAACCTGATGGTGTCTGCAAAAGACCTGAGACTGGGACGGAGATTTGTCTTCCAACAAGACACTGATCCAAAACATAAAGCAAAATCTACATTGGAATGGTTCACAAATAAACATATCCAGGTGTTAGAATGGCTATGTCAAAGTCCAGACCTGAATCCAATCGAGAATCTGTGGGAAGAACTGAAAACTGCTGTTCACAAACGCTCTCCATCCAATCTCACTGAGCTCGAGCTGTTTTGCAAGGCGGAATGGGCAAAAATTTCAGTCTCTTGATGTGCAAAACTGTTAGAGACATACCCCAAGCGACTTACAGCTGTAATCGCAGCAAAAGGTGGCGCTACAAAGTATTAACTTAAGGGGGCTGAATAATTTTGCACGCCCAATTTTTCAGTTTTTTATTTGTTAAAAACGTTTGAAATATCCAATAAATTTCGTTCCACTTCATGGTTGTGTCCCACTTGTTGTTGATTCTTCACAAAAAATTACAGTTTTATATCTTTATGTTTGAAGCCTGAAATGTGGCAAAAGGTCGCAAAGTTCAAGGGGGCCGAATACTTTTGCAAGGCACTGTATGTGGATTAGCAGGAAAACTGACCTCCAGTCAAAATCACTTCTAGCATTTATCACACATAATAGTTATAAAATCACACTGACAGATTTTAAAGCTTCTTTTAACTGAAATAAATTAATGATGTCAGTTCTAGTATGTGTGCATGTTTTTGTATGTATTCAGTAGATACATGATACCAGTGAATGGCAGCCAACATGTTTATGGTGTGTATGTGTGGTGTAGGTAAATGTATCTGATGTCTCTGCTTGTAGGTGGCATTGTACCAGGGGATGAACTTATGGCTGTGAATGGGAAGATCCTGATCGATGCCACTTTGACTGAAGGGCAAAACTCTCTGGCTCGAGCCTGGAATAGTGGAGGGGTATGAAATGTCGTGCTCCGTTTTTTTAAAACTGATAGTATTTACCTTAGTAGCTTGCAACAGCAGGGTGTTGTATTGACTACGGTTGAACGCATCAACTCAGACTGATTGCACAGTTTCAGTCAGGCAGCTTGACATCTTTTTTTTTATCGGGTCAGTGAAAATGAAAGTGTTGTTTTTACCTTCAGGACTGGATTGATGTTGTGATTGCTGTTTCCCCTCCAAAAGAGTACGAAGACCAAGTGTAAGAATGTATTTATTTATTTTTTTTTATCTAAACATGTATAACCAATTACATGATGTTACTTGCTATTTATTGAAATACACTTATGTGTGTGGTCACGTGTGTGCAGCCCCAAGTCAGCATCAGTCAGTCCCACTGTGAACAGAAAGGTGTTTGAAGGCAATGCAACACTATACAGACATGGCTACCTGCTTCAGCACTAGCACGCCCTCTTCTCCCATCTCCTCCCCATCTTGGTAATCGACTTAGTCTTCAAACCTCCTCTTCTTGATTGCACGTCTCAGAGAGGATGTTTGGTGTGGCATCTGATTTTGTTTGGTCCCATTTTGATTCTGAGCACATGTGACAGTCTCCCTGGCAATCAGAAGCAAGCAAACAACAGCAAGGCTTGGCATTTGTTTCCCTTCATATAGCTTGGCTATTTCCAAGTATATAGTTTTTTTCCTATTTAAAAATTGCTTCTAGGCCAATTTCTTTATTGCTGTAGCGTGTGCTCTACAATACAGCCATGCTATTTGAGTGAAGACGTTTACAACTAATGCAATGAAGTGACTCATCATACTGTAGATTTGCTAAATTCTCACCCAGTGAGCCATATATAAAGAAATATGCACATGTGGCCTCTGTGGTGGTGTCCCATGTTGTCAGGTTTTAGTGCTCACAAAATCAATGCAGGACTCCTGCCACCCTTCAGCAGTTGTTCTGATTGATGTTGTCCAATGGGACTGTTGCACGTTCTGACATACACAGACACTAAGTGATCATAGGTGGTACTTGAGCAAGAGCTTTCCCCTCTGCTACAGTACAAATTAATATGTTCTCAGGGTTTGGTCTGGGTTACTTTTAAGTTTGAAATAATAATGTTTAATCCAAAGCAGTGGATTTTGCTGTTTCAATTTGTCAGTCAAAAAGCTGAAGGATAACAAATCTTAGGCTCAGTTTAAGCCCTGATTATGTTGTGTTTCTAAAACTCACCTGCACGTGCTGGTCTGTTGTATTTAGTGTGCAGTGACAGAAGCGAGCATGGTATGAAAACTGTTATTCCAGGGCAAACACTCAGCAGTCCAGCTGATAAAGCACAGCAGGTTTAACTTCTTTAATGTGATGCGACTGCTAAAAACAGATCTGACAGAGTTCGGTGTCACAAATTAATTTGTCACTTTTCTTCTGCAGGACATTCTTCTAGTCTCATCAACAGCCTGCCAAGAAACCCAGACTAAGAGGAAGCTTTTCATTGCTGATGATTCCTTCAGGATTCACTCTTCTTAATGACAATTAACTAATTATCTGTCTTACATTTACAATGACCTGTAAACAAACCAGCTTAAAATAGTCTATTTGTACATAGCGCTACAGGGGGCCTTTTGATAACTAGCCCAGTCAATGAGCATTCCCACTGTCTACTTTTATGAAAGGATGCTTCTGTCAACGTCAGTCCCCAGTAATTGTTTTCACTGCCGTCAGGCCTGACCTCATTGACCTCATTTCGTTACGCATAGACAGAAATGTCTCATCTGTCTTTATAACAATAAACATCTGTCTTTATAACAGTAAAGGGGAGAGTTAAAATAGGCAAACTAATCAATAATACCTCTCTAATTTCCAAGCCCAATAAAGGACTGCTCCTGTTAACAGAACTGACATTATGTTGTGCATAAATACGTTCTGCTCCGTCTGCTTTGATTTGATTTTTCCCGATACATACTCAGGTTAGCAATGCAGTGGTCGCCGTGAGGGAAACAGCCAATCAGCTGACAGCAGCATTTTCAGAAAATAGTATAGGACATTTTAAAAATATTTGGAACATCTTGTTTTACTCTTTCAAAACAGTCACTTGTGCGTAAACATGTTGGACAACATCACAAAAAAGTACAAAGCATCTGATTTAACTAAGGAAAGTAAAAGAAAAACTATGTGACTAAGACAAGACAAAACTAAACACTCACATCACATTAAGAGTTATTGCAGTTGTTGACATTCACGGAGGGTTTGAGGCTAGTTGAATTAGAACATGATGAAATCAGATTTCCACAGAAGCACAATCAGTCTGGTTCACAGGAATGTATTAGTCAGTAAAGGCTGATATGTTTTTTTTCTTGTTCCTTAACTTTTTTGGTGAAAAATTATTTATTTTAGCAATCCACATTCAAACTGGTATGGAGTGATCTGTGAGTTTAGAGGCTTTTATTTGTTTTTGGCAACTTAAGTTTCTTTTTCTTTTATACTATGAAGAAATGAGGCTACAAATCTGTCACTTTAAAACTCACCGTCAACGACTAAAACACTGGATTTTCCCATTTAGACGGTATTAAATGTGGATAAGCAGTAGTGTACTCATTTAAAGGAGGAGTAGGCAAACTAAGTTAATGTACCTCACCACATCCTCTCTGTCTCCACCAGTTTGACGTTGATTTACTTCAGCCATGGTGAGCCATACAGAGTTGTAATTAAATGTCCACAGGGGGCAATAGTGCTCCTTAGATACCAAGATACATTGGTGAATCAGGGTCCTCTGTGCGTTCAGAAATGTTCTTCTAATAAATCTGAATGTCATAAGAGAGGCCCAAGTCAGACTTGTATTAACAGTGCAAGAGTTTATGCTGATAAATGTACATTTTATCGTAGCTTTAAAAGGATGTTTAACATGCCAGGCGATCCATTCAAAGTCATGTAACATAAGTGTTGCGTTGCTGGATGCGTCGCTCTTCCCTGTTATATAATCTCTTTGTGCGCTTTGTGCAGACGTCTACTCTCGCTTCTTGACACCATACGTGATTACTGTTCGCTGCCAGATTGTTTGGCTGCCGTGACCCGCCGAGCGACGGTTCGTGACAAAGACTGAAGTGCCCTCGCGTTAAAGATCTGCCCTCTTTCTCCTCCTCCTCCTCGGTACCCACGTTCAGCACCGCGGACAGCTCCCTGCCTCCAACCGTAAACCACCGCCTACCGCCGAATGGTCGAATACAAGTAGGACAACAAGAGGTTGGCTGCACTCTGAGCACATGAGAGACTGCATTTTGGAAGGTTTTTACTCTTTACCCTTTCTAACAGTCAAGCGACGGATGTGACAATACTGAAGAGTGTTTTCGGAGTCAGAGAAACGACGCTGAAACACAATGATCCCCCGATATAAACCGGTAAGAGCTGGTGGTTGAGCCACCTGGTCACCCATTGACTTTCACTTTGAACAGCACTAGTGTTTAATGAGCATGCATTGGATAATACGGTGTTTATACTCTTGATAAAATGAAGTAGTTTTCAATTATACATAAAAGTGTGTCTAATATTCACTGGGGGCATAAACGTTTTTATTTGCATACATCATGTTACAGACCTGTGTTGGCTGCAGATTAAGGCCCATCTAATTCATTTAGGTCATATTTTAGTCAAGGAAACCCTGTGAGAGGTGTAATGGGGTCATCCATCATTGGGATTCATCCTAGGCTAAATTCTGTGGGAGAGTGTGAAATATTTGATGTGCCAGTTTCTTGGAAGCACATTATGGTAACAAACGTTCACAGCCAGATAGAGATTGTTTTTAAATAAAAGAAATACAAGTCTTCCCATCCTATATCTGTGAATAGGTGAGAGAAAAATTCACATAGGATATACATGATTTTGCAACAGTTAATTCATCATTCACCTCTTGCAGACAAAATGATCACAGTACTTCACACACACAAACACTTGTCTTGTCTACCCAGTTATATTTAGTTGTCTATTTGAGGTCACCACATGACAATCTTCACAGGTGCTGCTGTAACAGCCCTATTTAAGGATTTTAGGAATGCTTTAGGCATCTTCTATGCTATAAGGTCTGTAGCTATTTAAACCCATACCTGAGCTCCTGTTGATTAAATGCTCATTTCTTGTTTCTTTGAGCTACTGCTGCTCTTCTTCTCATTCTCTTTTTTTTTTTTTGCACACACCAATGCTCCAACTGTCCCCAGGCAATCCACTGATGGACTGTACTAATCTCTAAAGTATGGCACAACATAACTATAACCCGACCAGTTTTGGGAAAGGCTATAGACAGTGTTGGCACATTGATGCAGGTTGACCCTAACCCTTTATATATTCAAAAGCCAAACAGTGAAACCCTAACTGACCACCCATCTGAATTTAGGTCATTTTGAATGACACATTCTTGTTGTTGATATAGCATTAGTCTCTATTATATTTAAAAGAATGTTACCCTGTTACCAGATTTACAGTGCTTTCTAATGGAAAAGTAAAAAAGATGATCCAGTATTATGAAAAAAGCTGTAGATAAACTTCTCAAATATGTCAAGATACAACAGCATTATGTCTCTCAGAGAGGTTTTTAATGGATGACTCATGGAAAGTGCAAACCATTAGTCAAGCAAACTTTCAGACTTTTCAATTATTAAATTAAAACATTTAATCTCTGTTTCTGGTGGGTCCCCTTCAAAAGCATATGGTTTCTTTTATAGCTTTCATGAGTCTGGTTCTCAGTCATTCACGGGAGAACCTCATTTTGTTATTTGTTTTGCATTATTGCACAGTCTTTTACATTATTTTTGTTGTGCCACAGCCACTATTAACACCTGTGGCATAGCAGACAGATGTGTGTGTGTATGTAAACATTTAATCTTATCTCCTTGCTGTTCTTATGTAAATGTCAACATGGGATGGATTACAGTAACCATAAATCATTTTAACCAGTAAGAAAAGGCCACGAGTCCGCGTTAATACATAGATTATCCAAATCTGCTCCCATGTGGGTCTTTGCTGACCCCTGTGTGGGCTACAAGTCAGCTGTCACTGGCTGCAACGGGATCTATCTCTCCCTGCAGGACGCACAAGTCATCCTTCGTAGTATTTCATTAATATTTAATGCCGCTAATTTTTTATGTGCACACCCTTGTTATTTATTCGACCCTGCTTTCTTCTGCTCAGTGCTCTTGTAAATACACTGTGAAAGCAATAAATGACAGTGGCGTGGTATTATGTGATTCCCGAAAGCTTGCTGTTGCGTTTAGATTAGATGCTTCACACTTACTTGACGCGCACTGCTCACTGAGCAGTACCCCCATCCCCCCGTAATTCACTGTTCCCTCACACCCTCACCCTCCTACCTTTACTGCCCCCAGTAGCTCAGTCCTCTGGCTCGCCTGTACTCTCCACCCTCTCTGCCTTTGTCTTCCAAGGTCGACTTTGAGCTCTCGTTTGCAAAGAGACAGGGACAGCAGGTGCACTGCAGAATGCCGCCGCTGTTGTATCTGTATGTGCATACTTGTGCGTGTACGTGTGAGCGACATGAACGTGTCTGAATGCATTTCAGCGGAGCTGCGGAGCGCCGTGTGCAAGTAAAGCTTCAGTGTTAGCCAATGTCTGCAGACCGTGGGCAGACGAGATGCCTTTGTTTCTCCCCAGCATGGCAGGGAAAGCTGCTTAGACTGCCAGGGTGGAGAGGGAGCTGCTGCTGCACCGGACTGTAACTGCTTCTAACTCCTTCTCCCTCCCCCTTCCCTCTGTCTCCTCTCTTTCACTGGATCTGATTTTTGAGAGCTAGATTTCAGAGGGAGCAGAAAGGAGGTCACTTTGAAAATTGCTGGAATCTACTGAAGACGCTGTCAGTCTTCTCTGTGAGAGCCTCTCTTTTACATCTCTCTCTCGCCTGTCTTTCTCTGATCCTCCTCCCCTCCTCCTCTTGCACCGGCCGGTTCCCTGCAGAGTCCCGGGTCCACCATGTCCTTGGCCTTCTGCGGGAACGAGAACAGCTCGGCGGCTTACAACGTGGACGGCGGGGTTCTGAACAACGGTTGTTTCCTGGATGCGCTCAATGTGGTGCCACATGTATTCCTCCTCTTCATCACGTTTCCCATTCTCTTCATCGGTGAGTGTCGCTGGGAGGTGAGCTCCTGAACCTCTTCACTCCACCACCACACACACACAAACCACACAAATATCCGCTCAGATTATACACTGGTATACAGTGGGCAATAGCAAAAGTCACGCATGGATCTGAAATCAGTTTTCTATCACCTATTATTTACATGATTACGCGATACATTCTGTTAAGCAAGTGCTCATCTGTACAGAGCTGTCTTAACAAGATGGTTCAGAAACATTAAAAGAAAGAGAATAAAAGAAGACAGAAAGCCTGGCCATCATCTGGATGCTGGTGTGCATTCTCCAGCGTTATACTCCCGGATGAAAAGCTTGACATAGCCTATTGTATGTTGGAAATGGGAAATGGTCCTACCCTGACGTCTGCAAGATGTTTAAAACGTCTTATTGTTAAAAGATGTTTCAAATTATATAAAAACACAGAAAACGCATTATGCAAATCTCCTGCAAGGCATAACAAAGTCGACATGCAACGATATTTTACCAGGATAAACAAAACAGAAAATGATTAGTACTGCTGTTATGGATAATCTAAATCTGAAATGTTAACTTAAGCCTTTTAACTCCTGAGACCTGTGACACTTCATCTAGTTTCCACTAACGCAGACAACCCTCCTCGGAGCTCTGTGAGAAAATATCACTGAATGTGTAACACTCGGTGGGAGTGTTGCAGAGCATACATGCCAAAATAAAAGCAAACCCTTACCCTCGACCAGTATTCGTTCTGCTATGTTTCTGTTCTCCATTGTTGGTAAGATGCTTGTTTTTTAGTGTACGCGCATGAAAGTCGGACGTATTCTCGCGAGGTTTGTGATTGACAGAGGCGGAAAGTAACTAAGTAGCTACATTTACTCAAGCGCTGTAATTAAGTACAGTTTTGAGGTATTTGTACTTTACTTGAATATTTTTATTTCCTGCTACTTCTACTTAAACCTAAGAGAAAAGTGTACTTTCTACTCTACATTTATTTGATAACTTTAGTTACAAGTTACTTTTCAGAATAACATAAATTAAACAAAATATAGTATAACGTGATGTACGCAGTAATGCATCAATACTTATAATCCAATAATATTAATATAATATAATGTAATATAATGAGTACTTTTACTTTGGTAATTTAAGTATATTTTTATGCTAATGCTTTTGTACTTTTAACATTTTGAATGCATGACTTTTACTTGTAACAGAGTATTTTACACTGTGGTATTACTACTTTTACTTAAGTAAACAATCTGAGTACTTGTTTCTCCACTGATGATTCATCCATGATTGGTACCAGTAGCAGTATTTTGAGGATGTCTGCTTACAAATATTTCAGAACCAGTTAGACAAAAGGAAAAGGTTTTGCGTTAAAGCAGGGATGTACCGCACTGCAAAATTGTGATAAGTATTCTGAAGTCAGGTTCAGTAGGATTAATAGTGGCTGAGGAAAGGACGACACCACATGGCCTCCTGTTTATCATTTCACAGCCAACACTGGGCCATGTGTAACAGCAGAGGGAGAATTGGAGAGTTACATTTGCATATCAGTAATCCACATGTGTGGACACAAAGATTACAGTAAACAGCAACTTAACATTTCTTAGGTTCAGTTTTCTGTCCATGTTGCATTTTCTACTAGGACCTCCTTTGGTCACCTGCAGAAAAATGTTTGCTGGGGACTATCTCGTAAATGTTTTATTTTCTTTATCGTGTCTATAATGTTAATAGTTCTCTTTACCTAATGAGTTTGTTTTCCTGTGAGTTAAAGCATGTGTTACCAATAGAAATCGAAAGGCAGCTGACTATGGTACGACAAGAGGTTAGATGTAGTGCACAGGGCAACCAGATGCCATCACGCTGGCACAATTACATCCTCCTTTACACCCGCTGTTGGCTGCTTCTCAAAGTGTCATCATCATCAGTGTGTAATTTGTGTTGCTGCACACAGCCACACATGTTCTGGCCTCATCATCTGCCCTTTCATGGCAGTGTTTGTGTGTGTGTTACAGTGTGTTCAGTACAGTGTGTGTTCATTTAGCACCTTGGTTGGTTTCAAGCAGGACTTTGTAACGCCACACAGCTGCTACTAGTGCTGCGGTCCTGTTGGCCATAGTGCTTTAGAATATGAAAGAAAATGCATGTTCTCTATTAGAGAAAGGTCATAAGTCAATTATATTTACACCCTCACACAATGCTCTCTGAGTAATACATCAATCACACAGTGAGCTCATGTCTGTGCATGCACATCTTCATGTATTGAAAGCAATAATTAAACATTCCTTTGAGCTTTAATATTTAAAAAAAAGAGGTTTTGCTGGTCATTTTTCACTCACACTGTCCTTCACTGTAAGACAGTGTGAGTCCATTGTTAGAGGATGACCCAGCTCCTGTTTTTTTGCTCCTGTCACTCTAAGATGCAATACTTTCACTAACACCAAAGACAAACGTCAAGGGGGTTGTTTTTATGTTCACCTCAGTTCATCTGGCAAAACCTTTTAAGCCTGAGTCCTCTTATATTTTATATTCTTCAGTCATTCTGCCCCGCAGTTGTTGCTCCACAGGGTGCTGATGCATGTGTTCAGCTAGTCACATCAAAGCTTCTAACAGAAGAGGATGCTGTGGATATATGAACCACAACACCCATAAAACAGCTTATTGCACCTAAGGGATACAACCAGTGGTTATTTACATTGTCAGTTAATATTTTAATTTCTGTACTTATTTTTGATTAATAAATAATTTCTGCAGCTTATTAAAATGTAAGAAAAGCACTTTCCCAGAGCCCAAGTGGACATATTTGGCAATTTAGAGTCTTCAGTCAACCTAATAATCTACATGTTTTTGTATGGTGCGAAGAAGCCGCAGTAACCAGAGGAAGTACTTGCGTTAATATTTTAATATTGGTGTTAGTTATATTGAATATTACTAGAGCAGATGGTATTAATTATTTTGTTTGCTTGTGTAAAAAAGAGAGAGGAAGAGGCAGATGAAAGAGGAGATGCAGTGTGTGTGTGTCATTGCGTGTATGTGAAATTTTCAGCCTGTCGCCAACACGTCTCAGAGAGCGAACCCATCCAATGGTTAAAGTGCCAAAACATTAACATGGTTTGATCAGCAGAGATTGTGTTATAATAACGGCCACGACTCATATTTATAATATACACTGCACTTTGACCTGACTTGAGACCAACATCTGCCGAAGGGAGGGGACAAAGGATAAAGAATGATGAAGTTGTAGCCACAATAAGAGCTAAAATAATTGACTGAAGGGTCTCATGCCACCAGCTGTCTTGCTGCCATTGTCTTACCTGCCAAGCATCAGGTAATGAAAGTGATAATAATAACACAACTTTCCTGAACTGTAAAAAGTTCTGCCAGCAGGTCTATCTTTTATAGTTGACCTGTTAGCCATTCAGTCTCGCAGCTAAGTCAAGAAAAAAGTCTACTTTTGTATTTTCAGTCTACATTTACATTCTCTGTGTGTGCATAACATTTGACAGCTCCCTCTTTTATTTTACTCTGATTTTTATTTCCTGTTTCCTGTTTAAGGTTGGGGGAGCCAGAGTTCAAAGGTCCACATCCACCACAGCACCTGGCTCCACTTTCCTGGTCACAACCTGCGCTGGCTCCTCACCTTTGTCCTGCTCTTCATCCTCGTTTGTGAGGTGGCAGAGGGCATTGTCTCTGATGGGTACGTTTGACACTTACTGTTGGGACCTTGTCATGATTTCACTCGGGTTATCTTTTTAATGTCACAAAACTCCTGATGCTGATTATAGTGTGTGACGTTAATTTCTAGCAGCCATCATTCCAAAAATGTGCAGATTTACTTCTTTAGTAGTAGTGTGTAGTTGTAGCAGTAGTGTAATTATGATAAACAGACAGATAATGATCCATGCTGATAGATGTATGTGTAGGTTTTTGAGGGAGTCTGCTTCTTTGTCGTGTGACATTGATTCCTTGGAGTACTGCTGATTACTCTAATCAAATACTGTTTGACACCTGGGATGGCAGGTGAATGCAATTAACAGCAACAGTACTTCACTAACTGCTATTTATCAGCATAATATCTTAACAATTGCTCAATTATGCCCACTGGAGAATACTACCATACCTACAGTAAACTGACTCTGTGTTGCTGGGACAGATTGATCTGGTGATGCATCAACAATCCCTCTCTTCTTGCACTTTAAGGCTCTGTGGACCAAGCCAGTTTCAACCAGGAAGAGTAGATATTTTAACTTTAAAAGTGGTAAAGTTTATATTTATATAAAGCATTAGCATGGACATAGAGCTAACATGCTAAAAGAGTAGCATGCTGACCACTGGAAAGAAAGAGTTGTTGTTGTGTAGGCCCCTGTTATAATGTTACACTGATTTTCTGGCTGTGTTTACTTTTTGGTACTTCTGCACTAAAGAACTTACAGCATGCATTTTTTATTTTTATTTTAATCAAGACAAAAAGATGATAATTGACTGAAGACTTGGAGTTGATTGTTCTAAGATTATTAAATTTTTCTTGGTTAAAAGGACAAGATTAATTTTTAAAAATCTTATTGTCCAGTACAGCGGTAGATGTTTGTAGTATTAACAGAAACCCCCCACTATCAATGCTGACATGACTTGAACTGCAAATAGGATGAATCCTACAGTGTTAAAGTCTAAATCATGTCTGATCTGAATCTGAATCTCATTGTTTTTTCTGAAATGCAATAATATTAGGTACAAGGAAAAGGGAGAGGGTGGGTCATACACTAAACAGTATTTCAAAACATAGTACTATGGTTAAATGTAGGCTATTTGTAAAAGCTAGAGTTCACAGGCTCAGGCTGCCTCTGGCCAGGCTGACCCCAGCTAACATCTGGCTTTTCTGACACAGTTGCAGTAAGCCCAACAGTTGCACCACTGCCGGTTGGGTCAATACAGCCAGAGTTACCAGGAGCCAAATGTCAGTGCATGTGCTCCATTTGTCGCTACTACCAACCGAAAACAAGTCAATAAGCTGCACTGAGTTTACCTTGGATGGTTGATACTGAAGCACATGTTGCTGTAACATGCCAGTCTGGAGCCAATGCAGATTGGTGTGTTGTTGTATGGGTCAACAACAACACACTTGTCTTCAAAGCCAAAAAAAGTATCAACATGAACAAGAGAGTAGTTCACTTCTGAATAAGTGATAACGTAACATATCACATTGTTTTTACACTGTGCCTGCTGTTTCTGTGGTAGCTAAAATAGTAACTGGCATAGATTTAAAATTAGCACAGCCAAATGTCAACGCTTTGACTGAACCCTTCCAACCACACCAAATATAGTCATTAGACATGCACACCAATTAAACATGGAATGTAAAAAAACAAAAAGCTGTGCTTCACTTTCCACACTGTTTGATTCCTCTCTGTCTTCAAACTCAGCATTTCTCTCTAAACCTGTCTGCTCAGGAGTTTGTTACTGAGGTAAATGTCAATTAATGTTAGAGCTGATGTGCCAATTACAAGGTTTACGCATGAGGAAACGGAGCCACAGCTGGATGTTCCTTCTCTCTTTAAATCCCAAAACTCCTTGTTATCGGCCTCTCTCTCTCATTCTCTGCCTTTGGGCCCTCTGCGTCCTGTTGTTGTCTAAGTCCGTGCATAACAAAGTCCAGTCAAGTCAGCACTACTGTTTATCAGCCATTTCTGCAGGCTGGAGGCTGGTAAGAGCATGTGACTGTGACTGAAGTGCGTATAAGAGCTCTCTGTCCACTTCATTGAGCTTTTTACATTGATTTTAGTGCTGTTTTGAAGAGCCAGGCTGGTTGAGTATATGCCTGCCACACATAGGTGGGCATTTTTAAACAGATTTATCACTGCTACTCCCACATTTTCTGGCACAGACTCTCTGAATATTAGTAATGCATTATAATCCATATGAAAGTAATGAGTTGCATGGGGATATACTCAATGCTCCAGCCCATTAGGGATAAATTAAGAAAAATATATTGTGGTGAATAAAAACAGTGCGTAGCCACATTGGCTAGCGAGCCAAACCACACATTTCAAACCCTGATGGCCCTGGTTCTTTGCCTTTTGTCCTTGCTCTAAGCCTTTCCCTCCCCTTATCCGACATTTGATTTGATTTGATTTGATTTATTCTTTCAAGCATGTAAAACTGTTGATATGACAACACACATAATTTTACACATAATCCAATATCAATTTGCTTATACCTAGTACCTGCTTGAATGGAGTAGGAAGAAGTCAGACTTATCCAGTCCTACCCCATGACATCATCTTACCATCATTGGTTTGCAAGCAGTAAATGATTCACTTCTACCCACACACATATTATACTAAAAAAGATTATAACAGTATTAACATTCTTACATAATTACATTCTTAAATAATGATCTTCTACACCACACAAGCAATATACTAAAGAATTATTACAAAGTGTTAAAATTCATACACCACACCCACAATGTTCCATCTGGTTAATCATTGAGCCTGTTCTTGCATATATCTTGATTGACACGTACCTTTATATTTACGTTTAAACTCGTCAATTCTATTACTATTTTTTATGTCCACACTTAAATTATTCCATAGTTTTACCCCACTTATGGAAATACAAAATCTTTTTTTGGTTGTACGTATAGCATGAATTTTTAAATTTAACTGACATTCATTTGCAGGTTCAGCCAATCCCTCCATCTTCACCTGTACATGCCCGCAGGTCTGGCCTTCTTGGCTGGCATCACCTCTATCGTCTACTATCATAACATCGAGACCTCCAACTTCCCCAAACTACTATTAGGTACAGTACTTTTAAATTCAGCTCTCAAACATCCGTCATCAAGTCTTTTCCTGTAAAGGGTTGCAGTGGGAGTGTATGTGGGTTGGGGCAGGGAAGGGGGGCTGATACTGGGTGAGAGGTGGTGCACACCCCAAACATATTTCCAGGCTATCACAGGGCTGACACATTGATACAGATGACCACTCACACTCACATTCACGCCTATGGCCAGTTTAGAGTCGCCTACCATCCTGACCTTGAATGCACCAGTGTACCCTTCACTGTTGGTCAAAAAGGAGCTCAGAGCTTTTTGTAATGCCAAAATTTGATCAATTGAAAACATTAATGAATAGTGATCAGGGCTTGTAAAGTCAGGATTAATCAAACTGACCCTGGTCAAATCTTTGAATTTCTAATGTCAGAAAACAACCCCAAAAGATTCACATTGCATTAGCTCTTCAGGATGGCATAATTATAAAACAGGGCACCAGGGTCAGTATAACCATTTACAGATTAGTGGTTCATTACCTTCAGATAAGACTGTAATACCATGGAGGAAAGAGCATCTGCTGTGACTGTACCGGTGTGAGTAGATATTAATTATCGCTTTTATTTTGCCTGTGAGAATGAATCTATTACAATAAAATATCCCAAAGGTAACAATGCATCGTAGGTTTTTCTTGTGAAATAAGAAATACATTAAAATACATTTTTCATGGTCTATCTTTAAGTCAACAGTAGCTATTTATGAATCGATATCTTGCACATTCATTGAAATGCATCCATAAACTTTATTTCATATCATTATCACCCCACATCTTTGTCCATACGTTTCTATCTTGTAACACTCTAGTTCGCTCCTGTAATGATCACCCTGTTGCTACTCTTTGATCACACACAGTTTCTCTTCCTCGGCATGCATCATTAACTCATCTGTGTTCAGCTCTTCACTACTCCCATCACGCTGCTGAGTCCCCTTCAGCTTTTAAGTCTCCATATCACAGTCAGTCTCTTCAGATGGAGCGGCGCTGGGTTAATCATTACACGACCACAAATTAATCTTCAAATGTGAAACTCTCCCACTGACCTGCTGGCACTATTGTCACACTGTCGATGTTCTTTGTTACAAAGAAGTAGCTCCCTGACACTCATCTTTTATTGATGTTTACATGTTTACGCAGTTAGTCTCTCAGTATTTACTCCAATAAACCCGTTGAACTGACACGATGTGACTCTATCGAAAGATCTTCATGGAGCAAACACTGCTGATTTACCTGCTAGTTACTGGATTAAAAGTGTTGAAGACACACTGTTGTGTTGAAGCACCTTTGTTAACATCTGAGGGGAGAAGGAGAGGGAGAGTCAGTAGAAGTAGAAGAGGAAGGCACTTGTCATTACAGCTAATGTCAGTTTCAGACAAACTAATGTGATACTGGTGACAAACACAGAATTTAAACTCCAGCTCTAATATATTCTATCTGCAGTCATATTATTTAGACAGTGTCCAGTGATTTGCTGTGTCTCTCTAAATCTCCTCAGCCCTGCTGATCTACTGGGTGCTAGCCTTCATCATGAAGACTATCAAGTTTGCCAAATATACCGAGCATGGCGTTGGCCCCAGGCAGCTACGCTACTGCATCACCGGGCTGCTGGTGCTGCTGTATGGACTCCTGTTGGCTGTGGAGATCAGTGTCATCCGGGGCAGGGTGAGCATGTCTGTGTGTGTGTTGTCTCATGCGTACAGGTATGTGCAGCCATCTGACTGTTGTGTGTTTATAGCATCAGTCACCTCTCCTTCTTTTAGTTTGAAATTCAAATGGCTCCAGTGGTCAGTGGTAGTTAAGAAAAAGAGGTTATATGCATCCTTTTTAATATACATTAGTTAGCTGTTACCTCCAGGTTGTGTGTGGAGATGAACTTTTTTCTGTATGAGAGGGTCTGATTTGATTGACCATTACTGAAGCCTGTCCTGACTCATAATGCATTCCTCCCACTAATAATGTGTTCAGCCTCTCTCCCATGTTGTTGTTTTCACCTGGCTTTGATGGGCTTCGCCTGGAATGTGGCAAAAGTGATCAGCAAAAATTTGTTGGACAGACTCATATGTGGCTTCATTTGGAATTTAGATTTGTGTCTGCATCAGCACCCTATTTCAAGAAAATAGAGCCCACTAAAACTACATTACCTGAAGTGACTCAAATTGGATTTCTTTCCCTCCAAGCGACTCAGATCTGGTCTTTTCACAAATGTGTGAGCAAACCAAGGAGAGGAGAGCAATAAAAGCAACAGGGTTCAGTGGGGAGATGAGGACATTCATTTTTTGTCAGACATTTATGCAGAAGCTTTTGATCAAGCCAAACTGGAAGGAACACATCATAACAACAGTTTGGACAATTTGACCGTCGCACAAATGACAATTTAGTTGTTATTCTTGTACACATTGAGAAGATTGGACAATTTAGTTGTTATTCTTGTACACATGCAGCTCACATTTCAGTTAAAGTCAAGGGTGTTCAAAGTGAATTTGGATACATGTAACATACAAACATGAATGTGATCCATCAACCACAAAAAGATTGGAATTGATCGTTGAGGTCTGTAATGTGAATATAGCCTAAGAACTCTGGGCTGCCATCTGGTTCATATGTGGTTCAAAGATGTGCAGATGCCACTCACACAAAAGCGTGACTGGACTGAAATGTGATCAACGACATCTTTAAAACTGATTCTGAGAGACAACCGAACTTTATGCTACTCTCTTATCATGTTGCATTGTAAATGTATGGATCACATAACAAATCAATTATGGTGATGTTTCCTGATTATTCAGGTTTTGACATTTCAACAACCTTGCCCTTTTTGAAAACAAACCGGATGAAAATGTCAGACTGGTGTACGCTTTTTTCCTCTGGACAAATCAGTATGTGTTTGTCTCTGTTAACCTCTGCACCAAGCACACATCCGTTACTGAATCAGACTCTCCCGAGTGAACAGCAGAGAGACCCTGCACTCTGTCTGTTGAAGCACATGCTGTGACTATTACACTATTTGCTGGGTTGTATACACTGGATTATTGCTGTGTGTCATGATCAGTCCCAGACTTCTTGTTCTGAACTTTTATTTTGTTAAGGCTTCCTGCCTTATGTTGTTTTACCTACATCATTGTTCATTATCACCTAACTGGTTTCACCTGTGGCTCAGTGGCTGTTGGTTATTTAACCTGCTCTGTTTCCCTTCACTCAGTTGTCAGATAGTAAATTGTTCTGTGCTGTTATACTCAGCTGTTTTGGTAGCCTCCTGACTGCTTTCTGCTTTTGACAGAAAGGGAATTGTTTAATGCTTATGCATCTTATTCACCAGCCACTTCTCTCCTGCGTGTTTTCTGCTCTGCCCTTCCTCCTGTAAGAAAGGTCCACATGTCACTCGCCTGTTAAGTCTCCTGTGTTTTCTACCTACTTACTGGGTCCGCCATGTTTACCTGCAATTGTCCGCTGAAAAGACGAGCTGTGTTTTCATACGTACCTGCTCAGCTGTGTTTTCATACGTACCTGCTCAGCTGTGTGGTCTGCTATATTCTCTGCAAGCAGTCGTCTTATCTGCTTCTGTATTGTTGTTTCCAGTGTCCTGTTCCTCATTGTCTTCCTTTCGCCTGCAAAAAAAAAGTATTACTTAAATACTGTATCAAACATTTTAAGAATTAAATGCTGTATTGCCTTTTTTCATTTGTAATCTTTACAATTGTTCAATCATATCACAGCATACGACATGAATGTACAAAATATAATTTAAAATTCTTATTTGGCCCATTTACACACATTATGGAACAAAATGATGAGACCACAAATGTGATTACAGATACTCCAGTTGGAATGTCATACCTATCTGCCAGCCTCTAACCTAGTTTCCATAAAGCTTGATGTGAAATCTTTCTGTTTCTCTAGTTTGTCATCATATAATACACTGTACCACATTTATTTGTTCTATTCTGTTGACCTTTATTAATGTAAAAGCTCCCAGCAGCAGCTGTGAAAGTAGAACATCCATTTGAAACATTAAGCTTTGCCAGGATTGAGCAATTGCCATGGTGATGTTAGACAACTTGGAATTAATGCACAATGGAGACCATTTCTCTTTGCGCTGCTATGATTAAACCCACGACTTCGGAGTGTTCAACTGGTATATCCACTGTATTGTAGCTTATTTATGTAGTATGGACAAAATTATAGTCTTATCTCTGTAGAAGTCACGATTGTGTCTTTCAGTGCCTAATCAGTGGTATGTTTTTATAGTGGTTTATTTTCAGGCCACTACAGATCAGACACAGGGTCCAACACTTGTGTTTCTCTCACAGCGCTACGTGTGTTTCGCCGACCCAAGAGAGGTGAAGCCTCCCGAGGACCTTCAGGACCTGGGTGTCCGTTTCCTGCAGCCCTTCGTTAACCTGTTGTCCAAAGCCACCTACTGGTGGATGAACACCTTCATTACTTCTGCCCACAGACGGCCCATCGACCTCAAGGTCATCGGCAAACTGCCCATCGCCATGAGAGCCCTCACAAACTATAAAAAACTGCGCAAGGCATTTGAAGACCAGAAGGTTAGTGCACTGACAGTTTACTGTTGATGGTCTTTGTGAAATTTTATGTGAAAAGTATGAGTGCTTGAGTCGACTTAGCCCATAGACCAGGGTGACACACTGCACACACCAAACATTATTTAGACAAATAATGAATTTATTTCATGAGTGTGCATTTTCACTATGTGCTTTTGCAGAGAAACTGGTGGACTGTTCTGTTTAATATCAATGAAACCTTGTCATCATTTGTTAGACTGCTGTTTGTTTGACTGCTGATCTTTGTTTCTGTGAGTGAAATTGACAAAATAATAGACAGCTTTCAGAAGAGGTGGATCAGTCGGTTAGCACTCCATGCAAACCTCCACGTGTCTGAGAAAGACATTGAAACAAATTGCTCCTGATGCGTTTATGGGAGAAAAAATGTAAATGAAGGACCTTATTTTGAAATGTGAAAGCTAGCATTTTGAGAAATCAAACACCAGTTTTCAGTGCAGCTCTTTCAATGTATTGTTGTACCCGGTACTTTTTACCATGCTAACTCTGAGAGACGAGACAGTCCAAGTAACTACAAAACAGTGCTGATTTATTCTATGAACACAGGTAAAAATTAACATTACATGCTCAGGTATCTTGCACCTCCAAACTGCTCGCAGGCAGATGTTAGATGAAAGACCCTGAACCCACCAGGCCTATACATTATATCCCTTCGGTTGGGCTAGCCCCATACTACACAGAAACGTCAACCTAGACGTCTCTGTTGCCAGCTTTGCAGCTGGTCATAGCAGTAGTCAAAACATGAAGTAAATCAATGTGTGTGTCTGTTGGTTAAGTGGTGTGTAACTAAAAACATTCTCACGACCTCTAGTACATGTCGTGACTTAAACATGAGAACATATTATGGCTAAGGCTACAGTTATACACGTCATAATAATAATATTAAACACCCTGTCTGCTGACAGTCATCAACTTTTCTCTAGTTATCCTTGACCAGATGTACCCTGTAGAAACTCATAAGCATGACTAAGCATTTAACAGTCTAACTAGACATCCTATCTCCACTAAACATTTCTAATACATAAAGTATCTATCCAATTTCTATCTGACTAAAAATACCTAACAGTATACCACAGAAAATGGATGGAAAGTGAGAAATGAAGTTGATTTTTCTAATTATTATGAAAATGTTTGGTTGTGAATTGAAACGTCTGTTGTGTCCCTTGTCCGCCCTCCGTGTGGGGGTCACTGCTCTGTTCTTCCAGTCTTATTAATGCAGATCAAACTGCTGATGTTTCCCGGTTCGCATGATTTCTTCTTTCTCTCCTCTGTCCTCTTTTTGCCTGGCTCTCCGGCTGACTTGCGGAGCACGTGTCAGGGTTCGGAGGTGAAGGGCAACCTCTACAGGGTCATAGTTTTCCAGTGTTTGGAAGGTCACAGAAATTCGTCACTGCTGCGTGTGTGTCCGGTGTGAACGCAACCCCATTTCCTTAAGGAGCGAGGAATGAGAGGATCCCAGGAGAGAGACTTGGAGGGGGGAGGGGCACTTAGAGGAGAGCATGGAGGCGCTTGGTCATTCCCATTGAATGAGGTGACATCCCGACCCCTGTGGGGGTGAACGCGCTACACGTCATGGGAAGTTAGTTTTGCTCCGTGTGTGTGAGAATGAAACGTCCCCCTTCCTTGTAGTTTGACCTGAAGGTAGAAAGAAAGGATATGTGTGTTTGTGTGTGTTTGTGTATGACGCGCACAGTAGCATAGTTCATATGAAGGCTGAGGTTCAGTTTGATGCATGCTAACAGTCACGTCTGTTCTCTTAGTTCTGAGAATGACTTAGTCATGTTCACCAAGACACACGCACACACACACACACACACACACACAGTGTTTACTTCACTGTATCAGTCTGTTTACCTCTGATCAGTGAGGTCTCACAGGACAAGGCAACAAACTTGCTGAACCAATCTGCTGCGTTGTCTGTGAAGTTAATATATTCCAGACATTATTCATGAATGTAACAAAAATCAGCTTTTCTCTCCGTCTGGGAAATCTCTTCAGCTCTTAGTCATTTGAGCCGGTTTTCTCTTTTTGTTCAGTCCTCGTTCTCTGTCATGGTTTTCCAGCATCACTGAACCAGTGGAAAACCAGCATCACTGGTTCCAGAGCAGTTATACATGGTGGACTGAGCATCACTGTGAAACTCGCTGTTAATCCCCACATGATACAGCAACAGGAGGGGTCATGGAAAACCCTGAACTTTGCCTCATTTGGCAGGTTTCTGTTTTAGTGGTGGACCGACTCTGAAGTTAATGGTGTTGTTTCTGCTTCTTTGTTCAAACAATGACTTCTGACTGTGATAGCAGGCTGGTGATTTCTAGCCTACAGTACAATAGATTCCTTTTCTTTTGTTGTGCTGCCAGTTGAACTGCGGAGAGAATTGACTATGCATAATTTTCTCTGCAAAGAAGTAACCATCCAATTTACTCCCATCTTAAACACCAACTCTCTTCATTATACACTAATGAAACAATATGTCACAGATAAATGATGATTTATATTTTTAATTTTGACTTTATTTAGTCACTGTAGATTAGCTGTAATCATCAAATGACATTCAGCAGCCTAATGTGTCTCCTCAGTGTTGTCTCTCAGCATGCTGACATTGCTCCTGCCCTGTCCCTCTTTTTTATTCTCCCTTCAGAGCCCCCAGGGCACAGCACCCCAGGGTCCAAAGTGGATCTGGCAGGCCCTGAAGAAAGCCTTTGGCAGACCTCTAATTCTCAGCATCACATTCCGCTTCCTGGCTGACCTGCTGGGCTTTGCCGGTCCTCTCTGCATCTCTGGCATCGTCGACCACGTCAGCAAGGGCAATCGCACCATTCAGCCACCGGTGAGTGTGACAGCCATGCACACAGTAGGATATCATCACAGAGGGAACAAAGCTTGGTTGCTAATGTGGCTGCTGAATGTGTTATTCAGAATATTTTTGTTTGTTTGTTTCTGAGAATATCCAAAGGATGTTTGTAACAGTAATGCACCTGATTTGTTAAAGAAGGCCAAGTGACAGGTTCTTAAACTTAGGAGAACGCTGTTCAGTACAGTCAGGGTTGAGTTTAGAATTTTTTATAACATTTGCAAAAGAGATTGACAAGTGAATTAACAGCAAGGCAGAGAAAGAATGGTTTTGAGAGGAAAGGTGAAGTGTAGATTTTTGTTCTGTGTGTTGCCATATCTCACTGAATTTAAGGGCCTTACAAATTAATGATGAAGGCATATGTTTTTGGTTGTAGGAAAATGTAAATTTATGTAAATCCAAAAATGATATTGTCATTACTAAATAAGCTGTACTAAAAGTAAAGTTTGGTAACAAAGGCATCCTTAGTATATTGCATGTTAAGAGTGTGACACTCAAAAGTGAGTCTGCTTTATCAGGACTGACTGTGTGGTTTGATCTCGTTTAACTGTTGGTGCTGGCAACATAAACAACCACCCACTTCTAAGCAATGAGAAGAACACGGACAGAATTGATCATGTAAAACAACCAATAACAAAAATTGTGTTTTCATGCAGGAGCCCATTATTCAACATAAGCAGCTCACTGAGGAATTATTTTATTTTCACTGTGACTTGGTTCAGCCTTAACAATGGCAGTAGTGTCCTTTGATAGTGTGTGTCCGGACCACACTGAGATTATTGATCTGTTTTCACCACAGATTTCACATAGAAGCTGCAGAGAGGGGACCTCACCTGTCAGTGTTAGTGTAGCTGCAACAGCCAGTGTTATTTCTTACCTACCGGTCTTATTACCACCAGTTTTATTTATGAGCCAGTGACGTCCTTTGGTTGCAGAAGGAAACGTGACATGTTGACAAAACTAGTGGTTGGAACAGAGCTTCTACAGGAGATTTAACTGTCACATAACTAGCTTTGTGTTGCTGATAGAAATACACAGAGAACTGCGACAAGAATTCAGAGCAGCTTCAGCATACATGACAGAAGGAGCACATGGCTTCCTCCTGCCCCTTAAAGGTTACAGTTACAGTTTGATTATTAGAGCCCAGATGGAGCCTCATTAAATATTAAACAGAGTTATTACTGCTGGATCTGTCTCAGTTTCTTAGACTCCAAGCAGGGCAGACTGCCACATCAGACGCCCACTCAGGAAACCTCTAAGAGTTATTCTTTGGTTATTTGTTTGTAAGTAATCTATGCAGTGCAGTGGAATATCTAGAGTTAATTTCAAAGTGGTAAAATATGAAGCACTCAGTAAATGCTTAGTTTATAATGTGTAATTTCAGCTGCTGACTTTGTAGCAGGATACAGTTTGAGTTTACAGAGAGGGAAGAAATACATGCTTTGGAGGGTAGAATGAGACAATATATAAGAAAATTCAAGGATGAGTTGAGGTGGAGGCACATTTCTAATCAATAATTTGTAATCCCTCCAGGATTTCTCCCTGATGCAGAATTAATGAATCTTTGTGAGAGATACAGTGTCCATCTCCTATAGGTTTTTAGCTCACACACCACCTATCAGCTGTGAGATTCATCCTGGGGGCTCCTCTTCAGTTGACTGAGTTTCACACACAGTTTTGTAGCCTGCTGTGAAATGGAAGTGACACATTTGGAATGAACATTTGAAGTGATGAACAGGAACAGTTTTACTTTGAAAAAAACAACAATGCATTAATAATAGAAATTCTCCTAGTAAAGTTCAGTCCTGCAGAGCTCAGCATGTGTGACTGAGCTTGGTCCTGCCTGACTTGCATTGTTAAATCCATCTCTCTCCCTGTGTGTCTGTGCTTCCAGATGAGGTTGCTCGGTATTGATTTCATTTCATCCAAGGAGTTCCTGGAGAATGCATATGTGCTGGCCGTGCTGCTCTTCCTGGCCCTGCTCCTGCAGAGGACCTTCCTCCAGGCCTCCTACTATGTGGCCATTGAAACAGGCATCGGCCTGCGTGGGGCATTACAGGTGCCGTGTTATAGAAATTTTAGCTAAAACAGTTAATAACAGTCAGTGAGTTAACTAAGGGTCAACCTTTTGATCTGATTGTGCTTCTCCTCTCCCCAGACAAAAATCTACAACAAGATCATGCGTCTGTGCACCTCAAACATGTCCATGGGAGAGCTCACCGTTGCTCAGATCTGCAACCTGGTTGCCATAGATACCAACCAGCTCACATGGTTCTTCTTCCTCCTTCCTAACCTGTGGGCCATGCCCATTCAAGTAAGAGCCACGTTTGTGTGATCTGAATACTCTTACTGCTGTTCCTGTAAGTAGTGAGGTGTTAAGCCAGAGTTGTTAGTTGATGGACTAATGGGAGTCCTGCTGTAGAGACCTACAGTACGACAGCACTGGATTTATAGTTCAGTCAGAGCAGCATTGCGACTTTAGATGAATGTATCGGACATGACCGCGCAGTATAATCATAGTAAATTAGCCACTCTAACTTTACATTCTTTCATTTATTCTGTGATACTGAGCAAAGGCACTTACCGTTCCAATATAATTGGAGTTACATCAAAGTAACTTCTATTTTTTTTTCTTTTCATTAGAAAACTACTTTGTTACTGGGGTTGGTTGCCGCAACTCGGTTTGCTACTCAGCATTGTTACAAATAACGATCTCCCTTGGCATCAGAACCTTTCTGGAGAAAACACAAGCAGTCCATATTGACAAATCACAATATGATGGGTTCCCATATCTCTGTAACTTGCAGTTACTTTTTTGAGGAAGTGCATGTCAGCTACAGTGGCTACGTTTATAGGCTCGGTAGCTATACTGTAATTCCTTCAGGCACAACTTTTTAGCTCCACACAGTGCAGTGCATGGTAGAACTTGGTGTTAAGAACAAGTTGCGCCCTGGTCTTTCATTTTACTCAGTTTTGTTGCATTATTCTATCTTCTGTTCAACTAAGGTGTTTGTTCTACTGCCTATTTTTTTGCCCTGGGTTGTTGTGTGCTGTGTTGCTCTGTGTGCCATCTTCATTGTTATGTATCCTGCTGTGCAGTGTGTTAGTCATTTCCCATCAGACTCTCAGTATGAGGCAAAGCCATCTCTAGCATCATGTGGGAAATAAAAGAGAAATGTGAAGACTGAGAACTGAGCAGCAGGTGTTACAGTAAGAAGATATTTAACTGCAAATGTGTGCGGTCAGTTTGGATTCTTAGTAATACTGTTGTGACACCCAGTGTTGTATAATCAGTGTGATAGTTCATATACTGTACCATTAAGTCCCCAGAGTTGAAATGGAGATGATTTAGAGATGGCATCACAGTCACATGGTAAAATGCTATGGTGCTGATGAAACGCAAACATTGTAAAACTTGCACTAAGCTTTGTGAGTGTGCTAATGCTTTACCAAGGTACCATTACAGTGCCTCTCCTGTTTTTGGGCTGATGTGTCTTCTGACTTATGGGCCTCTGTTGGCACCGCATATTGTGTGTAAGGAAAAGTCTTCTCTTATCTCTTCATGGCAGGAAGCCTTGTCCCAGGCTTTGTGTTGCATGAAAAAGCTCAATGCACATTACAATGAACCTCAGGGCCCAAAACACACCCTGCATTGTGTTTTTAACACAAAATTGCACATACAGTACTGTCTCCTTGGTAAATTTTCCTTATGGAGGTATCATTTCTGCAGACAGTTTAAAAGCAACAGGTAACAGCTGCAGTATTTTGATGCTCCTACACTTTATATAACAGCAAATCAAAAGTTATTTATCTTCACCAATAAACAATGAAGTTACTGATGCAAACTGTCAGCAAAAACACCAGTGTTCCATCTGTGGATGACAGGATGACCACAGCTGGTCAGAAACAGCCTCCCTCACATCCTTCGGTGGCAGTACAGTATTAGCCAGCTGATCCCTCTGCGGCCTGAGCTGCATTAATATTCTCCATCTGCACCTACCTGTCTGCAGTGAACTGTCAATAAATCCATTGTGCTCAATATTAATGAAACTTGTTACTGGGCTTTTGAAATTCATCAGTGAACCAAGATGGGTCAATGGTTTCCTTTTATCTTTGCTGTAGTTTCTAATTATCTTTGATGTTTGTGGAGGTTAGCCTTATTTGTCACCTTACCCCAGTTACACTAGTTGTTTGCAAAATCATCTATACTGTTTCTTGCTACCCTTTTAGCAGACATTGTGTTCAGTGCAAATATTTTGACTTCTATTAGTAGGAAAAGCTGAAAACAAATTTCGTTAATCATAGCTCCATTTATGAACTGTCCCAGTAACCCTTGCCAATAACTGAGCATACACAACAGAGGAGCTGGTTCACCTAAATGAAATGCAGTCATTTTTAATGTTATTAATGATGAGCATGTTAGCATGACAGTGCTAGCATTTACCACCAGGACAACCTCCCAAAAAGATAGTGGCAGATTAAATATGTTCTTGAGTTGCTGAGGGAAATACTGCAGTGAGGAATTCATCTGGCAAAGTAGAAACAGCTGGTAGTTCTGTGTGTAATGGAGGGTAAAGCTTTTTCACATGTGGTGACTTCCACAACTGTATGTTACTGTTGCTATGCCAAACACAAAGGGAGAAAATTATAGCCTGCTTTTCTTTTACTCATCATCCATCTTGGCTAGAGTGACACCCGATATGCTGTGACAGATGAAGGAGTGGCTTTGTGTCTGAATGTCACATCCATCTCCATCTGGTTCTGTGTGTCCTGGGGATTTCTGAATCTGGCATGTGATCCCCAGGATGGTGGGCGGCTGGACTGAGTCCAAGGACAGGTGGAAACATGAGTGATCTGTCATAGAACTGGTAGAGAGAGTTACCGTGTGTGACTATACTGAACAACATGGGCAGTGGAGGTTGAAGAGAGCTTCCTTTTTTTTTTTTTTAGCTGAAGTTTAATCATTTTTAATTTAACATTTCACTTACTCACCAATGTTGGAGTAAAGAAGAACCTTATACAACTATGTTGCTTTGCTTGCTTGTAAGCATGTGTGTATGAATGTAAGTGTATACGTACATCTACTTAACAGTGTTGTAGTTGAGTCACCAAAGAATAGTCCGAGTCAAGTCCCCATTACTTGAGTCCGAGTCATTAAGGTCTACACACAACTGACACAGTTGTCACCATATTGCTCAGCAGTTCAATGCATAAAAATGATTTATAAAAAGGCAGAGTGTACGATTTGACGGAAGTGTGCCAGATACAATGTAGTGCAGGTTAATAGATTTTAATATCAATATCTTAGTCCAAATTAATATGGTCTATTACAAAAAAAGAAAAAGCCAGGGTACTCCTCTCCAACTTCTGAGTCCGAATGCAGTCGATGCTCGAATCACGAGTCTAGTCACAAATCCTGAAAATCAGGACTTGAGACCAACTTAAATCCGAGTCCTGGACTCGAGAACTACAATGCTGCCAGTTAAATAATAATGTCCGTTGAAAGGCAGCCGTCATTCTCTCAACATTTGCATCTCTATGCTGATGTTCTCATTGTGCACAAGGTCTCTGCTTTTCACAAAGCGGCACACTGATAATACAGTTCACAGACAGCCCTTGGAGAGTGCTGCATATAGCTGAAGGCTGCCTCTTTTAAAATCTTGTCTTACTCTGTTTTCTCTGGAAAAGCTGAATATCCTTTCCTTTCTTCCTGTGTGTGTATCTTCTGATGTCAGATCATCATGGGAGTGATCCTGCTCTACTACCTCTTGGGAATCAGTGCCTTGATTGGGGCAACCGTCATCGCTGTGTTGGCTCCTGTACAGTACTTTGTGGCCACCAAGCTGTCCCAAACACAAAAGAGCACTCTGGTGAGTATGGCCGCAGGCTATATCATAGCATCTATGATTTCCCCAGAGGATGAAGGCTTCTGACTCTGGCGATCTACTTACCTTTCCTGTAGCACCACCATGAGGTACAGTGTGAAGTTTCTTTTAGATGAAATACCAGCCAATTTACCAGAGCATGGTCTTTGTGAACCTTGGTGATCCCAGGGATTTTTATTTAGTGTTTTCACTAGTTCAAAATTTTAGTTTCTTCAATATGCCTGGTTTCCTTTGCATTGAACATTACAGGCACTACAGAGGAACTGGCTATTGAGAAGATAGAGGATAGTTTTTACTGGTCACAGTTTAACTGGTTGCCATTAATCTACCACTTGGAAACAATAAAATGTAAACAGTGTTGTTGGAGTGTGTGGGCTCTGAGCTGGCTATGTTTCAAGGGGATCATGCAGAACTTTGCAAACTGCATTGGTCAATATTGGTTTGTCCACATCGTAACAGGTAATGAAGTGGATGTAATGATGGTGCTGACTCATGATGTCACATGCGGCTCTATATCTCACACGCACTCTTATCGTTTCCTTGGGGATCAAGGACTTTGATTCATCCAGATAAATTAAAATAACACCGTTTTCAATCACGCCAGATGAGCTCTTTCATGTCAAGGATTTCTTCTGCTTCTAACTGCTATAAAGCTACTACTCAGTAACAGCACTGCCATGTAATGATGCTCGTTCCTCCGGCCATGATACTGCGGAGTGTGATTTCATACTAGAGAAAAACACTTTGCGTTAATGGCCTTGGTGTTTGTGTTGGCAAGTGAACCCAGATAGTAGAGGTGATTTATGCTTGTGTTGTCCTCTGGCTGCACTTTTTAATAGTATGTCTGTCCTTCCTGTGCCAGATTAGAGTTGTGTAATCATGGTCTCGCTCTCTTCTTTCAGGAGTACTCTAGTGAACGTCTGAAGAAGACCAATGAGCTGCTGCGGGGCATCAAGCTGCTGAAGCTGTACGCATGGGAGCACATCTTCTGTGACAGCGTGGAGGAGACCAGGGGCAAAGAGCTCACCAGCCTCCAGGCCTTTGCGCTTTACACATCCATATCCAGTAAGGCCCTTTGTTTCTTCTGCACATGCTGAACTTGGCACAGTTGAGCTTGATGTATTAGTGCAAAAAACAGCATGTTTTTCTTCAGAAAATGTATTTGCAGGAAGTGACAAATCATAATTTCATTTACTTCCCATTCACCAAAAGTAATATACCATTGTGGTATATTACCCTGGTGACTCACTACTTGGATTCCTGTCCTGCTTATCTTCTTCCCTACTCTCAGATGAACCGTGGCTACAGTCTACATGGCTCCACTCCTTTAACAGACTATGTCCAAATCAAAGATCAATAATTGCTGATTTAAGAAGAGCAAGCAATCATAATTTTCTCCTGGACAATTTCATGACTTGATTTACAGATAGAGGAAATATACTGCTCAAAAAAATAAAGGGAACACAAAAATAAGACATTCAACTTTTTGTGTTCCCTTTATTTTTTTGAGCAGTGTATTTCAGTATTACTCCTTGGCCTACACATCTTGTGCAAAGAAGTTTGCTTAGCATTTACTTTTTGTAATGTATTTAATGACTCGATTTACAACCTTGTTTTTAACTTGACATCCTTGCAGTTTTTAGGTAATATGTAATTGAAAAATTGAGCGTGACAGTTTGAGGAACATCATGGTGCTGCATATGGCTGCCTTGGTAGTGGTATGTGTTTGTTGTTTTTGCCTCATTTTCTCTGTCTCTTGCAACCTGTCCCAGATTATCTTCACCGGAGAAGAGCTACTAAACATCAGATGGCTCACTCTGAGCACCTTTTCTCCAATTTTTGATAATGCAAAAAGCTGTGCAGACATTCTGCTTGGAAGGGCAGCAGCCCTCTATGGGACTTGGAGGAAACACCAGCAAGGGAAGAGAGAGGGGGCCCTGGTTAAGTTACGACAAAGGGGGACCTTGTCTTGTTCAATTGTTTACTTGTTGCCTTACGGACGAGCATTGTACACACATGCACTGAGAGCCACTGTACCAGAGTCAAATTCCTCATGTGTCCAACACGACCTGGACAATAAAGCTGATTCTAAGAAAGTAGTGGGCATTAGGGGTGGCTGTGGCTCAGGAGTTGGAGTGAGTCAGGCCCTAATTGTAGGGTTGGCAGTTCAATTCTAGTTACAGTGATATCAGTGGTGTGTGGGTGATTGGCCTAATAGTGTAAAGTGCCTTGAGTGTGCTTCCTTGCATAGAAAAGTCCTATATACTGTAAATATAAGATCATAGGCCATTTGCCATAAAAAAGGGTATGACGAGCAACGAAAGTTCTTACAAGACTCAAACACAGGATGATACAGTATCTTGTATGTACTTGCAGACTGCTGCTCAACAGCACACCCCAGTCAAGTACTTTTAAATCTGTTTGACTAGTTTTGTTAAGGTTCTATGAAACCAAAACGATGCTGAATTTTCTCATCCTACACATAACCAAATAATTGTTGAGTGAAACTAAAGAGAAGTTGTAACAGAGTATCTGTGAGTTTACACTGATGCACTACTAATTCCTTTATGAGAATGCATAGTGGCAGCAGAAGAATGTTCAAAAATAGTTCACGTTCACTCTGTAAAGTCACAGACTAAGCCTTCACAGCCTCCTATGTGTTTCTTTTTCTGCTTTCAGTTTTCATGAATGCAGCTATTCCCATCGCAGCTGTGTTGACGGTGAGTGTCAGTTCCAGTGCTACCAGTATCACTTTCATGTAAAAGGTTGTGTCCTCTGCCATGGAGTCGGCCTCTTGTGTTGTCTAGTTAGAGCCCATAACCATTGAGTGGCTGCATCCTGTGTGAAGGACAGAGCGAAGACAGTGCCAGGGAGTCTGGCTGTGAGATGTCCAGTGACATTTCACAGTGACACAGTGGAGCACACCCTGATGGCAGCACACCAAGTCCTGCCTGTATTTATAGATGTCATCCATGGTTGTTGACTGGAGTGGTGACAAATTAGAAAAGTCAGATGACGATATCAATGAGAGGGATGACTGTAAAGGACAAATGTAAACAACACTTGAGTTTAACTGTAGTTGATTTTATCTTTGATGGGGTTTAACTGGCCATGAGTGACAATTACAGGTTTAGGGCTCTAACTCCATGCAGACTAACCTTAGATATTTTGTCCTCCTTGTTGTCCTGCAGACGTTTGTGGTTCATGTTCACATCTCAGAGGATGGTGATCTGTCCCCAGCTGTGGCCTTTGCCTCCTTGTCCCTCTTTCACATCCTGGTCACGCCCCTCTTCTTGCTCTCCAGCGTGGTGCGCTCCACTGTCAAGGCTCTTGTTAGGTGAGAAACTAAAAAGTATTTTGGCAGTGAGTCTGATTTATCACCTCCATGCCAACAAAGACCACGGCTTCACAATCTACATATAGATAAACTGAGAAAACACTGATTGTTGTTTCTGAATGTTTATTGGTTTTGAAGTTGGGGATTTGAGCTGAAACAACAGAATCACTATTGAGAATGAGCAGAGTAGTAAAAAGCAACAAGATTAAAGGAAACGCTTGACCTTTTCCTGCAGCAGACAGATCAGTGGCCTTATTAGATCAGCCTTAGTTCATGTAAAGTGTCTCATTTCTCAGTCCTTTTAGCACACTGGTCTCTGACACTGAAATATTGTGCCTATTTATTTCAGAAATTAGCTTTACAATTAGTTTGACAATCAAGAATGTTGTGGTTAGGATGCTGCAGGACACAAGCTGATGCAGGCATTCTGTTTAGATTTTTGTAGATCTATGCAGGGATACAATTTATCAACCCTTTTTTAAAACTTGCATGCTTTTGGGTCATGCATCTTTTTATATTGCATGCATTTAAGAAAACAAATACAATAACTTAAACAAATCAGGAGCACTTTAGCATTAGGGCTGTGCAGTGTAGGGTACGTGAATTTTCAACAGAAAAACATGAGCAAAACATTACCAGGGTTCATCTGAGCTACAAAACAATATGTTTTCTCTCTTTCAATGAATGAGGAAAACCAAAAGCATCAACGTGTTGCTGTTCTGTAAATCACTCACTCACTGCTTTACGTGAAGTGTAATTATTCACGCCTTCTCGATACATGATCCTTACACTCTGGTCATTAGTAAAGTCAAGTGTGAGTGAATTTACTGCCTGACAACCACTTGCGAGATTGTAACAGTCTTCTATGAATGTCTCATAAAATCAGTGAAGCAGAGCTCTGTTCTTTCGCACTGTACAAGCAACGAGGCCATGCCAGTTTCAGTCCCATCGTCTCTGGCTATATGTTGTCAGAAAAGCTTCACCGGGCAGAGCTGTGACTGGCAGAGGGTGATGAAACTGGCTGCTGCTTGATTGCTTTAAAACTGCACATTACACATTTCCTATAGGGGCTTTGAGAAGGCCATCGCTCACCACTGTGCCGCATGTGTTTTTACTAGGGTGGTTGCTCTTTCTTGAATCTTGGTGCTGCCTGTGTGCCTTTTAAGATGTTTATTTTGGGATTGTGCGATCTGAAACACTTGCTGTGACACCAGGAAAAAAACATACATTGTGGATTCAGCACCTCAGCTTGTTTTTTCATGTCACTCTGCAGCTGTGAATCTGTTTGTTTCCACAGCTCTACTATCAGGAAGAGCATGAATGCATGGACCATTCAGTGAAAAGCATATGTAAAAGGAGTAAAACCTGTGGTCGTGAGGACAAATTAGACAGAAATTTTTAGACAAATCAAACAGACTCCCCACTCTAGGTGTGATATCATCACTATAGCTGCTGAATGTTTCTCTTCATAATGACCAATGAACAGTATTTTTCAAATTTCAACCATTTTAACAAAGATGCAAACGATGAATGAATCTCAGATCCTTACACTTGCCCCTTTTTCCTGCTTCCAACAGCTTCAAGGGCTGAATGTTCACTTGCTGCATGATATACCCCACACACTGACAGGTGCCATTGTAAAGAGATGATCAGTGTTGTTCACTTCACCTGTCACTGGTCATAATGTTATGGCTAATTGGTGTAAATGAATGAAATAAAGCAGGTTTCAGCTGAATGGACCCCAGATATGTTATTTAGCACAGATATAGTAGTGAGAGTTGAATGGAGGGCTCTGCTCTTATTGAGAAAGTTTCTCCTTTGTTTGATTTTTATTTCTCCATTTCTTGCTTTTGTGTTGACTGCAGTGTTCAGAAGCTCAGTGAGTTTTTCTCTAGTGATGAAATTGGAGAAGAACAGGAACCCAGAGCGACCTTAACCTCTGGCTCCAGCAATCACAACCAAAATAAATACCAGGCTGTGGTAAGTACATGTATGTATGCACACACGCACACACACACATTGTTTTGGATGTATTCAGTATTGGCAACATGGAGGACACAATTTGCTTCTCACTAACTCTCCTTCTGGTGCATCCATGATGTTGCTGTGAATGTTGCTGCCTTCCTCCACCTCACTGTCCTCCTGTTAATATCACCATTACTCCTTTGTCCTTTGTGCTGAATGTTATGCAACCCTCTTCTAGTCATCCTCTAAACCTCTCCCCTCGTCGTCCTCCTGCTTTTTGCCCCTGCACCACCAGCCCTTGAAGGTGGTGAACCGGAAGCACCCCCAGAGGGAAGAATGGAACAACTACAGCTCTGAGGGAAGCCATGAGGATGATAGATCCTCCCAGGACATAGACCAGGACATTTGCATCAAGGTGAGAGAGAGAAAAGAGAAAGCCAGTAGGCAAATGTGTGAAAAACGTATAACAGCCAGTGCGTCCTCTCCTAAACTGCAAACTGGCCCAGTTTTGTCACACAGTGAATTGCCAGATTTTGTGTCTCCTAAATCATCATGACATCATACACATATCATCATGAAATGTATAGAAATGATCTGTCCAGCTCTACATTTCCAGTTTTGAAATGTTTACTGACTCATCTGTTGATTTAATTCTCTGTGCATCATTCACCGTATCTTGGATGGAAGTGAAGAGCATCAGATACCCCCCCTTATTGCCTCACAGAAGCTCCATCATTTCTAGGTGTCAACATGTTTACTGTTTAGGAGGGAGTTAATCTCTGACGTGTCATGTTTTCAGATAACCAGCGGTTACTTCACCTGGACCGATGGACCTCCAACGCTTTCTAATGTGGACATCAAGATTCCTTTTGGTGAGCATCAGACAGTCGCAGCCGCAGCCTCCACGCCTTCTTGTTCGTGTGCTTAATTTGTTTCTCTGTCCTGTGTTCACCTGCTGTTTTATTGCCTCCTTTCCTTATCATCTCTCCCAGGTAAGCTGACTATGATTGTGGGCCAAGTGGGTTGTGGAAAATCATCTCTGTTGCTGGCAGCACTGGGTGAGATGCAGAGAGTATCAGGAACTGTCACCTGGAACAGGTTTGTTACCAGTTCACTGATTATTCGCCAGTGTTTTTGGTCTGTGCCACTCAAATCTAAGGCTTCAGCTAAAATGGTTTCATCACTTTTTGTAATTGAATGATTAAGTTTGCTGTTGCCACATCTGGCCTCATTTTATATGGTTGGAACAAGAGGCTCCTTTCATGCACCACTGACCCAGATGCAGATGGGGAAATATCCCATAGGCCTGCTGTGGCTGCAGGCTGGACCCCTCCTTCAGGCTACACCTACTGTAGTTATGCTCTGCCAACACTTGAGTTCAGAATATTTTATCATGGATACCTGTGTAAAGAATGAACCTCAATGCTCGGGTGTAATTTCCTGTATTTCACAATAAACTGGCAAAACAATCTGTCATCTTATGATGCCTCAGATCTATTAGGTGACTGCCTTGGGGAGGCCTGCCACCTGGTTGGAAACCCCTGCACTAAATGTAATGTAATGTCTTTGTAGTACTTTCCACTGTAGAGAATCTCACTGCACTGTTATATTTCTGTGCATTTCAACATAGCTCAGAGCTTTGTTTGGGTGGTTTAATACATTTGGTGACATTTTACTTTTTTAGGTTTTACAGTATGTTGGATTAGTGATCTAACTGTCCAGTCCACTGAGGAGTCGAACAGCAGAATAACAAATCACTTTTAGAAGCGTCTGGACACTGACAGAGACCTAAACCTGGAGAATGTAGATGATCAGTTACAAGTAAACTCAGTGTATCTGGAAACGACACAGCTGAAACTGAGCCTTCATGTGTTTTCTTTGAGTCATTAGTGTGCATCTGAATATCTCATCACCTACAGAGGATAGTGCTCCTATCACTCGGTTTGTCAACAAAGTTTGACCCCCCCCGACTTGTTTGTCACCATGGCAACCTCACACTGATACTAGAGTTACACTGGCGGTCCGTCTGACATTAGGTTGTACACATCAGCAGGCATTAAACACTCTCATTTGCCTTGTAAGGGACTAAGGAGCTGTCATTTAGACTTTGGTCCTCTGAAGTATTTGGACACACATTCAGAGGAGTGTGTTATTGTTGTGCTGCTTTTCAGTCTGGGACATTTATAGCCATAGTACACACAGGTGCCCAGGTGCATCTGGGATGGGAAGGATCTGATTTTGAGGACTGTCCACAAACAAATTGTGTAGTGTATGTGATAAATTCAGCACAGAATGGAAAATAGCAGAATCAAGTCCCTGAGATAAGGAATATACACAAAGCAAAACACAATGGAGGATAAATGTGTGTAGCTGGAAGAAGTAAACAGCATGAGTGATCAGGAGATTGAGCGTGTCAGATTTATGACAACAGCCTGGTTAACAATGACTGGTGAGCCAGCTGTAACTGATTACCTGTTTGTGCTCTGTATTTATCATGATTACTGGACCAGACATGCTCCTCCTGGTTTAGTAGCTGTTCTCAAGCTTTCAGTGATTTCAAATTATCTCCTGCAGCAAACAGCATAGCTGTGTTTATATTGCATTTCCATTTATATGAACACTTTATCAATTCTTGTCCACACTGGCTTAAATTTCATTTCTTTTTTTATCCAGCTACATTCACTGATTAGATTTTGATCACATCTTTGTGGGTCAAATTGTAGGTTAAGGGGCAGAGATGACTATTTCACAAATCATTTCCACTGGTGGGACCCCTCACCCACCTGCTCCCTCTGGCTCCTGTCACTCTCCCACTCTAAATAAGGCACAGAGCAGGGGGCGTCTGGGATTTCTCTGCTGTTAACACAGATGACTATTTGTATCTTGACCTCAGAGCAGTAACAAGTTTGGACATCGAGTGTGTCGTAAGAGCTGGAGTCTAAAAACTGGGCAGCAAAGCCAGTGGCACACAGAGAGGTCATGACCCCTACCTGCTGAATTAATTAACTGCAACACATAAACAGACTGACCTCGTGTCCTAAATCACATGATCAATAAAGTTATTCATAGGCACCTTTTATCTAAAGAACAACTAAAGCAAGTGGAGCAAAGACATCTGAGAAAATAAAATCTTTGACAACTAAAGAAGCATTTTCAGTCATTATGGGGCATGGTCATCACATGGAACATGCACCTTTACTCTCTGCCATCACTAGGGTGCCTGTAACTTTTAATAATAGCGTTTACACTTATTAAAGACAGTTAGCAGTTTCCTCTGCCTGGCTTTGAAGATTAGACTGCTGACCATTGCCTTATATGGAACATGAAACGTTGCCTTGTACACGTCCGTCGTGCGCTGTCCTCTGATACAAGCTTTGAGACCTTAAAGATGCTGATTGTTGCGGAAATAATCCTCAGTCTGATGTCAGCTCTGACATGATTGCCCTGTTTTGTTGATGGCTCCAGGATAAAGACAATCAGCCCTCCGCTCAGGCCTTGGTGTCATTAGGTGACGAGGTTGTGCTGATTGTCTGAGGCCTGCTTCTGCTCTGGTGTTCGAAATGGATCAGTTTACCTGATAACTGAGGAAAATCAAGTCCGTTTGATTTCTGACATGTTTATTTTAATGATGTAACTTGAAAAATGTGGCAGTTTTCATGTTCAAATTTAAAATTTTCCATGAGACCTAATTTTTCTTCCTGTTTATATATAATAATGTTTGGTTAACATATGAAAGTGGACAGTCCTGATGGTAAATGTCTTTTTCATATGGGAACTCTGACATTTCTTTTACATGCTTAGTGAGATGCTGTGACATGAACACAGGTTTAAATTGCAACAGTTACTGTAAAAACTCTGCATAATTATGTTGCTGCTTCCTTTTTTTTTTTTGCATCTGTTTTTTAAACTTCAGTTGTATTTCTTGTTCATCATGCTGGACTGTTATTTCTAGGTCTTTAATTTCAGTTGAACACCTCCTGAAAGGTGACCTTGTTTGCTTCTTTTACATTTTTTTACACAATTAGTTCAAGTGTTTTGTATCTATGCCTGTGGCATGTCAGAGATTCTTAAATATCCACCATCAGTTCACGTCCTAACAGCTGTGGTCTCTTCTGTAATGGTGACAGCTGCTACAGTAAACTGGTGTAAATCAGACTTCACTTTTTGGTTGCACTTAGATACAATATGTGTCATCTTCTCAGGAGAGGTGTCAATTTGTCAAAACTAAAAATACACTTCAGCTTCCACTGAGCATGTGCAATCAGACCTCTGCTAATGGTTTTTCCTCCTGTTTTCACAGCCTGCCACTGTTGGAGACTGAGGGAGATGAAAGGTAAGTTCTATGAGTTCAGAGGAAAAAATGCCCAAACATCATAACCTGAAAACGTAAACCACAGCTGTCAAGTAATTTTAGTCAGGCATTACAGAACAGTTCCAAACTTAAGATCTCAGAGTGAGTACAGCCCTAAAACATGCAGCATTTCTTTAGTGGTGCCAGTCACATAACGGTGAAAGTAAAAGCCTGCTTCATTTAAAAACTGTATTTATCATCATCACAGCAAATGGTCATTGTTGACAGATCTAAATACACAACTGCAGTCTAGAAACAAATCCTTGACTCTGCCCATCTCTTTGCTGTGTGACTGTTGCTGGTGAGAGAGTGTTTGATCAGTGTCTCTCTCTGTCCCCTCTCAGCCTGAAATGATAAACATTTATGAGCCGGTAAAGATGGAAGGACTCAACTTTTTTTTTTTTTAATTTGCATTTGTCTTCAGATCAAATGAGATGCGCTATTAGATGACTCAGCAGTCCCTTAAATTATTCACCACATGGCTGAAGCAGCTCACTACAAACAGCTCTGTCTCTCTATTTGTTTCATAGGTTTCCAAGTTTCTCCCACATTCTTGTTGCCAGAGAGTTTTATACTATAATGTGTCTACATGTAACAGCCTGCCTCTCTCTGCAGTTTTAGGACAGCTTACAGTGAGGGACGTACACTAGATGAAACCAATACCAGCAAACAGCAACATCCCAACAGCCATAGACCTCATGTTGAAGTTCTAATCTCAGCCTGAGGAATTGGATCATCTGAGAAATGAATGTGTCAGGGTCCAAACGGGTCGATGCTAATTTCCATATCAGCAAATTACAGAAAGAAAAACTGGGAGGGGGTGGGGTGTGGGTATTATTTTTAGGCAGGATAGGATCACAGCTAATGATAGACATGTTCATGTAGGGAAGCGATCAGCCTGTTTGTGTTTGCGCCTTTGAGCACTGACATTAATGGGATAGTGGGGGAACAGTAGATGGTTTGGTTTAATTATTACAGGAAGAAGTTTGTGACGGTCATGTCAATCTTTTCATTTCAGGAGGAACAGTGTTACCTAATCTGATGTTTTGTGTGTGTTTGTGTTTGATATTTCCGCTGCAGTCCCACAGACAAAGATGCAGCAAGTTATGGAGACATCAGGTGAGCTCAGACAAAAGCACGTTATTCACCAGGCCGTCTCCATGGAGACACATTACCATTATCACCAGAGCAGAACAGCAGTTCTCATGGTTATTTAGAAATCCAGTGAAGATAGTCCCTCTGTGCACGTTTGCTATCAGAAATACACCACAGCTTCTGAAGCTTAGATTTGTGTCAAACTAAACACAATTAACAGATAAATTCTGAACCTTGTTCATGTTTATTTGACATTGGCATTTGTTGTGAATATCTGGTAGGAAGAGAGGCGCTGTGGCCTATGCTTCCCAGAAGCCCTGGCTGTTGAATACCACCGTGGTGGAAAACATCACCTTTGAGATGCCCATGATAGAACCGAGGTGAGACTGCATCTCTGTATTAAGTGGATTAAAGAAACTGTGGTTTAGGTTTAAAGCTTGCTGAGATGCTCCAGAGCTGCTGCTGGTGGTTATGTTGTTTAGACTGTGCTGCACATTGTGCACAAGTAGAAACAGATGTGACTTAAAGATAGGGTTGGTGATCCTGAAAAACCCAGCAAGAGGAAGCTCGATTTTGAAAGTAGCTGAATGAAGAAATCCCACCCTTTTGATTTCTCTCCAAGGCCACTCCTTCAAAACACAATGTGCACTGCCTAACTACTACTTACTGATTTCAGGAAAATAACAAATGCCCCCCAAACAAAACAGAACTGATAATTACCTGTCCAGCAGAAAAACGGCCACCATGGCATCACTTTTCTGCCCTATCTCTCTGTTGTTCAAAAGCCACACCAATGTTAATTCTGGTTTTACTTCTTGCAGCATCCAACTTCTTTTTAGTTGTAACGTTGTTGAATACAACATTACCTGCCCAGATCTGGAGCCCCGAACCATAGTTGGGGACCCCTGGTTCATGGCTAAGCTGCTTTAGCCCTGGCTTGTAGCCGGTAACTAGCCTTAGAAATCTGGGCTTTTCCGGTGGGGAGATGTGAAGAGGGAGGCCAGCGAACTCGGCTCACAACACAGGCTTTATCTGGTCTTAGTAACATGAACACTGCACTTGGCCTTTGATGTGCAGTTTACTGCATTACAATTCTACCTATACACTCAGAGCAGACGACTGTTGGTATTTTACATACACCTGTAGCTGTATGTAAAAGGGATCTATTCCATGTGGTGGTCTTCTCACTCTCACACTGCTCACAGTGCATTCAAGTCACAACAACATTGTTTCCTCAATGCTGAAGTAAAAGCTGCTCTTGAATGTTGCTTGGTGAGAGATTAACCTACTCCAAGTCAGAACTGGGTCGAAGGAAGTCAGTTGAGGTTCATTCACTCTGCCTTCACTGGTTTCAGTGTGGTAAACCTAAATATCAGAAATGCAGCTTGGTATACACATCAACAGCAGCACAGACTAGGCTCCAAACTGATCCTACAGTTGCTGCTCTGAAACAGTTTCAACCACAACTGAACATAATGCATTAGTTTTATCTAGAGACGTGATAAGTTAAAGAGAGAGCCTGAATAACTAAGCAGTCTCTTCCAGGAATACTGTGCCTCCATCCACAGGGCATGAGGTGTCACTGAACAGTTTGAGCATGAAAATGATGTGAATCATATCAAAACAGTGGAGCGCCTACTGTATGGGAGATAATGGAGCTACATGTTAAGTGGTGTTGCCACCACAATCACTGAAACACCAGATGAGGGAATATCTTTTTGGAAGAATAATGTTCACCCCTACAGTAGCATTCACAGACTTGTAGAGTCGATGCCAAGAGGCACTGAAGCTGTTCTGGTGGCATGTGGTGCACCGACACCTCACTGAGACACTTAATGTTGGTTTTTTTGTTTCATTTGTCATCCGTCTGTAGTTGTTAATAAATAAATAAATGGAGACTGAGTAAAGTAGGTGTAGTTAATTGGTCAAGGATGGTGCAGTTTTCAGTATAAACTGTTCTGTTTTCTCTTGATTCCTATGTTTGTGTGTGCACAATTTCAGATTGTGCACTTGCATTAGTAACCACTGTGTATAAACAGTCCAGCATTAATTATGGAGCTTCATTTGGTTGTTTCACTACTGCCACTGTGATGACTCCCATTATTACAGTAAAACCAGCAGTCTAATACATTCTCTTTTAATAATACATACTGTGTAATCGATGTGTCATCAGGCCAAGCTGTTAAGCCAAAATAGAGCCAATAGCCTTTGTACTCCCTGAGCTCACGGTGGTAAATTGGATATACTGATGCCTGATTAAGTCAAGAGGCATCCAGTTCAGTAAATGATAGCCAGTTGGTGACTTCCCAAGTAAATGGTTTTGACACTGAGACTCTTAGAGCCAGGATTTGTCTTGGCTGAAGGTGCACAGCTCTGTTTCTCATTGTGCTCACTCCTGGCACAGCAACATACAGTATATACTGTATTTGCCTGCATGGGCATAATCAAAACACACACACACACACACACACACACACACACACACACACACACACACACACACTCTATCACATACATAGTTTTCATACAGTAAATGATCTTGCATTTATGGCAACGGCTGGACTCTCCCTGGGTCTAATGGAGTGTTTTGATTAAATGCATCTAATGGACTGCTGTCCTTTGTTGCTGTGGAGATGTTCTGTAAAGTAGAGATGTTTGTCCCCGGTCCAAAGATAACATCCCTGAGGATATTAACATGCTAATTTGAGCATTAGTTCAAAACACCGGCTGTAGAGTTGTAGTCTTGTGAACATACTATCCTTCTGTTAACTTTTCCAGTGCAGACTTTTGGCTGAAGACAGTGCTATGAACTGTCATTATGCGTGTGGGAAGGTATTTTACCAGCCTCTGTGTTGCAACAGATATGACTGACATTTGACATTCATTAACTCACCAGGATCTGGGCAGAGTCTAGTAATTAATGAAATTATTCAGACTTTTTAGAATGGGACAGTTGTGTGTTCCCTGGACTGTGACCCCAAATGTTGAGGTCACAAAATTTCAAGGCTTCAACAATTTGAGAACTGACAAACTGTAATATGGATGCAATGTTTTATAAATTTGTTTTAAGACCATTTGGTTACCTCCAAATAAGTGAAATGACAGAGGCTGCTGAAATACTTTTCATTTTTAGTGTTCGTGGATCTGTTCAAAGATCTTTAGGGATTGTGTTATCCCTACGAAACACCAACTTATATACAAGATATCATCCAAATCAATGTGCCATCCAGCTTATTAGTCACCAGGTCAATAATAAGCAGGCCAATAGTTTCCTTCTGGCTGCTATGAGCACTTCAGAAATAGAATAATCTTTAATGGCCAAGTATGTTTGAACACACAGGAATCTGACTCCAGTACAGAGGCAACAGGAATAGGCAATAACAGTGAGAATAAAAATAAAAGGTGTGTATGTGTGTATATATGGAAATATGTGCAATCAAAAATAGTAATGAGAGGAACATTACAGCAGAAGAGCTTTCAGACTGATATGTACAATGTTTATGTTTATGGTTTGTTACACTGGACAATTGCTGTGTCCAGTCATACAGCCCAGGGGAAGAGACTGTCCTTGTGTCTGGCTGTGTTTGGCATACAGTGACCTGTACAGTTTGCCCAGGGTGTGAGGGGTCTGCAGAAATCTTCTCTGTCCTTTTTCTGACCTGTGAGGTGTACAGCTCCTCCATGGAGAGCAGACTGACACCAGTGACCTTTTCTGCAGTCCTGACTGTCCGCTGGAGTCTGTTCCTGTCCTGTTTGGTTGCTGAGCCAAACCAGACAGTGATGGATGAGCAGAGGACAGACTCGATGATTTCTCTGTAGAACTGTATCAGCAGCTCCTGGGGCAGGTTGAACTTCCCGAGGGAAGTACATCCTCTGCTGTTGCTTAATGATGATGGTACTGATGTCGGGCGTCCACTTCAGGTCCTGGGAGATTGTGGAGCCCAGGAACTTGAAGGACTTTACTGCTGATACAGTGCTGCTGAGTAGGGTGAGTGAGGGGGGGGGCTCTTAAAGTCCACTGTCATCTCTGCTGTTCTGGGCGTGTTCAGCTCCAGGTTGTTGTGACCACAGCATCACACCACAGTGCCATTTGCCCTCTGTCCTTATCTGTACTGTGTCTTTGTTTATACCCGCCAGATACAAAGCTGTCATTGAAGCCTGCTCTCTTCAGCCTGACATCGACATCCTTCCACAGGGGGACCAGACAGAGATTGGGGAGCGGGTCAGTCTCTCACTACCAGTCTGTGATTTTCTTTGGATTCCTCTATGCTCTTATTATTCTCCTGTAGATCTGGCTGCAGCTCCCACTGTGGTTCAGTGTGTGGCATAATCATTTATCACCACTACTGTGCAGCGAGCTGGACTGAGCCGGTTCAGCCAGAACATTGTCAAATTGGATTTCCTCATGCACCAGTAATGCAGGAAACGAGCTGTGATTTCCTTTAATGTGCTGCAAGCCAGTGCCACACACATTTATTCATGTAATCATGTTGTTCATTCCTCTTGTAGTTCAGTTTCCCGTCCTCTGTCACAGGGTATCATCCTGTCAGGAGGACAGAAACAGCGTATCAGCGTGGCCAGAGCCTTGTACCAGCAGACCCATGTGGTCTTTCTTGTGAGTCTACACAGAGACATCTTTAAGATAAGAGGGATGGCTTTAGCTGGATTGCACCTTTAATTAACCTTGTTAGTAGACGTTGAAATAGTGTTTCTGAAGCTGAGCACCCATGTGATACTATTTCTGATGCCTTCCTATGTGACAGCAACAGCAGCATGCTTTCTCAAGCCCAGCTGCAGCAACGTTCAACTGACAGTTTACAAATGTCAGGCCCATAGTGGATTTCACTGCCTGTCAGTATATAATGATAACTTTGTACTTTATGTGGCTAGAGTAGGGCTGTAACTACAGATTTTCATTATCAATTAATATGCTCTGATCAATTAATTGTCAGTAAAATGTAAAAAAAAAGTACCTTTCACAACTCTCATGGCAATGTCTTCACTTTGCTTGTTTTGTGAGAGTGAGTCTAAAACCTTTACAGATCCTCACACTGAGACACTGGAGAAGGTTTGACATGCTTACTTTTGTCTCCTCCCCTTGTAGTTTTAATTAACATTTGTTCATGTATTTTTTTTAGGACGACCCCTTCTCAGCGTTAGACATCCACCTGAGTGACCACCTGATGCAGGACGGCATCCTGAAGCTGCTGAGAGAAGAGAAGAGGACGGTGGTGTTGGTCACACACAAACTTCAGTACCTACTGCATGCTGACTGGGTAAGACCTGTGCGTGGGTGGGTGTGTGTGTGTGTGTGTGAGACAGAGATTTACAGCTATTATCATAAGCAATTTCCTTCTGAATATGCACACAGACATTTAAACTCACACAGACTTTACCTATTTAACAAGATTGTCAATTTGTTATGCTGTTGTATTATTCATGATGGAAACACTTTATCTCATCTGAGATGCAGTTTACCTCAGAAAGATCGCAGAGCCCATAAAGATTGATTTTGCTTCAGCATGTACTAAAGATCTGATTTCTTATCTCTACTTGTGTGTGGGGGTGTGTTATCAGATTATCGCCATGAAAGATGGCACAATCCAGACTGAGGGGACTCTGAAGGACATCCAGAACTCCGAGCCTGAACTCTTTGAGCAGTGGAAAACCCTGATGCACAGAGAAGACCAGGAGTTTGAGAAGGTGATTAATGAATGCGAAATGAACGAGAATTGTCAATGGAATACTTAATGACTTTGAATCAGCCTTTATTAATCATCTTTGCTTTTGCTAATTGGGGAGTTTTTAGATTCAGAAGTCATGCACACAATCTAGCACTGCCTGGAATGGAAGTTTGATTACCTGGCCTTTTGCATAATGTCTCAGTATATTGTGGTCTTTAGTATTCTGGGGAGAATAAAATAAATTTTAAAATTTCTTTTCCAGGAGACGGAGGCAGCAAGTATGACAGACCTGGAGAGAAAGAGCCTACGGAGGGCCATGTACTCCAAAGAGACCGGCAGGACTGTGGAGGACGAGGAAGGTGAGTGGCCAGCAAATGCCTTGATTACATATTGAGATGATTGCATTCAGTGCTTCAATGATTTCAGCCTAATAATAGCAGATGCAGATAATGATAGTATCATTACCCTTTTTGCTTTGTTTGCTGAGGAGCAGCATCTGTTTCATTAACATTCAGTCTCATCAGCTTATTTTAATGTTTACACTTTGGCTGCACCTGGTTCTAAAGGCTCCCTGGATTTCATTTTTGTCTAAGTAAACCAAACATTGCATTGGCGTTAAATACTCCAGACCTAGCTGTTGTCTCTGGGTCTGGTGTCTTGGCTTCTTTTTAGACTCTCTCTCAGCAACCAGATACGTCCCGGCCTCCTCTCCACCAGCCTACCACTGTGGCCAAACACTGAATGTGATCCTTCATGTGTTTGTGTCTCTGCTGTTGAATGTGCAACTGTAATGGAAGGCGCTAAGGTGCAGTCGATGTACTTTTTCATCTGTGTTCTGTGTTGTCTTCCGTGTGCTCTGGGCACCCCGGGGTGGACTTGTGTGATCGCTCCAGCACCAGGGGCTGCCCCCGTGTTCAATCGAGCAGGTGTGGCCTGAAAGCATGGTTTGAAAAATAAAACGGCAAAAACATCTGTGGCGTTGTGACACTGCAAGCAAATTGCAGCCGTGTCAGCTTCTCCCACTATCTTAGCCTCATCATCCATTTAGTCTTTTCTTTCTGTCACTTCTTCCCAAACATTTGTCTCTCTTGCTCCTGAAAGCTCACTCTCTGCCAGCATGACTGTAGGTGATGTGCGGTAGTTTGTTCAGCCTTGCCAATCATTCTGTGCCTTCTGTTTCCTCCTCTCTACTCTGCTGCCTCCCAGACGCCCACACAGGCTCGTGCTACAAAGCTTGCTGTATGATGTGATGTGATATATTTATACCAAGGTTAGGGAGGAAGTGGAAGGTCATTAACAATGGCTCTTCTTCACCCTCAGTGAGTGTGTCATGGCTGCTCTGTTGCCCCTGAAAATGCACCATTCATAGGAATTAATAGCTGCTTGGTGTTGTAGAATAGAGATGGTATATTCTCCTTGTGGTTTCTCTTTGTCTGCAGCCCTCTGGATTTGTTCATTTGCTCTCTTCTCTCCTGTTGTGAGCTAGTAGTGGTTCAACTGACAGTCACAGAATGAGAGAATATGAGAAATGTGCCAGAAAGGAGCACAGGGCCGAGAGAGAAAATGAAGATAATGACAAATCTATAAGGAGTGTAGGAGGAGGGACGTGAGAAATGGCAGAGTGTGTATGAGCAGTGAGTCACATCAGAGGAAAGCACAGTGAAATGCAGAAACAGTCTTTTATGTAAAGTAGGAAAACCTGTCTGAATGGACACAGTTGTGTAAAGTGAAATAATTTGCTCCCAAAATAAATCAGTAACTCAGCATGACCAGATCTCAACTCTTAGTCAAAAGCAAACCAAGGCTCATCAGTAAATAAACACTCATGTCTATGTTGATCCCAGAGGAGTCCATGGAGAGCGATGATGAAGATAACCTGTCGCAGGTGATGCGCCAGCGAGCCACCATCCCCTGGCGCTCCTGTGGGACTTACCTGTCGTCCGCTGGCGTCCTCTTGCTCTCCCTGCTCATCCTGTCACAGCTCCTCAAACACACCCTCATGGTTGCCATCGACTACTGGCTGGCACACTGGACATCACACGTTATTGAGGCCAAGATCGACGCCACAGCGCACAACTGCACGGTCGTTCGGGTGAGACGCTAAGCTGCAGTTTGTTTTTGAGGTGGTTTGTTGTTGTCTGGTCAGAAACCTATTTGTTTCTGCATTGGGCAGCAATTTCTAGAATCATAGTGTTTTCGCTTGATTGTCATTATTTGCAGCATCTCAGTTGTGAAGATCTGGTGCCTATGGTTGTCAGTGGAAAGGTCAAAGGTTAAATCTGCAGGTTTCATGAAATATGTTTTTAGAATAAGAAGAAAAAAATTTTACTTCACAGATTTGATTGATCTTATCTTATTTACTTATTTTTGTAAGCTGTTGTATAGTTTTGTCTGTCAGCCTTAAAACCAATCAGTTTAAATAAGAATTTGTGAGATGTTTAAAAGTCAACACAAATAGATTTCTGGCACCTTTATTTTGAAGGTGGCATAAACCAAAATCTTATGTGAGTAAGGTGATTATGTTTAGGTCTGCAGTGTTGGTCGGACAAAACAAGTACAGTACTGATGACATCACGCTGGGCCTCAGGAAAGTCACGGGCAGTTTTCTGTTTTCTGACATTTAATTTAATCAATCAAAAAAAAATCATTAAAATCTGCAAACCCCAGTGTTCTGGGAGAGTAGGGTAAAGTGAAATTACATAGTAATTTTTTTCTCTAATTCTCCTGTGAATCTCAGTTGAGCGCAGCTGACCTGAATCACAGATGGCCCCAGGCCCAGATGGAACGTTCACTAACCTGCCCTGACATAACCACAGCTCAGCCTCGTCTGCATATCAGAGCAGCAGGCACTGATGGAGTCTGAGGGCCAAAAATTAAACATACTTTACAAAATGATGTTTGAGTAAGAGCAGGTTTTGTTGCTGTTGAAAGAACGGTAATATAATATAAAGATGGAGAGGTCTGATTTATGCAGATCAGTCAAAATGGCTGCAGAAATAACACGTAGCTGATCTGAGCGGTAAACCCTTATCTTGATTTAGATACAACAAATTGAATGGGGTGTGTGTGAGAGACATTTTGTCACCTATATAAACTACCTTAACCTTTATTCAGTCTCAACACCCTCTGCCCCAGTATAGTCTCAACCTGGCATGCCCTCACACACATTCAGAGAAAGTAGAGACCTGCACACGTGTATGCTCAAAATAACAATGTAAATACAGTAAAGGTTAAGTTGAATCGTACACACACCGAGGCCACACCAGCTGCTGGTTGGCATGTCCAGGACCAGCAGAGCTGTCTTTAATTATATGTGCATGTCTTTCTTGTGCTTCTGGTCGTAGGTGTGAGTCCGTCCTGTGAACCAAAATGCCTGATCACATTTCACAAAGTCATGTGGAGGCTAGAGACAGCTGGGGATGAGAACAGCAGTTTAAAGTGCACAGCGTCCTCCTGTACACAAACACTGCAGCAGTCTTCTCTCTCTCACACACACACACACACACAGAAACTGTATGTAGAGTTAAGTGTAGATAAATTATCACTTGAATGCTGAGGACATTGTGGTTGGATGAATCTTGGTGTTTCAGTACCAGGCTTATCTAACCTCTGCTGTGTTTGGGGCTGATCCTTGAGGGGACACTCAGAAGTCCTGTTCTGGGATCAAACACAAACCCTACTTCACATAAAGGCCCTGTATTTCTGCTGTGCCACCCCTCTCTGAGTCTGAGGTCAATGATTGTGCATTTGTAATATGACAAATTACAAAATATTTAAAGTTGAGAATTAACAAACGCTTCCTTATATTTTATTTTGAAATAGAATGAAAACCAATGGTGTCAGAACTCTTTTTTAGAAATTCAGACATTGTCAAAAATATTCAGTTACCATGATGAATTCCAGGGATAGAGGGTGTCGTACCGTGTACAGAATGGAAAGCCCGCTGAGGCTTGTTACTTCCTGCTACGTGAAGAAAACTGACTTGATATGACATGGTTTAATACCACAGATTTGAAATGTAGTTCTTGATATTAGGAAAATGAGAAGCAATTTAGCAACTGACTTACAATCACATCCCATTAATCTAAGCACTCCACATATTCTGCTTGTTCCAGTGTACACGCTGCTCATCGTTCTGCCTTATCTCCCTCCCCTTCATTATCCACATCCAACGTTAGCATGACAAGTGTGGAAAAATTCTCTCTGGCTCATGTTCATTAAATGCTGTGTATCTCAGTGCTGGGCCAAGTGTACATGGGGGATAGTCATGTCAGTTGTTCTCTGATTTGGGTTTTTTCCCATTGTTCCAGTGGTTACAGATACATTAAAATGCATTTTGGGCTGGATTTTGACTCATTTACTCTTAAGTCTAGTTAGTATCTGAATTAATCTGATATAGATATATTATGGTAAAAAGAAAATAAAGATTTTTATGCTTGCTTGATTCAGAATCAAATACAAATTGGAGTAAAAGGAGCTCAGGGCAGGAGAGAACAGCATCTCTGAGCTTCACTGTTTGAATTGTGATAAGCTTTGAAAGCTTCACTGGCTTTTGTCTCGTGAGACAGCTAATTTTAAACCAGCCTCGGAATTTAACTGTGTTAGTAATTACAGTGCAGGCAAACTGAATGACAGGAACGCCCCCGCCATTTCTCACTTTGTCAAACGGGTTAACACTAAACCAACCGTGTCTCTCTCTGTAGCACTGCGGCTTCAGCCACTCGTGGTACCTGTCAGTGTTCAGTGTGCTGTGCTGCCTGGGCATCATCTTCTCTCTGGCCTCCTCTGTGGCTGTGGAGTGGACCGGCCACAAAGTGGCCATGGAGCTTCACCACAACCTGCTCAACAAGATCATACTGGCCCCTATGAGGTTTGTGCTCTCTGTGTCTGTGTGTGTGTGTGTGTGTGCATGCTGCAGCTCTACCTCAGATACTATATGTGTGCTAAAACACATCCTCAAGGATGAAGCCTGGTTAAAAGCATTTTTTCACCCCATTACTCAGAGCACCATCTGCTTTGCTTGCACCAAAACCCAGGATACCCACTTTTCTCTCTCACATGCACCCACACAGCTAAATAAAAACACTGTTCACATGAAAGAATGTAAAGTGAACCAGCTGGCTGCACAACATGTCTGAGCAGATTCATGTTGAATAGTATTGTCTCTGTGTTTGAAGCTTTATAAGGTCATTATAGACCCATTAAACCAATTAACAAGATTTCTGCAGGCAAATCATTATTGTATTAGTGAAAACAAATATTTCAACAGTTGCATTTTGTACATTTTATTATCATTGTCACTAATACTGGAGTTAACCGGAGCAACGTTGTCCTTCTGTTTTCATCCCTCCAGGCTGTTTGAGACGACTCCGCTCGGCACCATCCTCAACAGGTTCTCCACAGACACCAACACGATTGACCAGCACATCCCCACCACCCTGGAGTGCCTCTCCCGATCCACTCTGCTGTGCGTGTCCGCCCTGGGTGTCATCTCCTACGTGACCCCCATCTTCCTCATCGCCCTTCTGCCGCTGGCTGTCACCTGCTACTTCATCCAGAAATACTTCCGAGTGGCCTCCAGGTGAGTCTGAGCGAATGTTTTCACCATCACCAGTCACCTCTTTTCTGCCTCTGTGGGGCGATAACAAGCTGAAGAGGAGTTTACATTGCACACATATTACACTGGATATTGTTTACATGGCTGATTCTGGTCTTTTTCATGACTCAGCACATTAACATTTGACATTTTCTGCCAAAACATTTTGAAAAAAAAATTTAATGATTATAATCCTGGGAATTGGAAAAGGGTGTGAAATGGTGATTTGTACATGTACATTTAACAAAAATACAATACAATTGTTAAATAAATAAAATGAAAGTATCTGTACTTGGGTATTTTCATCTTCTGGTACTTCATAATTGGATTTCGTTACATTTCAGAGGCAAATATTGTACTTCACTACATTTATTTAACTTTAGTTAGTGTAATCATAAGACTTTATTAATCACAAACTAACCAGTGGTAGTTTAAATTACAAGTTAATAACATAGTTAACATTAGCTCCACCTTTAACAGCTGCAGCTTTAAATGTGATCAATAATTATAATCCAACAATGTGATATATATTAATGGGAAATGTGTCATTCCTCATAATGCGTACTTTTACTTTTGGTAACTACTTTGAGTACATTTTTATCTGGATACTTTTGTACTTAGCATTTTGAATGCAGAACTTTGACTTGAACCAAGTACTTTGTCATTGTAGCGTTGCTACTTTTACTTAAGTAAACAATCTGAGTACTTGTTCCACCACTGTATGAGCATTGTTTGACATTTCATTGGTTAAAACGCATTTATTCATTTAGTATTGTCTGATGCTTCCTTCCTGTTATTTTATTCCTGTATTGATCTTATTCATTTTAGTTCTCACCTTGTCCTTGTAAAGTACTTTGGTCAACCAAACATTGTTTTTAAAGTGCTATATAAATACATTTTGATTTGATTTCGATTGATTCGGTTTTACCTCACAAGCGCAATTAAAGCCAAAGCTGTGAGACCTCAGTGTTTTTCCCTTGTGTCCCCAGTTTTATGGCCGATATGGTTTCAAACATGGCTTCTGCTGATATTTCCTTCTCCACTGTGTCCTCTGTCTTCTGGTCAGGGACCTTCAGCAGCTGGAGGACAGCACCCAGCTCCCGTTACTCTCCCACTTCTCTGAGACGGTGGAAGGTCTCACCACTATACGGGCCCTCAGGTACATGAATGCTAACCTATCTACTGCTGTAGCTATTCTGCATTCCAGTTGTCTAGTGGTCAAAAGAGGACTGTGGGGAGATGATTATCATACAACATTGTGTTAAAGGGACATTTCCCTATATATATTATTACTATTATTATAATTACAGGGGCCCTCTATCAAATTTAATTGACTTAGACAAATGACTACTTTATGGCTTTTCTCTGATGTGTCACTTTTGGTCTTTCTTCTTTTAATGTGTCCCACAGATCCCTCAGTTTTATATTAGTGTAATTCTGAATTACTGAAGCACTTGTATTAAGCATCATATACTGATAATGTGATTTTGATGTGTTTTTATAAGATATTTTCTTTTGAAAAGATAATTTCAGTGAACCTAAAAGTGTAAATTTAGTAGAATATTCAATCTGCACACTGCTCTTGAACACCAGAAGTGTCCCACTGTGGCTGGCATGGTGAGTTTCTCTCAACTGTAATATAATGAAACAATCCTTTCTGTTGGCAGGTATGAGCCCAGGTTCAGACAGCGGTTACTACAGTTCACTGATGCCAACAACATCGCCTCCCTCTTCCTCACAGCGGCCAATCGTTGGCTGGAGGTTCGCATGGTAATGTCTCGCCTGCTGTTCGCATCTTTAAAATTCTGATCAGTCCTGTTTACACTTACTTTACCAGCAGCTGGGTCACATTTATAAGAGTTTCCTCTGTTGGGACACGCGAAAAAAAGGAAGTTCCCATCATCTTAACATGAAATGAAGCCTTCATGTGATGATCTATGTATCGACTGCAAGCTGCTCACAGCTCATCGTGTGTCACTGCAGGCGAGATGCACCTGGAGATGTTTATGGATCCGTGTGCACAAATGTTGAATGAAACGCACATTTTGGTCAATTTGTCATGAAATAATGGATCTCTTTATAGATTATCTACTTGAATTGACTCAGTGATGTATTTTCTTGTCACGGTAATGTTGACACTGTCTCACTGCAGGAATATATTGGAGCCTGTGTGGTGTTGGTAGCAGCTGTGGCCTCCATCACTAACTCGCTCTACAACCAGCTGTCCACCGGCCTGGTGGGGCTCGGACTGACCTACGCGCTCATGGTGAGACTGTGTACACGTTTTTACTCTAAATTGCACATGTTTTATGCGGTTAGCAAATTTTCCCAAGGTTTTTAGGATGGCCTCCCCATTTTAGAGTGAGGTATTTTGTTCTGCTGGTATGTTTTTGTTTTAACTGCACTGATTGACTTATTACCTTGTATTTTGTTTGCTTGCAGCAATAAATACTTTGCCGGAATGTACAGTCCAACTACAAATCTGTTTAAAATGTATACACAGTAAACTGCTGCATATTGAAGCAGCTCTTACACTTAATCTCTTGTCCTGTAGAAAAGATGTTTGTAAAACTTTGCACTATATTGTGGCTGTCCAGTGAAAACCACATCTCCATCTGCAGTGATTCTAAATTTTTCTTTTAAGAATTATGTATCTAAACTACATAATGATGAATGCTGTTTCTGCTCTCATGAAAAGTCGTGGATTTTTTTTTCTGCAAATTGTAGATGAGCTAAAACTGAAAAACCCACTGAATCTCTTGGACCCTGTAACACATTAGTAGTGTCCAGATGAGAGGCCTGTGTGTCTCTGTGGTGACATTTAGCCAGTTTGTGTCTGCTCCTCCCTACATGTATCAGGTATCCAACTACATGAACTGGATGGTGCGTAACCTGGCAGACATGGAAGTACAGCTCGGCTCAGTCAAGAGGATTAACAGCCTGCTCAAAACTGAACCAGAGAATTACGAGGGACTGCTCAGTGAGTGCGGAACCACAGTCGCAGTTTCACCTGAAATTACACTAAATTACCGATTTCTTCCTCACTGATGCAGTTCAAAGTTTTACACCCACATTTATCACTGTCATCTCCAGAGGGGTATCATAATGCATCTTCTTCCTCCTTCAGCTGATAGTTTATCAGTTAATGCTTTTTTAGGCCTTAGGAATCTATCTTAGATGCATGTTCCATTTCAGCTAGAGGGGATTCTGCAAAAAGGATTTAAAACATTTTATTACTAAATGTAGATATAATGGCAAAAATCCAAATCTTAGACTATTGATCACAAACTGAGATATGAATTACAAGCATGTGCTGCTAATGGAGTGGCATAAACAGCTACTGTGGTGTTTTGGGCTTGTTGAGGGGTAAAAGAGCGAATGTGTCTCCATCCAGCTATGTCTCAGGTCCCTGACGGCTGGCCCCGGCAGGGAGAGATCAAGATCCAGAACCTGAGCGTCCGGTACGACACCACACTGAAGCCTGTGCTCAAAAACGTCAACGCACACATCAGCCCCGGACAGAAGGTAACACAACGGGAGACCTGTGCATTAAAGCTGGAAACGAACACAACTGGTGATCATGATCATTTAGACTCATCTGTTTCCAGGTGGGGATCTGTGGCAGGACAGGCAGTGGCAAATCATCTTTCTCCTTGGCCTTCTTCCGCATGGTGGACATGTTTGAGGGTGAGACATCAACACTTGAACTGAATGAATTGATAATGAAAATAAGGAAACAGTTTCTAGATGCAACACTAGCAGGGAAAGGCTTTGCGACTAAGCTCAGCTGTGATGCGTGTGTGTGTGTGTGTGTGTGATTTGTCTTCTTTATACAGGGAGGATTGTGATTGATGACATTGACATCGCCAAGCTGCCTCTGCAGACCCTCAGGTCTCGCTTGTCCATCATCCTCCAAGACCCCACCCTCTTCAGCGGCACCATTCGGTACCATGAGCTTCACCTGGCCGTCTGTCTTACCCACAGGAAGGGCTTGTTGTAGCAGTTTAGATTTGGTGATGCTGATGATCTGACTGAAACAGTTTCAGTAAGAGGGCAGGACAACCCAGAACATTTCTAATAACAGGAGCAGCAAAGAGTGACACACTTTAGACACTTAACTGAAGCCTGAGCAGAGCTGAGGGTTTGTAGATAAGAGGACATTCCTGTGAAAACTTCACTGGAGAGGGTCATTTTTAGACCTCAGCAGCAGCGACCTTAAAAGCTTTGTCAGAGAAGAACACAAGCACAAATCGGTGGACTGTAATTATGGATTTTTAGGTCAATGCGAAGTTTATTTACATGTGGTTCAGGTTGACTGAACTACTGAAAGGTTCACCAGAAATGCTGATTCAAGAGTTCTTTAACCTCAATGCTGGTACTGAATGAAGGGGAAGAGGTGTGTTGAAGGTTAAGGCTGGGGATGAATGTAGCTAGAGCTGCTACGGTTCACTGATTAATAGAAAAATCATCTGCAGCTAATTTGATAATTGATTTGCCGTTTAATTCATTTTTCAAGCAAAAATGCCAAATGTTCCAAATTTTCAAACATTAGAAATTTAGATATGTGGAAAACTTTTGATGATGTTGCATCGATTAAGGAAATAATCAGCAAAGTTATCAAACATGGAAATAATTTTTACTATAGTTTAAGGGACTTAAATAGTGTGTGTGTGTGTGTAGGTTCAACCTGGACCCAGAGATGAAGGCTACTGATGAGATGCTGTGGGAAGCTCTGGAGATTGCTCAGCTGAAGCCTGTTGTTAAAACCCTACCAGGAGGCCTGGGTGAGGATATCCGTGTTTGTTTTAGTATGTGTGTGACATGCTGGGCTCGTCACAGCTTTAGTTTATGGTCACTAAAGCCAAGATATTAGTCTGTAACTCAGGAGTTAATGTCTAATTTGTTTTGCCCTTTAATTTAATTAAAGTGACAGTGTTAATGTAGAGTTTTGTGTTGCACATATTGGCGGCAGGAAAGCTCTTAGTTACTTCCCACCTCTGACCATCGCTGCAGTAACAAAGTACATTTACTCAAGCACTGTACTTAAATATAGTTTTGAGCTATCTGTACTTGTATTTTCATTTTCAGCTACTTCATACTTCAACTTCACTACATTTCAGAGAAAAATATTGTACTTTGTACTCACTACATGAACGTAACTTTAATTTCAAGTCACTTTTCAGAATTGGATTCACAAAATAGTGATGAAAACAGTTTTAAATAGATGATAGTAAATAGGATTTCATATGAAAATTTCTCTATGAAATACACACTTTTCTCCAGATGAGTCGTACAGCCATGGTGTAATAAAAATAGGTTTTAAATGTATCAATAAAAACACTGAATTCAGTAAACATGATGTTTTAATATTGATTTCATATGAAATCCTATTTACTGTCATCTATTTAGAGACTGTTTTCATCATGACTCCAGTGATGATACAAGTTCTATAGCCAATTTTTAATGCCTAGTTACTTTTCATCCACCCTTATCATTAATGTGACATTCAGTATATAGAGTACTTTTACCTTTGGTACTATAAGTATATTTTTATACTTTTAGTAACATTTTGAATGCAGGACTTGTAACAGAGTATTTTACACTATTGGTATGGTACTATTACTTAAGTAAACAATCTCAGTACGTTTCCCACTACTGCCAATGGTGAGTTTTCTAAAAGGAATTTGCAGTTAATCATGAAATTTAAAAAGATGAATGTTTGACATAATCGTAATGACTCACCAGCCACTTTATTAGGTGCACCTGTACAACTATATGCAATTCAAAGAAACACTTCCACCTCTGAAGCTCAGAATGTTTATTTTTGATTAAATTGTCATTCATGTATAAACTCAATTGTATGTTTATTATTGAGGTTGTAGTTAAAAATGGTGTGGTACTGGACTGCATTATATTCATAGGTGTTCCTAATATTCTGATCCTCTCATGGGAGGTCAAAGGTATAAAGACACCTTTATAGGTTTATAGGTTGTAGTGTGTTGAACAATGCTAACGTGCGATACAAAATGCTCTCCAGTAACACAGGCATTTTTTCATGAAAATTTTCAGGCATGAAAATTGTGCCTCAAGAAAAACCTTTTCTTAATTAATTTACCACCACGTTCCACTTCTGTGTTCAACCTGAAATACAGTGAATCGTTACGTGCACTGGCTAATAAATCACTGGAGAAAATCAATATGATATTGACCCATAGGCCAACAACCAACGGCCACATCCACTGTAGCCAACAATCACGTGGGGTCACTAGTGTGGTGCAATTTAAAATATACATATATGTTACTGTTTATGATGTACGTAAATATGAATAGTGGCTGCGTAGTGCTCGTATTTATTACATCACGTGTTCAGTGTGTGCTGTTTTTCTTTCAGATGCTATGGTGACGGAGGGAGGAGAAAACTTCAGTCAGGGTCAGAGACAGCTGTTCTGTCTGGCCAGAGCCTTCGTCAGGAAGAGCAGCATCCTGATCATGGACGAGGCCACTGCGTCCATTGACATGGCAACGGTGAGTGTCTAGTAAAAGCTTTGGCGAGGCAGTAAGCAGAAAGGAGGCGACGCAGGCATACAGGGTGGTTATAGTCCCACATAAAAGGTCAGATAAAATAATCAGTTTTTCTTTCTTGGCTTATCCTCACTGAAAATGTAATGTGTCAGTAGCACCACAACATTAACTTAGATTTATCAAGTTCTGATCAGGTTCACAGATTGTACTTGCAACAGATTTTTACATAAGAGAAGGATAAAAATAAAGCAGGAGAGGAGGAGGAGGAGGCATGAAGCAGAATGAGAAGGACAACACTGAACACAATCAAAGCCAGAGGGGAGTCGGTGTGGACAAATGGCTGCCTCTCGCTTAAAACCCCTCTCCTGAATGATCTGTCACAAAGAGTGGTATTCTGAGCATTTTGTTAGCAGCAGGATGAGGCACAAGAGGGGTGACACTTAGAAAAATAAGCTTCAGTGGGTTGAACAGCTAAGTGTTTTTGACAGAGCGTTGTAACAATTAATAGGGCTCCTTATTTTAACTTGTCTCCCCCACACATTTGTATGCCTGCCTCAGATTTTGTGTCAATGTGAAAGTACAGGAGTTTGTCACATCCAAACCTCCTCTCCCTCTCCCTCTGTCCCCACAGGAGAGCATCCTGCAGAAAGTGGTGATGACTGCTTTTGCTGACCGAACAGTAGTTATTATCGCAGTAAGTTGCAGTATCTCTCCTCCATTAGGCCGGTGCCCTAGGCTGTTACAGTACTGCATGCAGTTCTCCAGTTTCCCCCTTGAGTGCTGACCTTCATCCCGCACTGCTGACTGAAGTCTTGTAAAGTGGTGCAAAGTCACAGCGTAGGCACAGTGCAGGGGACAAATTCATCAGATATTTCACAAACATATCACAAAGAAGGGCAACCTGTGCTGACTTCAAACGTCTGATAACCTCAGATGTCATCTCCTTCTTTAGCAAAAAAAAAAATCCAAAATGTAATTACATGTATATTATACTTACCAATTTGAAAACGAACAGATGTGCAGTGAGACATTTGTCCATCAGTCTGCATTAGCAGCAGAGTGTAGCAGCTCTGATGTCTTGCTGTACTGCTCTGTGTAGTGACTGGTGTTTCTTACTCTGCGCCACACAGCACCGCGTGCACACCATCCTCAATGCCGACCTGGTGATTGTGATGAAGCGTGGGATCATCCTGGAGTACAACCGACCCGAGGCCCTGCTGGACAAGGAGGACAGTGTCTTCGCCTCCTTTGTGCGAGCAGACAAGTAGCACAAGAAGAGGAATGAGAGGAAACATTAAAGGAAGACACTCAAAGTGCAATTGTCCCAGGAATATATTCCTTTTATTTTTTAATCATGTTGTATTATATTTGTACATAGAAAATGCTACTTCTTTGTTAATAAAATATAAATTATCACTTACATCAATGTTTTGTTGTTTGTGATGATGACTGAAGTGTTTTTGCACTTGACTTATTTTCCTGAACAAAACAAATGAGTCATCCGTGGATAGATAAGGAGTATCCCAGGATAAGAGCCACACACACTGCATAGTGATCATCGTTGTGAGTGTCAGTTTGGGCTAAGAGGCCTCACTTGCTGCCAGGATTGACATTAGAAACGTTGCGTGGATGCCAGAGGAGCGGAGTGTCCCCTTAGAGAAAGTGTTTCCATGGGTAATATGGCAAGGAGGAGTCCAGCAGCTTTTAAAACCCAGTGAATGAAAAGAATTGGACTCTGATTCCTGTTGTTGAACAGCTCACTTTCTAGTCATGTTTAAAGCGGGGGCGGTTTATACTAAACAGCCCGAGGGTGGCTGAGTGACATTTTTAACCCATTATAAACAGTAAACAGACCATGAGCTCCCTGTGGGATTTGGGCCGCACAACCTACTAGTTTTTAAGTCTTAACAGGGCCTCTCCTACAGTCTTGCTGAAAAATCACAGAATGGGCACCATGGAGATTGCGTAGGAGGGACTCTCTCTCTCCACTTCATTCTCCATCTCACGATACCGAGCTCTAGTGAAGTGGTGGGAACAGTATACAGGCCACTGCGCCACTTGATCCCTTCTCATGCAAACGTGATCAAACCCTGCACAGAGGCTCGTTATGCTCCTGAAACACAATTTTACACCACGCACTGAATTTCTTATAGGCGCCACCACCGATGGGCTGATGGGGTAGGGAGACGCACACATGCCCCGCGTGTAAGTGCTGTGAGTGACGGGGGCAGCTGCGGAGCCTGAACAAGTAACTTCTCACGGGACCTCGCGGTTGTGAAGCGCCTGACCTGGAGGAAACGCGAGGAGCGCGCATATCCCCAAAACAGACACGACTCTCTCTTCTGCGCCCGACAGCTGCAGAGGAGCTGGTAAGAAAAGGCACCGAGAGAGAGGAAGCATAATTCATCTTTCAACTGGGCAGAGACGGTGCCTTCAAAAACAAAAAGCAGTGGGTGTGTAGCATGGGAGCGCTATGCTGTCCAATAAAGGACTCATCCCCGAGGATTACTTGCTGACACGTTTAGCTGAGGATGTGCTGCAGCCCAAGTTCAAGGCGAAACCGAAAAAAGCTCGGTTCGTCGCCAAGAACGGCACCTGCAATGTGGCCCACACTAACATCCGAGAACAGGGCCGATTCTTGCAGGACGTCTTCACCACTCTCGTGGATTTAAAATGGATCTACACGCTCATCATTTTCACTATGTCCTACCTGTGCAGCTGGCTTCTTTTCGGAATGATGTGGTGGCTCATTGCCTTTGCGCACGGCGACATGGACCAGAGAGAGCATGGCTTCGTCCCGTGCGTAACCGACGTGAAGTCATTCTCCTCCGCTTTCCTCTTCTCCATAGAGGTCCAGGTGACCATTGGCTTCGGAGGCCGGATGATCACAGAGGAGTGCGTCTCCGCCATGATAGTCCTGATCGTGCAGAATATCGTCGGGCTGGTAATCAACGCCATCATGCTCGGCTGCATCTTCATGAAAACTGCACAGGCCAACCGGCGCGCAGAGACGCTCATTTTCAGCAAACACGCCGTCATCTCAGTACGAAACAACAAGCTGTGTTTCATGGTCCGTATCGGGGACCTAAGGAAAAGCATGATAATCAGCGCCACCGTGCGGATGCAGGTGGTCAGGAGAACTGCCACCGAGGAAGGTGAGGTGGTGCCTTTGGACCAGATCGATATCCTCATGGATAACCCGGTGGGTACCAACGGTATCTTCCTGGTGTCCCCCATCATCATCTGCCACGTGATCGACAAAAACAGCCCTCTCTACGAGATGTCCGCCTCTGACTTGCAGCACCAGGACATCGAAGTGGCCGTGGTGCTGGAAGGGGTGGTGGAGACCACTGGCATCACCACGCAGGCCAGAACCTCTTATGTGTCGGAGGAGATTCTGTGGGGAGAGCGCTTCGTACCCACAGTCTCCGAGGAGGACGGGATGTACGCGGTGGACTACTCCAAGTTTGGTAACACCATGAAGGTCCCGACGCCGTGCTGCAGCGCGAAGAAACTGGATCAAGCAGGTGGCATCGCTCGGTTGAAACAGTACGAGGGCGTCACCTTGCGGCCGTCTGTGAGAAAGCGGCCCGCCGGTCCAGGATGGAGACTTAGCACACTGAAGATCTATGTGAACCACGTCTACCGGCAGTTTATATGAGGAATGTTAAATTAGTCATATTTTATAATAGGTATGTTGTGGATTACCTGTAATCCGCATCTCTCTATGCAGTGAAATGTATACTGAGGCTACTGAGCTGCAACTGTGACAACCTGAAGAGAATGAACAGAAATACCAGTTTGGGTAAACGTATGTGTTTTTAAGACCAGCTACATAGAACTTAAAGTAAAAAAATGAGAACATTAGTGTAATGTATGCTGTGCATGGGCAGATATGGGGGTGGGGGGGTCTTTCAAGCATCGCTCACATAAACAGATTCATACAAGATTCAGAGACAGGGTGGCATTTCTCGCTTTTATTAGATTATAATCCGCAGAGCTTAAAATATTAAATTGCTTTTAACTTAGTTAATAATTAAAATACATAAAAAACGAGAGCCAGAACTGAAGAACCCTGCAAAAAAAATTTAATAAATAAAAAAAGGAGAATTATGAACCCAATCCTCCTCCATACAGAGGCTATGTTTGACAGAAACCCCTTGCGATTCTTTGTACAGTAAAGTCCAAGCAGACTGTGCATTTTCTATACACGTGTAATGATACTATTATTATTTCTGATCTAATTTTACTCTGACAAGATTTTTCAAAAGCAATTTTTAAAAGGGTAAAAAAAAAAAAAAAATCTGAAGATTTTTAGTTTTGTACTGGGAGTACTGGTGACTTACAGAGCAGAGCAGTTCCACCCCATCACTCTCACACCCCCTCTCCTTCACCATCTCACCTCCGTGAGCCTGCAGACATTACCTCATGTCTTTGTCCTTCTGTGCTACTGGAGTCGGTGGTGGTGGCTTAAGGGGCCGCTGCTGTGCTAAACACCAGGACACAGCTCAGGGTCAGCCACATGTGGGCACCAGTATGTGTCAAAGTATTAACTCTCTGATCAGATTAAAGATTTAACAAACAATCTTTATATTTTCTACTGCCTCCCTGTTTGTGGCCTTCTTCACATGCTTGCTGCCCTCTACAGGTAGGTTCTGGGACATGTTTGTTAGGGCTAAACCAGGCGGTTATGTGACTATGCTGTAATTACACACTATCAGTTACACAGAGTACTGAGCAGTCTGGAGAACAAGGGACAGAGAATGAAAGAAAAGAGAACAACTTCTCTCTGGCAGCAGTGACGTATTCTCTCAGGCCCTGAGTAGGAAGCGCTTTAATCATCCCCACATAAACAACCCAAACAGTGATCGGCTAGTATTGCCCCATCAGGCAGTAACGTGGCTCCCTACTGGCCATCGGAGTGGCTGTGCACCTGCAGGCTGCCTCCCGCCCCTGAAGGGGGGAAGGACGAGCCCACAGGTGAGCAGAGACGCTTCTTCTCCACACATCAACAACACTGTACAATAGTAGGTTGAAGCAAAGCAGAGCCCCCTTCCTGTACTGTATGCTAGGTAGAGGACAGTGGGAGCTCATGGACACACTGCACCCCCCACCTGATGGAAAAAATGAAACTGAATAAAACCTAAACAAAAAAAGTGAAATAAAACCAAAAATAAAACATACACATACTTTTTTGTTCCTAG